CCCACACCCACTCAAACCCTCCCATCCACCCACCCCATACACCGTCCACCCACTCCAAAATAGTAACAGAATCATTAAGTATTGTATAAATAGCAAAAAATAAAAAGTTATGAAAATAACTATTTCCCAAAACTGAAATCCCGAGAGGAGTGGCATTGTTCTGCAGTTTGCTTTAATGTCTCATCTAATGGAAGACAGCTGAGCCCCATCTCCGCCTCTGCATTCAGTTTGTGGAAAAGCACGCGAAAGCAAACCTGAATCACGGCAGCCACATAGTTGGCAAATGGAGTTGACAAAAGGTTTCTGGGTCTCAGGGGTCTTTGCAGCACACTTTTAAGATCCTCAGCTCAAGGCGATAAGGCGGTAAAGAAGGGCTGGAAATGGATGGGCAAGCGGTTCCCAGCCAGAAGATAAATCAGGGCCTTGCTAAACCCAGCCCCTTAGGGACTAATTGCACCATCTCCCACACGGAGGCTTTCTTGTTCTTACTGAATGTCACAGTTTACTCTGTTTTTCTGTCAAACTGGCCATCATTTCATTGGTCAATGTCAGGCTGCTGCCTTGGGGAGCTGTCCCGCTCACAGATCCTTGTCTGGTTTGCTCCTACATTTACTTAAGGGGCCTTCACAGATCCTTGTTTTGTCTGGTTTGCTCTTATATCGACCTCAGGAGAGCAGGGCTCCAGCTTTCTGACACTCTAGGCCCTCAGTGCTGGGGAGCAAACAAATCCAGAAGCGCCCCGACTCTGTTTGGTGACCCACAGTTGCACACACACGGCTCTCAGGGATTTGGAGTTTAAGGCATGATCTTGTTTAGTGGTCCAGGGGTGAGGGAGTCAGGGCAAGCCCCGGAGAGGAGTTTTGTGTTGTTGCAAAGCTGGAGTGTGGGCTCATCTAACCGTGTGCTCCGGGGCGGGGCCAGGAGGCGCTCATGGAGGAGTACGCCATCGCGGCCCAAGTGTGGAAGCTCAGCACCTGCGACCTGTGTGAGATCGCCAGGAACAGCGTGCTGCAGAGTGGCCTCTCCCATCAGGTGCGTGACTGTCCCTCCTGCCTTAAGTAAGCACCGAGCGCTGTGCACAGGGTGCCAGGTCAGGGGCAGGGACGCTCAGGCTCCGAGAGAAACCTTGGCGGTCATCATGGCTGCCCCTCATCTATCTCAGATCTGCCCTCACAGAGGCCTTCCCTGGCTGTTCTTTCTCCTTATTTTTCCTGTAGCTTGCAGATACCGTGCCATGCATTTCCTTGTGGGTTTTTGCGTAACGAGAGTTGAGTACAGAGGCCCACTCCGTGCTATGTCCCCAGGCCCTACAATAGTGCCGGCGCAGAGCAGGCAGTGCACATAGGACTCAGTGCTTCTGTGTGGTTCCTTTAAGAATGTGACGTGGTGCTGACACTGAAAACCTGGGCATCTAATAAGGAAGAGGCAGCTTGACATGGTCTTGGGAAATGACAGTTAAAGGACTAAGTCGTATGTGAGTTGTTCTGGGATCCGGTCTCCCCAGAAACATGACTGCCTGCCCGCATTACCTCTCAGCACCCTTCAGTTTTGCAATTCTCCTTCCTTCCCTTTCACAACAATGAAGGGAATGACCAAGTGGTCAGGGTCACAACATGGAGGTCCAGAGAGATTTGGAGTCCCATGGGAGGAGGATGTCTCCACTGAGGCTCTTGGGCTGGAGCTCGTGTCAAAGCTTCCTGTGCAGACATAGAAATCTGGTCTCACTGATCTTTCTCTTGGCCTACAGGAGAAGCAGAAGTTTTTGGGACAGAATTATTACAAAGAAGGACCGGAGGGCAATGATATCCGAAAGACAAATGTCGCACAGATCCGGATGGCATTCCGCTACGAGACCCTGTGCAACGAGCTCAGCTTTCTGTCTGATGCCATGAAGTCAGAGGAGATCACGGCCCTGACCAAATAGGCCCAGCGCTCCACACACTTTCACCTTTTGATTTATTTTCACATCTGCTGGGGCTGATGGTGGCCGAGAGCTCAGACTAGGGCTTTCACCTGTGATGAGGGCGCCTCTGAAGAAATCTCAAGCTCCCAAGTTTGGTTGCCCTTTATGACCATGCCCACTTTGTTAGCATTTCTGAGCCAGAAGCCAGCCACCTCCCATGGGGGTCTGGGAGCTGGCACTTGTGTATACTTGTTCCAGATTGTCCACGTCTCTTGTGATTGGCAGTGCTTACGTGGTCGGGCTTGGGACTTTGCAAGGCTTAATGCAAGAGGCACAGAGGCCTGCGAAGTGTCCACCACATTCCTCTCAGGTCCTGCAGGGTGGTTCTCATATGGCACCTGGCTGGCTGCCTGCCTTAAGCATCCCTCAAAGCTCCCTTTCATAAAGGGGCTACCTTGAGAGACAGTCCGAGGCTCCCGTTGATTTGTGCATTTTTGAAATGAATTTCTTGATCTGGTTAGCACCCTCCTCCCTTGCTAGTTAGGAAGCCGCACACACCCACTGAGGCCACCCCTGCTGCGGTGGTCTTTTCCTCCTCTAGGACTCAGTGAGTCATCTCAGATGTTCTCATGGACCAGTCCAGAGCAGGGAAGAATCAGGGGGAGACTCTGGGCTGTTTCCTAGTTTCCTTTAATGGGGGCCTCTGGAAAGCAAGGCCCTCTGTTCTTGCTGGCTCTAATATCCTATCATTGTAGCTGTTACCACATCCTCCAGGGTCAGACCAGGGACTCCTCAGGGCAGTGAGATGTGCTTAAGGACACACAGGACGAGAACTAGGTTCCTGGTCCAGTCTTTCCCCATTCTTCCTTTAGGCTTCACAGATTTTACATTTTTAAAAATCACTTTAACACAGTGCATTTTAGTTTAAAGCAGATTTCTTCAGACGCCATCATGGTCCCAGGAACCAAGTATAAAGTTTTTAAGATCTATGTGGAGTTAAGCTTTATCAGACTACTCATCTTTGTTACTAGTGCCTAGAACATAGTAGGTGCTCAATAAATACTTATGAAATAATTGAATGACTTTCTCTTTTGGCATCTGTATGTGCAGAATACTCAATAATGTTCAAAGACCTTCCTAACTACTCACAAGGCAGGAAGTCCTTCTGAATCACAGTTAGATGAACCTAATTTTCCCTGGAAGATGCTCATTTAATTCTAGATTATCTCGTCCTGTGACTGTCATTCTTCCAGTGGTCAACACAGCTTATGGAACCATGTCATCCTTTTACTAGGCAAATATACATACCATCGTATATGGCTGATTATGAAATTGAATGAAAACCTGTCATTATGAGGGACTATTTTTGAAAAGCCTCCATTTGTATACATTTGCCCAAACATAGCAAGTATTGTACAGTTTTTCATTGTATCAAATACTTTTTTTTTTTTTAAAAAAAAAAAAAAACAAAACTCCAAATAAAGTCTGCTAGGACTGTGACTCAACAGAGCAAATGTGTGTTTTACTTTTAAGTCGGGGTATGCGAAAAGCTGTGAGAAGTGAAGGGCATTCACAGGAAAACCCCAGACTTTGCAAGCAAAGCTCAGGTCCTTGCTGCCATAGCCAGCGCCTGTGCAGCTTCTGCCCTGCCCACAGCGTTCTTCCGTCAATGTTGTCTTCGTCTGTTCACCAGCACGTGCTGGGTTTACTTGTCTGGGAAGCTCCTCAGACACCTGTCTCTCCAGCCCTTCATTTTCTTACATCCGTGTATTTCGCTGACCATCTTGGGGTGGAGGGGAGCTCACTGCCCTTTGCTTGTTCGACAGTATACAGGCCCAGGTTTCTGAAGGGACAGTTCTCCAGGCAGTGCTTGCTGGCTACACCTAAGGATGGTTGCCTTCTATCCCTGAGTTGTACCATTGAAAAGCAGCACCATCTCCCCTCCTGGTGAACCGGCACTTTTGTCTTGAATAAAAGCAGGTTTGAGAGTATGCCTGTCTGGCTTTCTCAGTAGCTAACGCTTGCTGAGGGGTGGGCTCATGAAACGATACTCATCTTTCTTTGGGTCTTAAACACAGATGAAAGGTGACTGGTTGTGGTGCACCTAAATGTTGTGTCTGTACTGAGACTATCAGAATAACCATAATGCCAGGAAAAGGGGCACATGCTACAGACACACAGGGCTCCTGTACCCTCATCTTTAAGGGACAGTCTGTAAAACAGAAGACAAGGAAGAGCTAAGACTACAGAGTGTCCTATTTAGCAAAGTATATTTGAGGAGCTTTTGTGCTTTTGATATAGCAGTCTTTCTGCATAGTATGGCTGACAGATGCCAGCAAATTCGACCCTAAGCAGCCACCTCCTGCTTTCCCTCTTCGGCACCAGGACTCAAAGGCACTTCTCTAATGACACGGAAAGCCCAGAACTGCCAGAGCATAGCGCAGAGTCCTTTATTCGGTCTAATGGGTAGTAGGACAGAAGAGCCCGCCAGAGTCACACCAGGCCTTGGTACTGCCATTGTGTTGCCCCTCATAAGTGTGGGGAGAGGACAGAAAAAGTGAGCTTCAGTTGAGAAGTAACCCCCTCCCCGAAAGCAAGGAAACTCCCAACACTTCTGAATGCAAATTATTCAGACTATCATTTAATGAACTTTCCAGTGTTAAAAATCAGGAACCAAAAGGTTTCCAAGCAGCCTTATTACCCATATACAGATTAATACAACAAAATCATCTCAAAATAGCACACAAACACCATGACCCCCACACCACAATATAAAACAGTCCTCTAATAAATATAAATATTTAGTATATAAGAATGTGAAATCACATAAGCAAAAGTCTTTTTAGTTATTAGCTAATGTTCAACTGCAAAGTTTACTTATTGCACATTGTATCAGTTTCTCCTAAGAATAAAACAGGTTCTGTTGTTCTCAGCCTTCACATCAGTACACAGTCAGACTCTTTTTTTTTTTTTGAAACCCCGTGTCTACAGTAGTCAAGTCAACCTGCTGTTACTGAGTGAGCACAGCACTGACAGACGATTTATAAAAACAAGAGTAAAGGGCAGTTCACACATCTCCGAAGGCACACAATTTCCCACCATGGTAAATGCTTTTGTATACTTGGTTTAAAAAGACAAGCTGTACAGAGTACAAAAAGTGTACATTTTACTAATGAGACAAATTCACAACTTCTACGATTAGATACTGCAGCAGACCCTACCTACCGTTCACGGCTGAAGAATTGCCACCCATTTCAAAGGAATGGTTCAAAGGAACTCTGCTCACTGACTTGATAAGGCAAATGCAGACACTAACATTTCACAGTAGATCATTTAGTATCTTGGAGCACACACTTCAAGAAAGGGACTGTGAGCAAAATCAAGTCCTTTCAAAAGTGAAGGATTCTGGGGGAAGAGAAGCATTGACTACTGCTGGAAATACCTCCAACCAATAAAGCTACGTTATTCATTTCAGAAACATTTTAAAATTAGGCAACTTGAACTAAACCCAGCAAGTGCAATCCAAAAGGACAACTGACAAGTTTAGGGCTGGAGGGCTCAGAGGGTTACTTATCCCAAGGTTTAAAAAATATGTTCCATGGAGCACTTGATAATCAACAGAGGAGGTTGGACCATCTGCAAATATCAATTTTAAAATGCTTTAAAGATTTATTTTTGCTAGTGTGTATGTGACATATGTGTGGGAGCTCTAGGAGGTCAGAAGAGGGTGCTGAATCCCCTGGAGCTGGAGTTACAGGTGGCTGTGAGCCACCAGTGTGGGTGCTGGGGCTTGAACTCTGGTCTTCTGCAGGAATAGCCAGTGCTCTTAACCACTGCGCCTTCTCTCCAGCCTCCCCCCATTCTTCTTGAAACAGGGTTACAATATAGCCCAGGCTAGCCTTCAACTCACTATGTAGCTGAGGATGACCTGAAACTTCTGGTCTTCCTGCTTCCTCCTCTCAGTGCTGGGGCTGCAGGGGTGCAGCACCGGGACGGTCTGCATTCATGCAGTGTTAGGATGGAACCCAGGGCTTCATGTATGCTAGGCGAGCACTCTACCAACTGAGCTATACCCCTAGCCCCGAATTCTCATTTTTACAAAACAAAAGCTTTGATCACATAAATTCTAATGAAACCGTACCCCCAATGCAACATGACGTTTTCATGTACTGACCTGATAGTGGTCGCACTATGTGAGTTATTTAAGAAAACCTCTCTGAATAAAATGTCACTTTTATACAACGTGGTAGCATGTGTGCATGCACTCAGTGCATACGGATCTCAGAATTTATTTGAAAGAGGTTTCACTGCTAATGTTTGAAAGATCACAACTACAACCTCAGAGTAAGACTTTCTCAGGTCATCAAGTGCACGGCTAAGATACGACAGGACGGCCCAGTACTTGCCCCACACCCTCACCACAGGCATCTGGAACTTCACCAGCCTGTCAGACAGCCAGTAGACTACTTAAGCCTTCAGTATTTGGGGCAGAATGAGGTTTTTATTTTTTTTTTGTTTTTTTAAAAGGGATTTTATTTGCATGCTCATAAAATCAACCAAAAATCAGTAAGCAGCAACATCAATTGTGTATTTCTGTACTTAGGAAAACAGGAACATTTGCAAGAATCAGTGAGAGGATTTCTATGGATACTAAAATTTCTTAAAGGGACTTGATTCTCGCCCCAGCTTTACCAGAGGCTGCTCACATTAGCATGAGCCACTGCCAAGGTCAGCTGAGGCCGCACTCCTATTACTGCATTCTCTTCAGACTCTTGAAGAGCACCGAGAAATGGGAAGAAAGCCAATCGAGGTCTGGATTTTCGGGCTTTACTAATGCATGGCGAAGGGCTTTACCTGATCTTCTTTTGTTGAGAGACTTGAGGAAACCGAAGCCTCAGAAAGGTGCCTTTACCTACAGTGAATGCACTCTAGCTCAGTGTAACCTGGAAATGTAAAATGTGTTGCCATAAAGAAAAATTTCCTTCTGAAAACCCACCTGACATGGGCATTATGAAAAACCCATCGGACATCTACCAAGGTCTGAGATGCATTTCTAAACAGCCATGAAGATCCTTTCAGTAAAGTCCATTTGGGAGACAAGTCCCCATCTCACAGTCCTTCTCTGGACGCTGCAGCCTGGCAACATGAGAAGTTCAGAAGCCTCTGCAGAAGTCATATAAAATCAGGAAGCAGTTAGGCCAGGGTCTTGAAGGATCCAGAACGAACCACAAGGGGGCAGAGCCTCAGGTTCCCGCTGAGACATTAGTTTCAGTTGTTTATCTCAGATGGCTACAACTTTCAACACCCTGAATTTTAAACCTAACTAAAAAGATGCCAGACCACTCCCTCCCTCTGTCCCTCCCTCCCTCCCTGAAAAGCAGTAGTATCAAGTATTGCTGCTATCTGTGTAGCAAAGGGCTCAAGAGCAACACAGAACAGGTGGACTGTGGGAAATCTGGCCAAACAGTAGCAAACTGTAGCCCACCACACAGGAAGACATGGGATTTTATTTAAGAATGGGAGATATTATCAGAATAGCAAAAATAAGAGAGTAGAAAAACTGATCTTTCTGTGTGTGCCACAACGTCCCTCCATTCCTCCTCTATGACCACAGTGTATTTGTAGTTCACGAGAACAGAAGAGTCTTCCCCCAAGTCACGGCCGGTGGGGCTGGCCTGCCTCATCAGCCATGTTCAGAATATAGTTAGCCATGTCATCTTCAGTGGGTGCATCCGACACCACCCACGATTCATTTGCTCCAGTCATCTGTAGGCGACAAATGGGGCAGTTCCTGTGTCGGTCACTCCTGTCAGGGATTCCAAGCAAAACAGGTTTGTTTTCTTTTTTTCTAGTTTGAAAAGTACAAACAACATAAAGTATACAGTTCAGAATTCATCTTTCTCTTCATCCCAACATTTAGTTCTCTTTGCCAGGGTCAACCAGTTGTAGGAAAAGAGCAAGTATGTATGTGTCTCACTGTTCTTGTACTAGTCACATATTTTATAAACCATTATATACTGGTGTATATAATTTTAGTCTTCTGGGTTTTTGTTTTTTCTTTGAGTAGCCACCTAGGCTGGCCTAGAACTTGCCATCTTCCTTCTGTCGGCCTGCTCAGTGCTGGGACTTAACTTTATTCTTTGTTAAAAACATGTATTGCATGGATATGCTGCAAAGTACCTAACTAATCTCCAGCAGAAAGACACCTAGTTCCCGCATCTTGTCTGCTAACACCAGTCGGCATCTTTAGTTCTTATTTCTGCACCCAAATAGGTTTTTCTTTAGAATAAAAATTCCTTATGTGTCCTAAGGGGACGCTCCCTCTCAGCAGAGGGAGACTTGGTCAAAGTGTAAAGTATTAAAGTTTAAATATTTATTTTTATTTAAGTGGAAGCCACTGTACCTTGAGACTCATGTTTGGCCAGTGGTAGACACACTTAGCAGCAAAGGGTATTACTAATTATTACTCTGAGTAATCAAAGCCATTTTTAAAAATGTATTTACTTATTTTTATGCATATGAATGTTCTATCTGCATGTACATCTGCATGCCAGAAGGGATATCAGAGCACATTATAGATGGTTGTGAGCCACCATGTGGTTGCTGGGAATTGAACTCAGGAACCTCTAGAAGAGCAGACAGAGCTCTTCACCGTCTCCAGCCCCAAAGCCATTTTTTTTTTTTTTAAATAGTCTTTATGTAGTCCTGGCTGGCCCAGAACTTGCTATGTAGAGCAGGCTGGCTTTGAACTCACAGAGATCTGCTTCCTTAAGTGCTGAAATTAAAGGTGTGCACCGCCACACACAGCAAAATAAAAGAATTCTGAGCCATTACTTACAATTAAAGGTCTGATAAAAAGGTTGTGGCCTGTGCAAGGTGGGCATGTGGGCCAGTCCAGGAAGTCAGGGACGGCTGCTCCCCAGCAGTCATCATACCACAAAATGGACACAGTGAATTACAGTGTGAGTATCGTTTGGGTTACCATGAGAAAAAGAGAAAGAAGGCGAGGAGGCCCGTGAACATTCAAAGACGGGGAAAAAAGATTGGTCTGAAGGCTAAGCTCTACCATAAACAGCGCCATGCCAAGAAAATACAAATAAAAAAGACTATTAAGATGCATGAAAAGAGAAAACCACACAGAAAAATGATGGAAAGACTCCTCAGGGAGCAGTACCTGCCTACCTGCTGGATACAGAGGGACAGTCAGAGCAAAAGTGCTTTCCAGCAGGGTTAACCAGAAATGGAAAGAGAAAGCGGAGAAAAGGGAAGTCCCTCCAGCCAATGTGCCCAAGGAGAAACAGAAGTATTGGCAGTTATTCCAGTAGGAAAGAGAAAAAAAGGCGTGGAAGAGAATGGTTGCTAAAGTCTGATTTGTTGGTGATGGTTTTACAAGACAACGACCTAAATATAAAAGGTTCATCAGGCCAACGGGCCTGCGTTTCAAAAAAAGCCCACATCACACATCCTGAGCTGAAAGCTACTTTTTGCCTGCTAATACTTGGTGCGAAAAAGAATCCATCATCCCATTATAAACAACTCCGGGCGTAAGCACCAAAGGTACAGTTATTAAAGTCAATGTGGGCAAGTTGTGACACAAGGAGGCAAGGTTATTTGGGGAAAATATGCCCAAATTACCAACAGTCCTGAAAACGATGGGTGCATGTACGGCTTTGACAGCGACTTCATACAGGTCACTCCAGCCACTCCCAAAGACTACACACCAGGCAAACACCATCGCTGTGGTCCTTCTCAACTACCAAGCAGCCTTACCCCATGGGCAGTCATCAGGAAGTAGTTATTAAATTGTAAAGAAAAAGAAAACTGCCCAGTTTTACAGTCAGTCTTCAAAAAAAAGTCAGGTAAAAAGTTCCTTTGATTCAAAACCAAGAAAACTTAAGGAAATTGTGCACAGACAGAGCATTTGAGGTTTAAGACAAGAGATGCCACCTAAATGCAGGGTAATAAATCTTCTGACACAGAGTACATATATGATTACTTAAGATTATGTTTTTCAAAGGGATTTCTTTCATCGAATACTACTTTGGAAACTTAAAGAACTGTATCTGAGCTGGAAACACATTATGAAAGGAAAAGACAATGTTTTTCTCTTCTCCCAGGGAAATCTAGGGCCAAAATAACCAAAATAACTGCAGTTTGGCTTCTGTACAAAAACTGAGAAACTGATTCCAAAAGCGAGATGTGAAATTTAGAGTTGGCATACATTATTTGGTTGATTTCGGTTTCCCCAGAGATGATTTACAAGATAATTCTATGTGCTCTTTTGTACATAAAACATCACAATTTAAAAGTAGTCAATTTCTGCTTCTGGCCAACAGGAACCAGATATATCTTCCCACTTAAATCAACTAACACACAGGACACAATGTCCAGAAAAACGGTGTTAGATGGAATTTCATATAAAATACTGGAAACCAAGCAAGAATGTGACTCTAGACAGGTGAGAAGCAAAGGGAGCCTGTGGTTGTAAGCCAGCTGCCCTATGAGAGCTTCCAGGACTGAGAAAAAGAAGTCGGGGACCTTGGAGGGTGTGGCAGGCTGCTGAAGAAACAGCTGAGGCTAAGGCAGCTAGAGCACAGGGCAGAACACTGCAGAGTGGAGACAAGTGCCACGAGACAGCAGGCTGTCACCAGAGCACGTCAGTGTGGGCATGTGAGCACATGCCAGGAGGTGGAAGCTTCGAGAGATGTATGCCAAGGCCACAGGGGCCATCGGGCAGTGCTTCTAACTCTTGGAGCAGAGCACTCTGCAGAAATTGTGTCATCAGTGGGGAACGAGGATAAGAAAACTAAACTTTGCCCTGGTTCTGCTAACAAACTGTAAAAGCAGGACCCCAAAGGGTCAAAAGCCCTTCTAAGTAAGCAAACCATACTCCAAAGCAAAGCTTGAATATTCAATATTAAACAATATTGAATTGTTTAATATTGTGGTAAAATTCCTCAACATTTGGTGCTTAATAAAAAACTAGAAGGCAGATAAGCAGCAGGAAAATATTATAAAACACCATGAGGAGGAAAACCGATAAAAACAATGCAGAACTGACAAGACATTAGAACTAGCAGATAAATGAAAAGCTGTAACTATAGTCCACACAGTCAAAGTACTAGAGAGCCACTATATTCAGTGAACACAGAAGGGAGGGCAAACAAACATCAATACACTAGTAAGTGTGACAACACAGCGAATGCCCAGATGAAGAACAAATTCAGGGGTCTAACACATGGGAATGGAGGTCAAGGGAAGAGAGGAAAGGGACAGACAAGATTAGAGAAAACAATGGCTGAAATTTTTCCAATATCAACAATACCATTAGCTTTTTGAAACTGGGGGTAGGGATGATCACAGGCTACCTCCTACTCAAGCTGCTTAAAGCAGTGAACAGATAAAGATCTTCCAACAACCAGAAGAGACAAGAAGACACACTGCCCCAGAGGAGACAGCTGCTCCTAGGAACATAAGGTGAGGTGGAGCCCAACACTGAAGCCTGAAAGGAAAAACACTCCTGGCCTAGAATTTTGTATCAGAAAAAGTAACTTTGAAAAACAATGTGCAGAAGAAAGGTAGCAAAAAATAAGTGACTGTAATAAGACTTCCAGATATAAAATGAATATAAAAATATTTATTGTCTTCTTATGTACTAGCAACAAACAAAAACTATTTAGAATAGCACAAACTGTGAAATACCCAAGGCCAGCTCTGAACACTGAACACTGTAAAACTACCTGCAGAAATTAGAGGCCTAGCCACACATAAAGAAGCCAACCGTCCCAAACTGTGTAATCAATATGGTATCATTCAAGGTCTCTGTAGGCTTACCTGTGGAGCTTGATACAAGAACCCTAAACTTCCTATGAAAACACCTGGACCAGTCCACATGCCTTCAGACAGGGGAGACTTGTAAAGCACAGAAACCAGGATGGCATGAGACAAAGTGAAACAGACTTAGATCTCAAGAAAAACAGAAGAGTCCAGAACTGACTTACACCTCAACCAATGATTTCAAGAAAGTTTCAAAGGTTAGTGAAGATGGTCGTTCAGCAAATTATCTAAAAATGGAGAACAGACTTAAATGTGATACCCCAAACTTGCAGAAGATTACTAATTCTGTGCCTTTGGAGCAGGAAAAGATTTCATACATAGGGTCTTATCTGTCACAGATTGAAATTTAGCCTCACTGAAACAAAAAACTCCTTCAGAGACATTCTCAAAAGAAAGAAGACAAGACACAGAGGAGGAGATGATATGTTTAAAGTCATATGATAAAGCAAAACTCCCAGTAACGAAATGGGTAAAAGCTTAAATAGGCCATCATCTAAGATCACAGATGGCAACGTAGCAGTCAGCAGGGGATTAGTGAGAGCCACAGAGACCCTACCCTTGCCTGATTTCAATGCTGGCCAGCACAGGCAAGGTCAGTGCAACACCTACATGGTACTGGAGAGGGCACAAGAAAAGGTAAAAAGTAGCCAGGCATGGTGGCATACATCTATAATTCCAGATTTGGGAGCTTGAAGCAGGAGGGTTGCCACAAGATCCAGCTGAGATCTACGTGCACTGTACATTGCAAGAGCTTGTCTCAAAACAAACAAACAAACAAAAAACCCCAAAAAACAAAGACCAGACCAAACCAAATAACAACACTTTAAAAAAGTATAGTTACTTTGGGAGTGTGCTGGCAATTTCTTGAGAAACACCTGCTATATAGTCTGACCACTTGAGTTAACTACCCAAGAAAAAGTCAAAGTATATGTCCATTAAAAAGATACAAACAAAAACAACAACAAAAAAAAAAAAACAAAAACAAAAACACTTGTCCACAAACATACATTGAAGGGTTTATCTGCCACTTATCTGCACTTACAACATGGTTAAATCTCAAGATAATAATACTGGCTGAAAGAAGCCAGACAACAAAGAGAAGTCTGTATGGTGCTGCTTTCAAAAGTCTAGCAAATCCAAAGTATTTTTAGCAAATGAAAACAATTAACAGCTGCTTAAGCACCAGGCTTCAGGCGATTCTGGGGAGTGATGGATTAGCCCCTCATGCTGTGATAGCAGCTTTCAGGAGCGTGCACATAAATTGAAACAATTATATTTCAGATATTACATGTCATTATAAATTCTCCTAAAGGCTCCATTATCTTGTAAACAAATGACGTTAACATCCCTCCAGATCCAACAGCTTAGGATTCATTCCTCCACACACATATAAAGAATTATGTAGAAGATAAGGCTGCAAAAAAGAAAAGTGTTTGATTCTAGATTCAAATCAGGCATCAAGATTCTTAAAACAAATATGTCAAAACTGAGTAACATCCCCACATTTCATAAGAATTGGGTATAAGAAAATACTTGAACTAGTGGCAGCATACCATAAAACTCAGAGTACTGAAGAGCAAAGCTCTCATGGTTCGCACTGAAGTGTATGTATTGCCAGTTGTTTATTCACGGTCCCGCTGACCTCTGCTATCCCGAGGGCAGTGGATAACTTACCATTTATCAATGCACTTCTGGCAAAAGCTGTGAGCACAGGGCAGGATGAGGTCAGCTCGCCCGTCCATGCAGATACAACACTCCTCCTCATCAGTCAGCTGCTTCACCCTGAGTATGAAAACGAAGCTGGGACAATGACAGTGTCTGTCCATGGGCTTCCTACTTTGTTTCATTGCTTTAAAAAGCATCAGTAAGAACCCACAGCATAAAGCACAGCATGGCTTACTTGCAAAGCGAACAGCAGACCAAAATTAACATCTTTTGGGGATAGCAAATATGTTAGGGAAAAAACACTAAGGTTAACTTTAAGAAACTTAAAGACTTTCTATAAAAGAAGAATTCTGTATAGTTAAAGAAAAGAAAATCTGAACAAAAACTGCATATTGGGTTTTTCTGAAATAACTCAGTCCATTTTAGGCATATTGAGTTTAGATATAGGAAATCAATCAGTATATAATTTATTTGCCACAGGGACAAAAAGGTGCCTGGTAATCGGGGCCTTAGAACGGCACTGACAGTGCCAGAGAAGAGAAGAGGCAGTGCAGTCTTAAGTTATATGATGCCACAGGGAACACAAAAAGGCTGGGGCACAGCTCAGACTCAGGGAGCTCCCAGGAAAGAGCCTTCTACTCCTGCTACAAGCCAGCACCACAGGAGCCATGCTCCTTTGCACACAGAGTTCAGTCAGCTCCAACTACAGTAGCTCAGCTTAAAATATCCATTTCTTTCTGCTCTCAAAACCAAATTTTGTCTCAATTAAATGATTTTAAAATTGCATTTAGCTGTTCCATGGTTAGTGACCCCATAGGTCAAAAGGGATTTTAAATGTTTTACTCTTTGTGCTTTTCCGTTGTTTTAAATGAAATGTTTCAAAGGATAGCCAGTCTTCTTAAGGGAAGGAGCTGTGTCTGACATAACTTCCATTGTCTGCTGGATTTACAGCATAGCATGTAAGACATGACAATAACACTTGGAATCTGTTGATCTAAACATAATATAAACAAATGTCAAATGTGCAGCATGTATAATATGTGACAAGTAAAATAAGTACGTTTGGAAATGTGAGAGGAAAAAAAATCATAGGATTTTAATAGAGAACATTCTATGAGCATTAAGTAAGTCATGAAGGCATGAAACAAAACATGAAAACGTGTGTGTATGTGTGTGTGTGTGTTTGTGTGCGTGCGCAAGGATGCATGATACAGGTTGAAGAGATGGCTCAGAAGTTAAGAGCACTGGCTGTTCTTCCAAAGGTCCTTAGTTCAATTCCCAGCAACCACATGATGGCTCATAACCATATATAATGAGATTCGCTGCCCTTTTCTGGTGTGCAGGTGTTGATGCAGGCAGAGCACTGTATACATAATAAATAAATCTTAAAAAAAAAAAAAAGTTTGCATGATGCTCAGGAGTTAAACTGAGAGAAGACTGATTATATAGTAAAGACGGTATGATTATTTTGTTTGTTTGGCTGGTTGTTTTATTTTTGTAACAGGGTTTCTCTGTGTAGCCTTGGTTGTCCTGGACTCACTTTGAAGACTAGGTTAGCCTCAAACTCACAGAGATCCGCCTCCCTGAGTGCTGGGATTACAGACATGTGTGCCCAGATGATGATCTGATTCTTGAATGTCAAAATATTAAATATGAATTTGCTCTAACAGGCAAACTAGACGCAGCGTGAACTCCATTGATACAGGACTTTGACTTCTCTGAGAGTGGAGAGCAAGGAGCAGTCCAGAAAGAGGAAAACCAGGTAGAAAGAACCATATCTCACAGCGCACTGGAGAGACAGACAGGGCCTGGTTTAAGGAACATTATAACAGACATAACAGAGTGAGGTAACAGATTAATGTTTGCTTCAGTCATAGAGAGAAGAGTGCCTGTTAAATTGAAATGGTGCAATGGGTGAAAACCTATATGCATGAGGCTCTGAGATGCATACTCATACATACATCTGTGTATACACACATACATCAGTCACACATAAATATACATATCAACATTTATACACATATATCCACCAGCACATACATACTGATATCTGAACACCTTTTCAGATCCATACCAGATCCACCCACTTAGTATTTCTGCTTATGGGCTTCAAATTTTCACCTGAGGGTGTCAGCAGCAGAGAATACAATAGACTCCACACAGAGTGACAGAGTGTTCTGACAGGAAAGTTTCAGAGTTAGGAGCAGAAGGCTACAAAGAACAGCACTGTATTCTGAGTAGAACAGAGACACAGAGACTGCCAGAAGAAGCTACTCCATTGCCCACACTGTCTGCTACCTTTCTAGCAGCACAGTGAATAAGGGGAAGAAGGAGTATTGCTCTAGCTGATGACTTGGAGCTGGAAGTGTGCTGCTTCCTACCCCAGACCTGAAAGGCAGATAAAGATCATTCAGGACAGCCTCTAAGGGTAGGAAGAATCATGTGAACAAAGACTGGAGACATTCTGGAGAACAAGACTCAACGGGAACTTGATCATTTTTCAAAATCTGAAGGCAGAAGAGGTCGGACTAGTTTGGTGGACTGCCAGAGTGTATGGTCGCGGCACTCAAGAGCACTCTAATGATCTGCTGTAATCGTGTTAGCAGGGAGTGAACTCACACACAGCGTCATATGGTGGGCACTGCACTGCATGCCCCATCGATTAACTCACCAAATTCAACAGTCCTCCGGGGGACAAGCCATTGCTTTCAACCTCTTTAAAGACGAGAAAACTGATCAAAGAGGAGTTAAGCTGAGCACAGGGGAACTGGCTCTAGAACCTTTGCTGTGCTGCCTCCAGAAGGCCAGACTGAGACTACTCTGAGAATAGGAAGCAAAAGGAAAACTTTCACGGTAGTTAAAGCTTTCTGGGTGTGAAGAGGATTGCTTCTCTGAGGCAGTGAGTCCCACAAAGCCATGGGGCTAGCAGTAATGCAACTTGTAGTCCAAGGTGGTTTGGTGAAATATGACTCAGACTTGATATTGTAGTGCATAAACAGAACAGTTGCCTAGGATCAGTGGCATCAGAGCACCTCAGAGCTTGCCAGTCTCCAGCTCCTCCTCCCAACCCCTGAGCTGCAATGGGCTAAACGTGGGTCTTAGCTTTGCCAACGTATTCTTCTACACCTGTTTCCTTATCTGACCAGTTGTATTCCTGTGGAGTTACTATTAGGATTTAATGAACTGCAAGTACTCAACAAACATTAGCCATTAACAGAAAGATGCATCCAAGTGAAACAGGACTATCGAAGGTCCCCAGGCTCTCCTTCTACTTGCAAAGTCCTCTGCTATAACCTGGGTACCCATACCACTAAAAGCCCACAACACAGGAAGCCAAGTGCTGGCTCACATAACACACTGGAACTGCTTTTCCTAGTCAATACTTTCACCACCTTCCTGAAGATGACAGCAACAGGAACTTTTCAGTTGCTGCGGTGTGGCTACAGGGGTAAGTAAACACCACTCTTAGCTTTCAAAATACTCAAAGAAGATCACCACACTGAAGACAGACAAGAAACGAAACAGAAGTCAGACCTCTGTCTCTGAAATATGGACTTGGCAGGTAAAGACAAGCCTACACACTGCCTACAGCACTGTGGAACTCACATGGCAGGGTGGTAACATAGCCTACTTGGAGGTTTACTAGACAGGGAAGCACAAATGAAAAATATAATTCACTACAACACAGCACAGCATGTGGAAACCTGTCAATTAAGAACGAAGCAAAAAATGCAACTGTGAATGAAGTAGTAAAAGAGAAACTCCTGTCAGACACATTCTTAACTTTAAGAAGGATACAGTCAGCTGGGTGCAGTGGGGCTCGCCTGTAACCCCAGCACTCAGGGAGGCAGAGGCAGGAGGATCTCTGTGAGTCTGAGGCTAGCCTGGTCTACAAGTAAGTCCAGGACAGCCAGGGCTACACAGAGAAACCCTGTCTTAAAAAACAAAACAAAAAAAAGGTAAAGAAGAACACAATCAACACAGATTCTGCATCTCATCACCCGTGTCACAGTAAAACTGAATGATGGCATGCCTGGAACCACAGAAGTCTTTTTCCAATGAGGTATTTACAGATTTAAATGTTACAGCAGGCCAAAACAGGAGGGAGCTTTTACACACCGAAAGCACCGGAGAAGGAAAGATTAGAAAGAACAGTAAATACGAGGCCTAAGTAAACAAGCACCGCCAGGCAAACGCCAGCTGACGTCACTTCCTCCTGGTAATGCGGTGTCAGTGTGCACCCCTGCTGAATCCTTCCTGAGTATACACCAAGAGCTGGAGACAACACTTATGAATTTAACTTTCAATCACATAATTTCTGAAAGGATTTTGCCAGATTCTTGGACCTAGTTTTATAAAAGGGTTTGAACTGTCTAACCTGGCCAGTGTCTCCTGTCTAATTGCAAGAGACAGACAGCAAGTTCCTGGAGAGTGAGCTGACGGACACTTCCTGCTGTGAGGTTAGACTAAGGCAGGAGACAGAATAACCTAAAACTGACCTGGCCATACCCAGGCTGAGCCAGCAGGACTGAGAGCGTCACAGCGCAGCCCGGAGAATGTCACTGATCTCGGTGCTGTGCTTAGCACTGCAACTGGGTCACCTACCTGCCCATCCACAGACTAGCCTGACAGGACGACAGAGAGGACGGGTTCTCTTCAGCCTCTTCAGAGGTGGAGCTCTGAGCCAACACTCCAGCAGCTTGACTTGTGATGTCTTTATAAAGCTGAATAAACTGGTATAAATTCATGATCCGCGATGCTTCCACAATACCACTGCTTTTGTTAATCTAGAAAGACAAAGAAAAAAGGTGGCACAGAAACAATACTCAGTCAAATATCCCAGGAAACACTGTGATATACCTAAAAACTAAGAGTCTGAATAAAAGAACAGACACACTTTCTTCAGTTGTGGGGTTCATCAGGAATTCATTAAATTTTCCCATCTCTCATTTAAAATAACCTTGAAAGGCTGATCAGGCAGCATCCTGTCTGGAGCTGATAATGTCAAGGTGACCTTCCTGGAGTTGAGAAACAAGTTTTAAAGACTGTTATTAAAATTTTTTCACTTTGACGTTTTAATTCTTTTTTGAGACAGAAATTTGCTATGTCACAACCTGACCTATACTCAAGATCCTCCTGCCTCAGTCTCCCAAGTGCTAGCATTACATGCATGTACTACCATTATAAGCTAATAATTTTTGTTGTTTTTCTTATTGTTTTTGGAGACAGGATTTTCTGTATAGACTTGGCTAGCCTGGACTCACTTTTCAGACCAGGCTAGCCTCGAACTAACAGTGATCCACCTGCCTCTGTCTCCCTCTGAGTGCTGGGACTGAAGGTGTATACCACCACACCCAGCTGCAAGGTAATAATTTTAATTAAGGGATTTATTTCTGGTATTGTGTGATAACTGAAAGGATAATAGTGACTACTTCCTCTTCCTCCTCATTCTTGTGTGTGCATGGGTGTGCAAGGGTATGCAAAGACCAGAGGTTTACCTTGGCTATCATTCCTCAGGACACCGGATGTTTGTCTGTCTGAAGTTCTCTCACTTGCCGTGGAATGTGTTGACTTCACTAGGCTCTCTGACCAGCAGGCCTCGGGGGATCTATGTACCTGTCTCTGCCTCCTCAATCTCAAGATCACAAGCATGCTGCATGCTTCAGTGTTTGTTTTGGTTTTTTAAAACATAGGTTCTGGGAATCAAGCTCAGGTCCCTGTGTTCGTACAGTACACTCTGACAACTGAGTTATTTCTTCAGTCCCCTTTTTTGTATATATTTATCCTCTATTTTGTACTTTTAAACTAAAGCCAGAATGCTACATTAAATTATAAAAAGTAACTGAATTTCAAGATTTCACAAAATTTCATTTCCTATGAAGTGGAACCATGGCCTGGAGATAGTTCTATAATGTGTATGTCTGGTCACTTTCATAAGACTTCAGAATGTCAGAATCGGAATATATCATGTCTGAAATAAGGAAAATCAGTAGAATGAGGATATAATACTCTTGAAGAGTTGAGATAATCAGATTGATTACAGGTAGGAAAGACTTCTTTTCAGCAGACAAGATGGTAGAAAGTCTGTATGATGCTAAGAGTGGTGGTACACTCCTGTAACCCTCAGACAGAAGGCTGAGGCAGGAAGACTGCTTCAAGGTTAAGGCCGACCTGCACACAGAATGAGCTGAAGGCCAGCCTGGGTTATGTAATGAGACCCTGTTTCAAAAGCAAACAATCAAACAAAAAGTAAAAACAAAGAAACAACAATATCAAAAGACGGTGGGAACAGAGGTAAGTGGAGAAATCTTATGCGTGCATCAGAATAAATGGAACTACGAGGTTAGAAAATGTAGAGAGATGAAATGGCTGTGTGTGGCGGTGCACACCAATACAATCCTAGGACCCAGGAAGCTGGATGTCACAGTGAGATTGTCTCAGAAACACAGAAGAGGGAAAGAGGGAATGACAGTAAGCCTCAGGATTGTGAAATGTGCTCATGGAAATAAAAATGAGAAGACAGACTGTACATATATTTAAAATTATCACAGCAGTGTTTTCATAAAAATAAGTTATAACTAATATTAATTAATTTTTTACCATCTGAGAAATTAGTAAAAATATTGAGACTCAAGAATGGGTCAGATTTCATATCATGAAAATGTAGAATCATATCTAATAATCAAAAACCTGTTTAAATTTTGGGGAGCTAGTATCTATGTGGAGATTCAAACATATAAGACTCTTTGCAATTAAAAAAAAAAAACTATACACAAAGTAGAAAACAAGTAAAACATGACAGGGAATTTACAGCAGCTTTTAGAACAAACGTTCAGGGCTGGGGAAAGTGGTCCAGTGTTCTTTTGAACTGTACAATACAGAAGAAATAAATTATGGGGCCCTTCATATAAGGGTCTTACTGTGTTAGTGAAATGAGTCATACATTAATTGTTCTTATCATAGAATTCTTCATTGTATTTATTGAGTGTCCACAATGCAGGTGTTCTAGGTACGATGTGCACTGCTCTAGGGACTAAAGACATGGTGTGCATAACACAGAATCCGCTGCTACATGCAGGCCACCAGAGAGGGAAGAGAAATGAAGCACAGACTAGGGTGGGTGGAAATCAAGATAAGGCAGGGAGAGAGCATGCTGAGGGGCAAGGAAGGCCCCGACTGTAAAAGCTACATTTAAGAACCAGAAGCCCGAGGGTAAGGTACCACAGCTGCAACATCTGGTAGTGTAAAGGCTGCCTTGCAGATGTGCACCTGGTGAAAATCTCAAGGAATCCAGCAAGAAGCCAGAAGTGGGTGAGACAGAGGGAACGGTGACGAAAGACAGGGTTAGAAGGTGAGGCAGTGACAGAACACACAGAACTCTGCCCATCGCCACAATGATGTTGACTCATTACAAGCACACAAGAAGCCACTGGAATGCTGGGAGATAACAAGTAACACTTCAATGTGAAGAGGAATGGCTGCTGTGCTGGGAATGCACAGGGATACCAGAACAGAAGCAGGGAGAGCATCGGGGAGGTAGCGGGGATGAATGTTCCTGGTGAAAAGCGATGGCCACCATGAAAGAGTGAGGGCCTCTAGATTCTCAACATGGGCTGTCTGGAGCATTAAAGGAGAAAAATAAAGGACAACTGCAAGGTTTCGGGTTAAGCACAAGGAGTGTCGGGCACGCGTGAAGATCTGTATCTGTGCACACATGTACGTGTGTTCTATGTGAGGGCATATGTGTGGAGGGCAGAGGTCAACTTTGGGCCCTGTGTGTCTTTGACATGGGGTTTTGTGTTAGCTCAGAATTTACTAACCTGGCTAAGCTGGCTGGCAGGGACACTAGAGGTCCTCCTGTCTCCTTCCCTAGTACTGGGATGACACCACTATGCGCACCACTATGCCTGGCTTCACTGGAGGCTCTGGGGATTGAGTTCAAATCTTCATGTTTGAATGGCAAGGGTTTTGCTGACTAAACTCTCTCTCCCCAACCCTCTCATGACGTTTTCTTACTAGTCACTTCAGCACATAAATTTGGGGTTGTTATACGTTTATTTTCTTTGTATCAGTGTTTTGCCTAAATGTATTTATGTGTGCCACATATGTGCCTGGAGCCTGAGAAGCTCAGAAGCGGCCATCAGATTTCCAGGAACTAGAGTTACAGATGGCGTAAGTGACCATGTAAGTACTGGGAATCGAACCCAGATCCTCTACAAGAACAAGTGCTTGTAACTGCTGAGCCATCTCTCTAGTCGCCCCAGTATATAATTTTAATTAATCTAATAACTTTTCTAATGTCATACCCACAAATATATAATATAATTTAAGATTTTTTTTAGAAAAATGAATTAGACTTTGAGTATAATGCTCTATTCTAGAGCATAGACAGACAAGAAAGGTCTTACTGTAAATTCAGAGATTAAAACAGAAATGTTTATAATTTTTTAAGAATCATAAATACGAAGCTCTCAGGCCAAGTGTGGTGAATACATACTTTGTACACTTAGCACTTGGGGCTGTGAGGCAGAACACTGAGTTTCAGGACAGCCTAGGCTACACAGTCAGACCATTAACTCCAAAAGAATTTTTACTGAAAAGAAAAAAAATAAAAATAAAGAGAAGAAACATAACACTTTTAGCCTCAAGTCATTTTTCTACACTAGACTTAACTCTTTCTAATCCAAATATTGGCTTCTCAAGATTCTTTGCAAAGAAATACAAATAAATTCTTTGAATAGATTTACTAGCAAAAAATGCAAAATAAGACACTAACGGTCTTTGTCTTTAATATTTTCATTTTTCTACTTAGAACCTTATTTTAAGAGTTTTAATAGACTACAATAATTTAAACTAAACTATATAGTAACACAGTGAAAGCTACTGGAGCAAAAAAGAACTTGGTAAATAATAATACCAAACATTAACTTTGTATCAAAAGGAGAAAACCAGGGGATTAGAAGCCTGATACATATGTAATTTGATAGTTTTCTACAGTTTACAAAAGTCTCTTGCTTGTAGAGTGAGCATTTTATGAAATAAGGATGGAGAGTAAATATAATTCAGGTAACACGCAGCAAACACAAGCAAAGCCTCGGCGCTGACCATGCAGAGAACGGTACCTCTTCAACAGGTGTTTGATCACCCAGTACAAGCTGAGCTGCTGGATGCAAAGCACAGTATTTCAGCCATGATACAGAGTTGCAAAAAACAGTTCCTACCCAATGAGCCACTGGGAAGCTAGGGTCCAAAAAGACTACTCTATCCTTTATGTTAAGTGTTAGCTATGAAGTAGAAACTGGAATTTAGAAAAGGCCAAGAGACTTCTTGTGAAGGGAGAGTACAGATAGGATGGTATCTGAGATGGACCTGTGGAAAAATCAAGTTTGAACATATAAGAGTGATGGGAACAGTTGCTGACCGTCTAAGCATTGTTTCCACTGTAGTTGCTGGCATGCCTGCTGTTTTATTCTCCCCTCCCTAAATGTCGAGGGAGGGAAGGAAGAAGAGAGGTGTGGGGAGAGGGGAGAGAGAGAAAGAGAGGAAGAGAAAGAGAAAGAGAGAGAGAATGAAGTATGGCTGCATATTGACCAGTGGGCTATAGAGATCTGCTGGGCTGTGACCAGCTTTTGAACCAGTATATCAGGATTTGCTGACGCATGAGAAAATAAATGGCTATTGTTTAAACTAGTTTAAAAGGAGTGTTTTGTGATTTGATGACCATTAAAGTGACAGAAGGAGCAGACATCTTAATTGAGGAAACTCAGTAAACAGAGGGTGTGAGTCGTAAAAGTAACATCTTCAATTCAATAACATTGGTAGGCATGCAGAATGCAAAAGAGAATAGTGAGTAAAGCAGAAAAGAAGCATGGAGTCATATGGTAGGGGCCATAAGCACCACACACAACAGCAAGGGAGGTTTTGCAGGCAGCAAGCTGAGGAGAGCTGAGCTTCAGAAAAGTCATTTCACAGCAGCATAGACTGGAATATGGAGGATTCTGGGGGTGTAGAGCTTAGCAGAGTCTATGGTAGAAAAGACAGGGGCCTGAACTGCAAACAGTTTCCTTAAGGACATGGCATCTGCCTGCATTCTTAGTTCCTGGTGTAACTGCTAACATTTCTGCTTGAATAAACTGGAAGTAAAACACAGCAAAAATGAAACTGATAAACTTATCAGGGAAATGCGACAGATTATCAAGCAATCTCTGCGGTCTGTGATTCACTAACATTTATTTGTAGTACAGTATACCATTTATTCTAGTGTATTCAATATTCATATACATAGCATTAAAAGTTGTTTTTCCTTTCTAAATGAATGAAATACAATGTTCTTAAAAGAAATCACCTTCTGGGGTAACTAACTTGTAAGACTGCCCTTTATCCTTCAAGATTTGCTTACCACGAGTAGACTCCATCCATGTCCATAAATAGAGTATAACTGACTATATAATGTATTTCAGACTGTCAAGTGACTCACCTGGGGAGAGTCTGATTGGTCAGAAATGGACTTCAGAGAATTCACAACTATGCAAACTGTGGCTTATACGGCTTATCTTACCTTTTAGAAGAGAGGTTGAGACTAAAGGAAAGCTATTAAATTCATTTCCTCTCAGGGGCCTCTGGCTAAGAGCTGCTACTCTAATTAGCTTACTGGGAGCAGGAAGCCTTCTAACACTCTGCAACAGCTGCCAAGATATTTTTAGAAGTTATTTAAAATACAAAAACTTAACTACAAGATAGCACATCCCTGACAAAAGGTCCAACTCTATAACCCAAAATCATCATAGCCTCTCTGATGGATTGTTTTTACGTGGATGTAATCCAATAGTCTCAAAAGAAGAGATTTCCTGAGATAACCAGTTTTTAAGGTCTCATCTCAGAGCTAACCGTGGTGTCCTCCGAGGGCTCCACAGCTAGCTAAAGTCTCAAGAGACAGATGGAAGGTGGAGATAAGCTGGCTGACACTTCCTCCAATCACAATAATCAACGTGACTTGGCAATTGAACAACAACGAGATTCAAACAGCTTGAAGGCAACAGCACTATCAATGATTTAGGGGCTGAGGAGGTGACTCAGCGAAGTGTCAGCCATTCAGGAATGAAGACCCAAGCTCAGTTACTCAGTACCCACATAATATCTGGGTACAATGGTGTGGGTATGTAAGCCGCTTGCACTGGGGGGAGCAGAGGTAAGCAGATCCTGGGCATGGGGTGGGGTTCCTGGCCTGCCAGCCTAGCCAAAACACAGAGTGAGCTCAGGTTCAGTGAAAGACCCTACCTTAAAACATAAGGCGAGATCAACAGAGGCCAACACCTGATGTCGACCTCTGGCCTTGACCATGATGTACACATGCACATAGAGATTAACATATAACACACACAGACACACACAGACACACACTTCACTCACTCACCCACACACCTAAGCTTTATAAGACTAACGAATCAGTGACATTTATTTACAAAATCTATTACATTATTAAATGTGCCTCTAACTACCAAAGCATTATAAGACTCCACCAGTCTTACCTTGGTGCAGACCACCCGGACAACCACTTTCCAAAAGGCAGAGGAATCGGACCCAGGTTGTACCTCAAAGAGAAGATGTTTTTCCTGGCCAGCAGCTACCTTAGCAGTTCTAAAAAGAGGTAAGCACATTGTTATTTTTATGAAAAGTAGTAGAGCTTTGAAACCAGACTCAAGAAACCTTTTTCAATAGGGAAATAAAAAGGATACAGCAGAAGTGATTATAGTAAGATTCCTATAGCACAGAAACAATGTTCTGAACACACACTTAGTTTCTGATGTTTTTAAAGTCAAAAGCTCTGCAGAATACTTATCTCCATATCTATATTTTAATGGTCTTTGAGTGTCTAAAAAAGATGTCAGAAAAAAATTAGTCCAAAGCTGGGCATGCTGACACTAGTCTGTGGTCTCAGCACTTGGCAGATGGAAGGATGGAGGATCAAGAGTTCAAGAAGAACTTGAGGCCAGCCTGGGCTGCATGAGGTCCTACCTAAAAGAAAACAAACAATCATAACAATTAGCACCAACAAACATAGTCCAAGAAACCTGGCACTTTAAGTAAAAGTTTGCTAGCTTAATTTATACAAATGCTGACCAAATACACAGAAGACCTTGTTCTTGGTTGAGTCCTGTTTACATAACCACACGAACATACCTTTTTGAAAGTTTTAATTTATAGTAATTTTCGTCTCAGCCAAGTAAAACATATTGTGATTTTACATACAGCTCCATCGCCTTTCCACATGAAGTGGTACAACAGCCAAGCTGCCATAAAGACAACACAACACTTTCAGTATCTTGCTGTCCACATCAACTACAATCAGTCTAGAGACTCGAGACTGCAGCTCCCTTTATCACTGCTACTGCTCTCTGAGCCCCAGCAGAAGAGCTGCATACAGTAAGTGCCTTCCAGATAAGCAAAGCAACTGGCCTCAGTAAAGTCAGCCAAGGGGAATAACTCAGTCATGCCAGCTCCCAGCTGTTTCCTGGGTATCAAGACGCGCATCTGCAGGTTTGACTTCATGGTCAGCAGACGGCGGAGAGCACTGCACTTAGAAAATGTTCAACTGTAGTCCCCGGAAATGAATTTCAAGCTACACTGCTGGTATTGCAGTGTGCAGCCACCACAGCAGCTTAGGTTTGAGTCTCAACACAAAACCAAAGCAAACCCTTCAAATCCATTCAAATATCCCGTGCCAAGTAAGTAAAAAGAATATATTTTTACTCTTACCCAATAATTTAGCATGCAGGTAATGTCACAGACAGTTTTTTTTTTTTTCTAAAAACTTTACATCAATAAGCAAAAGCTCATCAAATTGTCCGAGTTTACATATATAAGTTCAAGGACTAAAAGATGGCAAATGTTATTAATTTCTCTTCCTAAGAGTTGGAACAATGCATGGGAGAGATGGCTCAAGTGCTTTGTAAAGGCACTTGCCATCAGGCCTGACCACCTAAGTTCAATCCCTGTGACACACATGGTAGGAGAGATTTCTGCAAGTTGTCTTCTGACCTCTACATGTGCACTGCTCCACAAATACATAAATGTAATTTTTTTTAAAGTTGGAACAAAAGTAAAGTACTCTCTTCTTCTGATAGAAGAAGAAAAAAGCTACTTTTCTTTTTTTAGTAAGTAAAATCCAGTGTTCTTAAAAGAAAGCAACTCCTGATAAAACCTTAAGATGTTCCTTTAGCCGTCACAACTGACTGAAAAAAGAGAGTATGATCTTCTTACCTAACATGTTTCATACTGCAATATATGCCTTATGTCATAAATGCCTCTGAAATAGGCGCATACATATCACTGCAAGCTTTTAATAGTGACTGTATTATTACAAATTTATATATAGTGGTCCTGGGCTTTGAGGTAGTTGAATGAGAAGTAATGTAGAATTATGGAAAGAACTTCCAATTCAGAGACAGTTGGAGTGTCATCAATATTTGAATAATCAATCAAATGGTTTATCAGTTCAAATGCTCAAACCATTAGCATTGAGCTCTGTGAATATTATGTGCTCAGTGACCATTGATTAGAATGAAGAGACTAGAGAGAACTTTAAGGTATTACTTAAGGGGGCTGAAAAGATGGCTCAGTGGTTAAAAGCACCCACTGCTCCTCCAGGTGACCTGGGTTCAATTTCCAGCAACAACACGACAGCCCACAAGTCTGTAACTCTAATCCCAGGGGATCTGCTGCCCTCTCCTGGCTTCTACAGGGACCAGGCATGAGAGTGGTGCACACATACACAGAAGGCAAAACTCATACACATGAAATAAAAACATTTTTAAAAGATGTCATTTAAAATGTCTTAGGCAAGTTTTACCTAAACTCCCACATAGACAGAAGATTGATACAGAATAAAGAAGTAGAAGTAGATGCTACCAGAGGAAGCTTTAAGAGAAGAAAGTGTCACCAGCCATCTGTCACAGGGGGAACAAAGCAGCAGCATTGAGAAAGCATAGAAGCTACTCAAGGGAAAAGAGCCCTTCGTATTTTAAAAGCTCCCATATAGATCAGCACAAAAATTGAGGTGAAGTCTATAAAAAGACGAAGTTCCAGGTGGAGAAACTTACAGTCTGTCTTAGACAGAAACTCACTCAGAATAAGCAGACTTAAAAGTGACCTTTTGCTGCACAGGTACTTTAGTGGACAAAGAGTGCCACATGCCCTGGCATGCCACACGCACTGGCACATGGTGGTGCTTCTGGCTGGCCCAGGCATTTCCTTTAGTGACTGAGTGGCAAATTCTCTTCTGTTAATGTGCCTCTTTAAGGGCTCTCACACAAGAGTCAATTACAGCCTCTTAGCACACACTGCTGAGCTGTGGTACATTTTAGAATTGCTTCTATACCTGTCGTCTGTGTTCTGAATTTCATTTTACGTTCCTCCCATGCCTCTGTTCCCCTCCCACATTTTAAAACAGCTACATTACAGTCTGCCTCGAGTGAATTACTAACTCATGCAAACCGATCCATTCCTACCATCAGTGCGTGTGGTGCCTCACAGTCATGACAAGTGGGGCACATAGACAGAGAAAATAGGATGAAGATGAGCAGGCCTTACACATCATTGAGTTCAGCTACTCTCCCAAGAAATTCTTCATAAGTTAAGGAGCCACTTTCTCGAACCAAGGTGACGTGTTTTGCTACTTTTTCTGGTAACTTGTTAATAACCAACTGTGTCTGATCCGAAATTTGCTGTCCCATGGTGAAATGATGTCTTTCAGAATTCAGAAAGAGTTTCTTCACATAGTTTCTGTTAAATACAATGCAAAAGTTATTTTACATAAATATAAAAATACTAATATACTCACTGTCTTAGTTTTATTATTGCTGTGTTGAAATACCATGACCAAAGCAACTTGGGGAAGAAAGAGTTTATTTGGCTTAAACTTCCATATTACTGTTCACCATTTAAGGAAGTCAGGACAGGAACTCAAACAGGGCAGAAATCTGGAGGCAGAAGCTGATGTAGAGGCCATGGAGGACTGCTGCTTACTGGCTTGATCTGCGGCTTGCTTACCTTGCTTTCTTATACAACCCAGGACTACCAGCCTAGGGGTGACCCCACCCACAACGGACTGAGCCCTCCCCAACTGACAACCAATTAAGAAGATGACCTACAGGCTTGCCTATAGCCCCATCTTATGAAAGTAATTTCTCAAGTGAGGTTCCTCCTTCTCAGATGACGTTAGCTTGTGTCAAGTTGACATAAAACTATCTAGTACACTCATCCTTCAAAAAGCAAAGAAAACTACAAGTACTGGAAGTGGGGATTCAGTCAACTAAATGAATCTGAGATACAATTTATTTAATCATAGTTTTTAAAGTAAAAATTTGTTACTTATTTTCAGAATCATACAGCTAAATAATTCACTTATGATACTGGAAGACTGATGGGTCTGTTAATTACCAAAACAAAACCCATCTCTTCTCTCTCTCTCTCTCTCTCTCTCTCTCTCTCTCTCTCACACACACACACACACACACACACACACACACACACACACAGACACAGAGACACAGAGAGAGAGAGAGAAGAGAGAAGCAAGAACATTTTCAGACTGTCTAATATATGTCAGACTCCAAGCTAAAGGCTTCCTATATGACATCATGTATTACTCACAGCATCCTATAGAGTAGATGTATTTTTATATCTTTATTCTATAGATAAGGAAATGGTTAGTTTACGGTATGTGAACTTTTAACTCTTACCTCAAGAAATCCCATTTCATTTACCATAAAAGAACTATATTTTGCTTTCATTCAAATTAATACCTTTACCACATAAAGCAAGTGAAGTTGTAACAATTATACAGAAAATAACTTCAGCAGAAAACTTGCTTTGCTGTTTAATAAAAATAAACATTATAGCTTTAAATACAAAAGATGTGACTATAGGGCTGGAAAGGTGGCTAGTAGGCAAAGGCACTTGTTGCCAAGCCTGACAACTTGAGTTCTATCTCCAGGACTCACATGACAGAGAGAACCAATGCTTGGAGGTGTCCTCTAACCTCTAGACACGAGCTACAGTATGTGCACCCTAGACACACATATGCATACACACAAGAAAAATAAATGTTTAAAAATATGACTTCAAAGTTTAGAACCACAAAGATGTATCACTTTGGGTATTAAAATTTGATGTACTATCTGAGAGTTTTTAAAAAGTTGCTGTTAATATTGTAAAAGTACAACTGTACTAAAAATAATTCCCCATTACTATTTTGGATCTGAATCTATATAGTAGCAACAAATACCATACTAGAGGAACAATAGAAAAGAAAACCACAGACTACTAAAACATAATTTCTGAAGGCAAAAGATTACATTTTAAGTATGTCCAAGTATAATAGATCCATACCAACTATATCGAAAGAGGACCATTAAAATCCCCAGCTTAGAGGTGTCCCAGGAGTTCACCTCCAGTGGCTCCTAGGTGTCACAGACTAGTGACATCTCAAAATAAAATACAACAGTATTTTGAACTTCATTTTAGTCTAAGCAAGGACAGTCTCCAAACAAAAATTCCTAAATGCCCAAAACCTAAGAAAAAATGTAAAAAAATTATAGTATGAAAAGTAGGGTATAACATTAGACATTAGAGTAAGCCCCTACCAAGAAAAGCAGTAACTTCACGCTGACACTTACTGCCTACAGATACTGAAATGACAAGCTACCTTTACTTTTCAGGTTCTGATTCACACGTGGAAGCATGAGTAAATGGCTACAGACCAGCTGGAAACCACTGTCATTCTAAAAATCAATGTTTAGCTGGGGAGGCGGGGCAGGTGGCATGCTTTTCACACACCTTTAATCCCAGCACCCAGGAAGCAGAGGCAGGCAGATCTCTGAGTTCACGGCCAGACTGCTCTACAGAGCAAGTTTAGGAAAGCCATGGCTACACAGAGAAACCTTGTCTTGGAAAACTAAGACAATAAATAAATGAAAATAAAATTTATTTAAAAAGTTCGATGCGTGTTGCTGATGTCTGAGGGACAGGATAGAAAGCAAACTTGAAAAGACAGGGTTCTTGGCACCACAGGGCATCCAACACAGCTGGAGAAGGGCAATAATCATACAGATAAGTATATAATTACAAAACAAGAACCACTACACAAACAAGGATAGAAGCCTTGAAAGCCTAGAAGTGGGTGAAAGGCACCAGTCTTGAGTTGGAAAACAAACCCTGGGCAAACACTCAAGTCCAGAAAGATAGTCTGGGTCTGTAAGAGTCAGAGCACGGTGGGGGGACGCTTTACGCAGAAGTGTCCAAAAGCGTATGAGATAGGTAGATCCTGGTGCCTAGGAGGGAAATAAAGACACCGGGGTGACTGGAGAAAGGAGACACTGACACCAAAATAAAAACCAAAAAAATTAAAAAAGATGGCTGTTTAAGATTTTTTTTTCGGATAAGTGGAAGGCAAAATTAGGTTTGCTTGCACAATCTGGCCGACCAAAGCTAAAATGAATTAACTGTATCTACTGAATAAGACTCAGGGACTTGCTAAGTCTATAAATAGAGCACAATGTTAACTCTAGAATGTGTTCTGAAAAGCTGATGGGACAAAAGCACCAAGGCCAGATGTGCTTTAAAGCAGCACAAAAATAGAGAAGTCCTGGGGTTTTAGATCAAAATAACAGAATAATAGGTCTAGCAAAGATGGCTAGAAGCAGATGTCTACAGCAAGGAGCCTCCCACTCTGTTATACAATGGGCTGGCCACACAGGAGGTTTTTATTCAGCTCAAGGCAGTCACACCAATAAATCAGAACACACTCAAGTCATAGTCTAGAAACAGAAACAAGGTGACTGATGGAAACTGCGTACAACTAGGTAATGGCCCGGGCAGCACAACAGCCTGTTCAAATATTTGCATGCTTACAAAGAGCAGATTGGCCAATAAGTACAGAGGAGAAGACCAGACTTACTTCAAGAATGCCCTACCACACAGCAATGAAAAGGGCTGTTTCAATACACGTGAACTTTTCAATGACATAATATGAAAAAGATTTTAAAGTTTAAAAGATCAGAAGTTCATCTAATGAGCGCTGTAGAGAATCTTCAGGTGCAAATCAATGGCACTAACCTTTAACCCAGCAATTTTCAACTGGCGGTTGCTACCCCAAAGACCATCAGAAATTTCCATTATGATTCATAGTTATGAAGTAGCAACGAAAATAATTTCATAGTCAAGGTCAGCACAACATGAGGAACTGTATTTAAGGGTTGCAGCATTAGGAAGGTTGAAAACCACTGCTACAACCTTACATTTTGCTCTCAAAATGAGACTTGACTTCCTCAAGCTTTGCCATAGCAGCTTAATAAACAGTCAGACTCTAATCAGCCTGACTGGAACTTCCACTTCCATCTACACTGCCTAACAAAGAAAACAAAACGTCTGAAAAGGTCTCAAGACTTAATGGAACTAAGGACAACTGAATCAAAATTTGTATGGAGGCAATAGTTCCCTCCTCTACCTTTGGGTCTCCAGCTGTTTTCAAGATTAACTAAACAAACAGGAGAAAACTATGCACACTGTATGGTCCTCACAAGAGAAATAAGATCCTAAATAGGACCGAAAGCCTAGACACTCACTGGACAAAGAGTAGACAATGGAGTTGGGAAAGTAGCAAGGAAGGGATTCCTTAGAAAAGTCTGTGCTGGTTTCTTCTGGCTCTGAGCCCCATCTCTCACTGTAAGATGCCTTCCTTTCCCCCGTAAAAGGCAGGTACTTTCATAGGAGGGCTTCAACTTCCTTTTTAAGGAAAGGGAAGGAAGGTTCCAGCACACTTTTTTATCTGCTACTTCAAAAAGTATTTGTACCTTAAAGACTTCTTATGCCAATGTCATATTGTGATACCCTATGCTGCTCATCAAAACCCATCTGAAAAGCCTTTGTTGTTTCGTGAATTAGAGAATGTTGCACTATCTCTGTTACCCTAACTTTGAACAACAAGGTTTATAGTGTTTCTTGCAATTGCACTTAATTCCAGGAAACTGAGTCACTGACTCCATGCCTACCTGAAGGGGTGAAAGAAGGGAGGACCCAACATTGAGCCAATATTAACCAATCTCATCACCAGTGTAAAAATATGGCAATTATTTACGTATAATATGGAGCCACTGACATAAGTACCCACAAAAGCAGTCTGCTGAAGCCACCCTTCAGTCCCCAGCCACAACCTTTTCGATGTCTCTCCTTGATAATCTACATACTGCTATCACAGCATGCATCATTCAATTAACTCACTTGCCTCCCCCACGAGTTCTCCAGGACACACAGCTGTGCTCTCGCTGCTGGATAGTAGATAAGAATACAATATTGCACTAGCCATTGTTTTTTCATCACTCACCTAGCATCTTTTATTAAGTTCTACTACACTAACATAAACTTGAAGTTAGAAATATATTTATGGAAAATGTAAAATTGTGAAAATTTATCCCTGATAAGTATATATATTGGGAAACCTTCAGAACAAAATATCTCCTTGGAAATTACAGAACAGCAGTATTGCTTACAGACATAATTTGCAAATCACTGGCAATAAACTTCAGTAAAAGAAAAGTCTGTGGCCAAGATTCCGGAGAGAGCTTGTGGCCTTGGTCCCTTCTAGCAAGAAAGAGCTGTGCTTCCGACAGCAGCTGGAGGACTTTCTAAATAAGATCTGTTATTCTGAAACTCACAGGAACATCAAGGATTCCAAAAATGCCACCTTCTTCAGTGGGTGGCACACACAGTTGATTTTCTAACAAATGATTTGTTGTAATTCAAGTATTCCTGACACGAATGTAACGACTGTGCCACTAATAGGTCTCACAAACCGGAGCTCTCTGAAAATGTAAACCATAAGCCATTCAGAAATGACGCAGATGAAAACTGAGCCAATCAAAGTGCAAGGTGACCAGGTGACGGCTGGAGAGCTCAGCTGGGAAGGTGCGTCCAGGAAGCACTAGGCCGAGTTCTATCCCTGAACCCACGTGAAGACAGTGGGTTGAACTCACTGAAGACAGTGCGATGGCACACTTGTGATCTTAGTGCTGGGAAGGCCGAGAAGGGAGGATCCCTGGGACTTGCTGGCCAGAAGGTGTAGTCTAAGCAGACCCAAGGCTGACTTCTGGTGCGCATATGCACCCCACCCCCAGGATGACTAGCTGACAAGGACTGTGGTATCAAAGGCACCTTCGAAGTTTGTTTAATTTTGCAACATCTTCAATCTTAGTAATAAATCCTAAGTCTTACAACTGGGCTGGGTCGCGAAGGGCACTATTTACTTTATTATTCGCTGTTTACAAAACTCTAAATTTACAAGAAGTATCAGTTGTTCAAATTAACACAGATATAACAGTCCAATGATTAGGCTACTCAGATCAGTATAGAATCTAAAATGCCTGTTCTCAGACTGAAAACCTATAAATAAGAGTACCGGGTAATTGCTGGAGTTCTAATAATGCCAGTGTGTTTAGTAAGTATACTTCTTAGAATAAAATATCCTAGATTTGTATGAATTCTCTTTATACCTCTCCCTTTTTAGAAAGAGAAATAAATTTCCTCTAGTTACAAGAATTTAGGTGTATCCAAAGAAGAAATCAAATATAAATATACATATATCTGTGTGTTTCCCATATATATATATTGTTTTCCCATATATATACATGTATTTCACACACATATATATAATATATATATATATATATATATATATATATATATATATATACTGCTTCCTTATGTCAAATGACAAAGAACGCATTTTTGAAAAACATAATCATGTGAAGGAGGAAAATAATACAGAAACTGAAACCAGCCAGCATTAAAGGGGAAAAAAAAAAAAATCAATGCTACTTCTGAGGGTTCTGGATTCAGAAGCATTACTTCTCAAAGACAACTACCAGGAACACTGGTCAGTAGGCAGCTCACACCCCACGCAAAATTCTTAAGGATGTACTTCGCTAGCAAGAATGGGCAGTGGGAGCGGAAAGATAAGCTTACTTTGAGACATACGGATTAAAGGCAACTGAAGTGTTACCGCAGCTACATATATTGCAGTAGCAAGACATGAAAAAAGCGGCTGCCATTTATTTAACAGGTAGGCTGGAAACAACTTCCAACAATTTTAAAGCCACATTTTGTAATGAAACTGCACACAGAAGGCAACTTACCCTACAATCATGATTAGCAAGGAAACTTTTTTTTTAAAGGTCGGTTCTCAAGGTAGCAATTAGTTTGACAAGCAGAGGCCCAGATGCACTGCCAGGGCGAGTTTAGAAGGAGGGCTAGCCAAGCTACAGGCCCAGGCTTTCCCCTTGCCCTGTGGCTACCCTCCCGCTCCGGCCCCCGCCCCTCGGCCCCTCCTCGGCGCACCTGCTCAGCTAACCAACAGCTAAACTGCACACTGCGCCAGCGCCAAGATTCAAAACAAGCCTGCGCTGATCGCGGAAACCTCTCATCAGCACCACCGCCGAGGCGGACCCAGAGCATCCGCCCGCCCGTGGAAGCTGGTCCCCCCAGCCCGCAGCCGAGGCCCTGACCAGGGCGGCCTAGCTCCCCCGAAACCCGGATCCGCAGCCCGGCGCTGCCCGCGCCTCCTCTCCCCGCCCCAGGACCGTGGAGCGGCTGGGAAGGGACATGGCGAGGGGGCGGCGCTGCAAGGCTCACCTCGTTTAAGGCATCGCTCTCCCCGCGCCAGCGCCGCCGCCTCCGCCGCTACTTAGCTAAACCCGCTAGGCGGCAGCGCCGCGGCAGGCCTCCCAGTCGCACCTCAGTGACGTAAGGCCACGCCCTCGCGCGTTGCCTGGAGACGGAGCTCCACCCCACCTGCTGGCTTTGGAGGTTTCTGTGGCTCAAGGCTGCTGGCACATGTTCATGCAGGCAAAATACTCCACTCACATACATAAATATCAACAAAATAAAATAATTTTGTAAAAAAAAGACAAAATATAAAGAGGCAAGCCACAGGCTTGAGAAAAGCAAAATGTATTTAACAAAGGGCCTCTAATTAGAATACACAAACAATTCTTACACCTCAGAAAAGAAACAGCCCAAATTTCTTAAATGGCGAAAAACTGGACCTGCCTTATAGATATATAAGTAGCAAATAAGCATACGAAGTGATGTCTGACATTGTTACTCACTAAGGAAATGCAAATTAAAAGGAAAGTATCAATGAAATACCCACAAGTGCTAAAATTGAAAGGACTATATTAAGTGTTGACAAGGATGCTGAACCCCTGGAATTATTATAGATTGTTTGTTGGGGATGTAAAAATGGTACAATGGAAAGAAATTGTGACCATTTCTTTAGAACCTAAGCATCATGTTCCAAACACATAAGCCACTCATTCTGCTTCTAACCTATGTCCATACAAAGACTAGAACACCAATATCAGATACCTGTTGTGGTGGTTTGAGTGAAAATGCTCTCCATAGTCCCATAGGGAGTATCACTATTAAGAGGTGTGACCTTGTTGGAGAAAATATGTCACTGGGGGTGGGTTTTGGGGTTTCAGATGCTCAAGACAGGCGCAGGGTCTGTCTCTCTCTTCCTGCTCCCTGCTGATCCAGATGCAGAACTGTCAGCTACCTCTCCAGCGCCCTGTTTGCCTGTGTTCTGCCAGGCTTCCTACCATGACTATTATGGACTAAACCTCTGAACTGTAAGCTAGCCCAAATGAATTGTTTTCCTTTATAAGAGTTTCTGTGGTCATGGTGTCTGTTCACAGCAATAGAAACCCTAAGATACATGTCAACAGGTGAATGAAAGAGTTGAAGAAAAGCCACACAATGGAGGATTGCTCGGCAATAATAAACAGTACGTGGTTGACACCAACGTGGATGAACCTGAAATACTTAGGCTGAAAGAGGACAGACCTTCCTGAAAAATTCTAGAAAAGGCTCTCCCACCCATGGAATCTTTAGTTACAAAATCAGATGTCATTAGAGAATGGTGACAAGTAGAAAACACTACAGTGCTATAAGGGGGCTTGAGGTGGCTAACTCAATGGTAGAACCTTTGCCTAGCATGCATTAAACCTTGGTTCAGATTCAAGCACCAGTCCTTGAAACCTTCAAAGGGGTAGGGAGAAACATTTTAGGGTACTACATTTGCTGTCTTGGATGATGGCTTCACAGACACGAATGTGAAAACTTCTCGAATGACACGCCTTCCTCATATGTTTGCCAGCTATATTTCAATAAAGTTATGGGGAAAGACGTAGCTAGCTTATTTTTAAAAGGCTCATACTTCTGCCTAATCTAAGCCCAGAAGTCAGATTAAAAAAAAAATCACTGTCTGTAAGTTATCTACACTTTTACAGAGTGAGACCAGTGAGTACTCCTTTTTTACAGTGAGTACTCCTTTTTACAGTGAGTACAACAAAGATTGGAAAACAGGAGCGATCACAAGACCAGGATATATAAATTAGGATCATTAATGACAAATCTAGTCAGGTGCTGCTGAGCATTAACACCTTCCTTATATCTTTGTATAAGCATGATGAATTAACTAGAATGTAAAACAAAATAAGATCACTGTCTTATTAGTAAGTGTTACTCTAAACATGTCACAGTCACTGTTCTATTGCTGTGAAGAGACACCATGAGCTTGTGCAACTCTTATTAAAGAAAGCACTTAATTGGGGCTGGCTTACAGTTTCAGAGGCTTAGTCCATTATCATCATGGCAGGGAGCATGGCAGCATGCATGGCTCTGGAGAAGTAACTGATAGCTACATCCTGACCCACGGGCTCAGAGAGAAACACTGGGCCTGGAGAGGGCCTTTGAAACCTCAAAGCTTCAAAACTCAACCAGGGACACATTCTTTTCTAACAAGGACACACTTCCTAATCCTTCTAATCCTTTCAAATAGTGCCATTCCCTAGTGACTAAGCATTCAAATACATGAGCCTATGGGGGCCATTCTTATCCAAATCACCATAAAGTATAAGCAATTAACCATCCTCTGTCATAAAGTTATTCTGTAGCAGGACGAGGAAACCTTTTTCTTACATATAACAAATGTTATATGTCAAATGTTAAGTGTCAAATGTTTATAGGAAATCATATATTTAGATAATAAGAGTTATAGAAGAAGTCTCCAAATTCATCTTATAGAAAAAGAAATTTTTTTTCAATAAATGCTGTAATTTGTCATGGGTATTCAGATCTCCACAGTTTATGAATTTTCCAGTCAATGTAAATGTGAGGACTGAATGCAATCGCTGTTGAGTACAGTCCGTAGCAAAGCTCTGAGGCATTTGCCTTTTGAAATGTACATTTTTTTCCCCTAGGAAAGTATGTCCTGGGCCTCCTGTCAGTCTGTAAGGTCACTGAACATCTGTGTCAGGACTGTGGGAATACTGAAGGGTGACTCTGAGCGGCTAGATGGCACACGCTATCAACTTCCTGTATGAAACTGCAAGGCTGACAGGCCTAACTAACAATCGTTCTCTCCAACATTCCTCACAGGTGAGGAAACAAGACCCAGGGGTAGGAAGTGGTTTGCGTAAGGACTGTAGAGCAAGCAGGTGAAAGCAGGTTAGACTCGAGAGTTGCCAGGCAAGCACTCCATCGCTCTCCTTCACGGGTACCACCGTCAGTTCTTGGTGTAGAATAAAGAGGGATAGTTAGCCATGCCGAAGAGCAAATCTCTGGCGGGGCAGTGGTGGGGAATTCCTTTAATCTGAGCAGAAACAGGATGTCTGAGTTTGAGGCCAGCCTGGTCTAAATAATGAGTTCCAGGACAGCCTGACTACATAGAGAAACACTATCCAAAAAAAAAAGACAAAACAAAACAAAACAAAACAAAACCCTCGACTCTGTCATCTTCCAGGATGCTACGGTCTGGGGTTTCCGTATCTTACTCCGTTTTTCCTTTTGCCTGCTTCTGCACATGATCTGCCCCCCCAGCCCTCTGATTTCATGATGAAACAGTTTGGGAGCTCACACACTAGCTCTAGTTTTATGCACTGCCCATTCTTGTATTTCATTGCAATCCAATCCTGTATGGCCATGTTTAGAGACGAGCTCCTGTAGGCATGAATGAACTGCAGCAATGAATGGCACCAGACGTCAACACTTTTCACATCAGCTTGGCTTCAGGATTCAAGTATCACTGCTGGTGTCAGTGATGTCAGCTGAGGGGTTGGCAGTGCCTGGAGGACTCTGGTGGTGGGAGAGTCTCTAGGAGAAAGGGGTTGTGAGAGGAAGCTCTGTGGTGTCTGGATAGTGCCAAGGAAGCAGCATGGAGTCTGGCAAGCTCAGTAGGCCTTGTGGGTGTGGCAGTGCCTGGAGAAATAGAAGCTGTGCTCAACAGAGAGAGCAGATCTGGTAGATGAGGTAAAACCTAAGGGAAATGGTCACGGTGCTATTAGGGAAATGGAAGCCTCAGCAGAGATGGCTGATGTGCTCTGTGGAAGGTACATCAGTGAACAGAGTAAGCCAAGGGGAAACTCAATACCACGCAGATGGTAACCCCACTGGCTGGTGAGAATGTTGAGTGATATTCATGTAGATAAACGTGGAAGGTTGGCGCATTGCTCCAGGAGTGTCCTTCTGGTTTTAGCGAGACCAGAAGGGCTGGGTATCTGCTTTAACACTTCCAGTGAATGAAGGACATGGTAGTGTCCCTCAAACCATAATTTTGGTAGAGGAAAATTAAGGAAATCTACCCATTACCACAAGGATAATTGCCTCTTGCTCTGCCATACTGTGTTAAATCAGCCAGTTATCCCCAGTGCAGGGGTCTCCAGGGAAGCTATTCTGTTCACACAGCTGGAGACTTAAGTAGGATTCATAATGAGAAGTACACAGTGGGAGCTGCAGATCCACTTATCAAACCTCATTGCTCAGTTTTCATTGACCCCCCAAGAGTCTTCCTCCACCCAGATGCAAACTCCAGCTTACCCACTGAACTGCTGTCTTTCTGAGTGAGTGCGTCTGTGTTTCGTTTTACCTGCATCGGGATTTCCCATGCAGGACAAGATTCCAGCAGATGAAGCCTTGCTTCCATCCAAGTGAGGATGAGGTTTGCCTCTCCTCTCTGACATCGTCTCCAATGCGTACCAGTTCCATACACTTAAATTAAAAAAAAAAAAACATTGCCCCCCATCAATTTTGTTCATATTTATTATGTTCTTGATTGCAGAGTTAAGTCAATGTCAACCCAGAGAGAAAAGGTCGTGTTTAATAGTCTTAGTTCATAATTTTGGTTAGTTCACAGCTGCATTCTGCACCAAGAGAAAACCATCATTACAAAACTTAGGTGGGCAGAAACAATTGACCATATAGACAATATTCTTAGCACTTAATACTGTTCTCGACTGAGAGCCTCCCTTGTCTATTTTTAAAACAACGTGTTTAGTTTTATTAATGTATATGAAAGTTTTGTTTGCCTGTGCGTCTGTTCACCACCATCTGCATTCCTGGGGCTTGCAGAGATGAAATGATGATGTTGGAGCCCCTGAAACTGGAGGGATGATAGTTTTGAGCTGCTGTGTGGGTTCTGAGAACAGAACCCTGGTCTTTTCCAAGAGCAACCAATGCTCTCAACGCTGAGCCATCCCCCCAGCCCTCTGAAAGCTTAGGTTGTATGTGGTGTCTCTATGTATCTGCACAGTTGTTAAGAATGAAAGGAAAGCTGAAATCAAGGACAAGGCAAGGCTGCCCACTCTCTCCATATCTCTTCAACATAGTACTTGAAGTCATAGCCAGAGCAATAAGACAACTAAAGGAGATCAAGGGGATACAAATCAGAAAGGAAGAAGTCAAAGAATCACTATTCGCAGATGATATAATAGTATACATGAGCGACCGCAAAAATTCAGCCAGAGAACTCCTTCAGCTGATAAACACTTTCAGCAAAGTGGCAGGATACAAAATCAACTAAAAAAAAAAAAAAAAAAAAAAAAAAAAAAAAACAGAAGCCCTCCTGTATACCAAAGACAAAAGAGCCGAGAAAGAAATTAGGGAGACAACATCCTTCACAATAGCCACTAATAACATAAAGTACCTTGGGGTGACACTAACCAAGCAAGTGAAAGACCTGTTTGAGAAAAACTTCATGTCTCTGAAGAAAGAAATTGAAGATATCAGAAGATGGAAAGATCTCCCGTGCTCATGGATTGGTAGGATTAACATTGTGAAAATGGCCATCCTGCCAAAAGCAATCTACAGATTCAACGCAATTCCCATCAAAATACCAACTCAATTCTTTACAGACCTTGAAAAAAAGATTCTCAGCTTCATATGGAGAAACAAAAAACCCAGAATCTCCAAAACAATCCTGTACAACAACAAATCATCTGGAGGTATCTCCATCCCTGATCTCAAGCTGTACTACAGAGCAATAGTAATGAAAACTGCATGGTATTGGCATAAAAACAGAAAGGAGGATCAATGGAACTGAATAGAAGACCCAGAAATAAACCCACACACCTATGAATACTCGGTATTTGACAAAGAAGCCAAAACCATTCAATGGAAAAAAGACAGCATCTTCAACAAATGGTGCTGGTCCAACTGGATGTCTACATGCAGAAAAATGAAAATAGATCCGTATTTATCACCCTGCACAAAACTAAAATCCTAGTGGATCAAAGACCTCAACATAAAACCAGATACTCTAAATCTGTTAGAAGAAAAAGTGGGGAACAGCCTAGAACTCAATGGCACAGGAGACAACTTCCTGAACAGAACTCCAACAGCACAGGCTCTAAGAGCAACAATCAATAAATAGGACCTCATGAAACTGAAAAGCTTCTGTAAAACAAAAGACACCGTCATCAAAACAAAACAACTGCCTACAGATTGGGAAAGAATCTTCACCAACCCTTTATCTGACAGAGGACTAATATCCAGTATATACAAAGAACTAAAGAAGCTGAAAAGCAGCAAACCAAGTAATCCACTTAAAAAATGGGGAACAGAGCTAAAGAGAGAATTCTCGACAAAGGAATATCGAATGGCAGAGAAACACTTAAAGAAATGCTCAACCTCATTAGCCATTAGGGAAATGCAAATCAAAACGACCCTGAGATTTCACCTTACACCCATCAGAATGGCCAAGATGAAAAACTCAAGGGACAACACATGCTGGAGAGGTTGTGGAGAAAGGGGAACCCTCCTCCATTGCTGGTGGGAATGTAAACTGGTACAATCACGTTGGAAGTCTATCTGGCGCTTTCTCAGACAATTAGGAATAGCGCTTCCTTAAGACCCAGCTATACCACTCCTAGGCATATACCCAAAATTTGCTCAAGTACACAACAGGGATATTTACACAACCATGTTTGTAGCAGCTTTATTTGTAATAGCCAGAAGCTGGAAACAACCCAGATGTCATCAACGGAGGAGTGGATACAGAAATTGTGGTATTTTTACACAATGGAATACTACTCAGCAATCAAAAAGGAGGAAATCATGAACTTTGCAGGCAAATGGTGGGATCTAGAAAAGATCATTCTGAGTGAGATATCCCAGAAGGAGAAAGACAAACATGGTATATACTCACTTATATAGACCTATAAGATATGATAAAAATAATGAAATCTATACACCTAAAAATGATAATCAAGAGAGCAGACACGGGGTAAGATGATCAATCCTCATTTAGAAAGACAGATGAGATGTGCATTGAACATATGACAAGAGTCTACCACAGAAGGCATCTGAAAGACTCTACCTAGCAGTGTTTCAAAGTAGACACTAAGACTCATAACCAAACCTTCGGCAGAGTACAGAGAACCATATGAAAGAAGGGGAGTTAGTATGATGGGGAAAAGATAGGAGCTCCACAAGGACCAAATATATCTGGGCACAGGGTCTTTTCTGAGACTGACATTCAATCAAGGACCGTGTATGGATATAACCTAGAACCTCTGCTCGGATGTAGTCTGTGGTAGCTCAGTAACCAATTGGTTTCCCATAGTAAGAGGAACAAGGACTATTTCTAACAGGAACTCAGTGGCTGGCTCTTTGACCTCCCCACCCCCCAAGGGAGGAGCAGTCCTGCTAGGCCACAGAGGAGGGCTTTGCAGACCTGATAAAACAGGGTCAGATGAATGGGGAGGAGGTCCCCCCCATCAGTGGTCTTGGAAAGGGGCAGGGTGGAGATGAAGGAGGGAGGATGGGATTGGGAGGGAATGAGGGAGCAGGATACAGCTGGGATACAGAGTTAATAAAATGTAACTAATAAGAAAAAAATAAAAATTTAAAAAAAGAATGAAAGGAAAGATAATATATGTAATTATAATAATGCAAGGAGGCATATTATGGTGGATGCTAGCATGGCAACGTAAGCAAACTGCACAAGAGAACAAGAACAAGAGAAGAACTGAACAAGAGAAGGATTCGTTACTGTGGTAGGAGACAATCTTCTAGATTGGCTCTGGCTTGCACTTGTCTATGCCTCTCTTTCCATGAGTGAACTGGACACCCAGACTTATTTCTGAGTAGAGTTACCACTTCCAAGATTAGGTCTAAAAGATTTTGACTGCTCTCACTCCCTCTGGCTCTTCCCTTGCTGCCTGTTACGGGAACTCTGAAACAGACTGAAATGTAGCGCCAAGTAAAGGACTACTATGTCTGAACTTGACCGTGTAGTCCTTTTCTCACGGCTGTGACCTGAGAAGAGAGGAAGGGTTTGTTGGTTTGTTGTGGTTCACAGTTCAAAGGTACAGCTCATCTCTGCGAGGAAGGCATGGTAGTGGGAGCAGCAGGCTGCTGGCTCATGTCTTTGTGGACCAGGAAGCAGAGAAAGGGTTTTACTTTTGCTGAGTATGGATTCTGATGCGGCCCTTAAGTTTTTCACAAGCAGTATTTCTATGGAAATAAAGACGCGGAGGAGTTTTCTAAATGCTTTATTTGTTTAAGGCACAAATAAGTCTTCCCCTCTCAGGTTCTTCTTGCTGGGAAAAAGGAGAGCTGGTGATGCATTTGTTAAAGGCACACCAACATATGTGTTGCTATGGCGAGGTAATAATACACTTTCAAAAATGTTAATAATAAATTAAGATTGTAGTAGTTGTTGTATTGGAGGAAATGAATGGGTTAGTCTCAGTAACAAAAAATTAGTTTGGAACTGGATAAGCCAGGGATATCAAAACTGGAAAAATATTAGCTTCAGACAACACTCCTCTATACACAACTATGTGATGAATAATATTCAGTTACAGAATGTCATGCCTTACCTAGAACCTGACATCTTTAATCCAAAAACCTGAAAACCAAACTGCTACCAAATCTGAAACTGTCTGTCTGTCAGCATGATGCCTCCAGAGGGAAAATGCTACACCATGAAAGTTTGTCTCATGTACGAAGTTGTTTTTAAAGTATTGTCTGAATTACCTCCAGGCTACATGTACAAGGTATACATGAAACATAAGTAAACTCGATATTTAGACTGAGTCCCTCTCATATGTCATTATGTATGTGCAAGTATTCCAGACCTCAAGCATAATCTGAAATCTGTAACACTGTTAGTTCCAAGCATTTCAGGTGAGGGGCTCTCAGCCTGTAGTAGATTATCTGACAACATTTTTTGTACTTTTTTCCTTTAACCTTTTAACATAGTTGTTTTCTCAGAAATGGGTACTGTAACTCAGGTAAAAATAGTTATTTTTGTTTGTGTTTTTGTTTTGGGGGGGGGTCTGGGGATTGACTGTAAGACTTGGGCATGTAAGGAACTGCTCTCCCACTGAGCCAACCCCCCAGTCCCTCCCCTTTTTAGGTTTTTTACAAAAGTGTATTTGTCTATAGAGAACAGCAGCAACAGTAGAGAGAAAAGAAAGTGTGTCTATGTTATATAAAGTGATTCAGGCCTATTCACTGAGAGCCCCCCTCCCCCGGTCCCAAGCCTATATTTACAGTCTCTATCAACAAGGCTGCTATCAGTGTCTCCAGTTCCCTCCTTGTGCTCTGTTTATTTTGGCTTCCCAGGGATTAGGTCTCAAGTCACTGGGCTCTCAGTGACCTTCTGTTGCTTTCCTTTCCTTATTCTAGGTGTGCCTGGTCCCAAAGAACATGGCCAGGTGGTGTGTTTGTTTTCCCGTGGAAGATTTTGGACTATGGGGCTGGCCATGCCTCAGGGACTGGCAGCCTGTCTCGGCTGTGAGCTGAGGAGCTGTTTTAGGGCCCGGTGCTTTGAAAGCTCTCTCCATGCTCTGGTCTGCTGTGAGATGCAGACAGGCTAGGGAGGCTGTGGGAAGGGTGGAGGTTGGAGGGTAGAGTCCGGAGAAGATTGCAGTAAGGAGAGCCCCTCTCCCCATGTGGGAAATTCCGCAGTCTTTTTCTCATTAGGAACCAACAGTGGCTTTGGTCTTTGGTTCCCTGGCATGAAGCTTGCCTCTGGTGTACCTTCTCCATGCTCTTGCATCTAAACCTCAGCCTCTAAGCATCGCACCGTAGTTTTGGGTGGACTCTTGGGCTCCTCCGCATTTTTAACAGTTTTCTTTGATTCTTCATTAGCATTGACGTCATCAGCCTTCTCTTCCTTTACAACCTTGGTTTCAATCATTTCCTTCTGTTGATTCTTGTTTGTGAAAGGGAAGGCCTTCACATACCTATGGGTGTAGAGAGACTTCACAATGAGATACTTCAGGCAGCACACATCAGAGCAAATGGTGCTTTGTCTACCATGGGACAGACTGGCACAGTCCTCTGGGTACCTTTATTTCAAAATGATGCCAATATAGGTATATTCAAATATATCGCTACCCCATTTGATGGACTCAATTCATATCGGACAGTATCCATAGGCTCAAAATTGGGTGTCCTTACAACCCTTTCATTTAAGACAGTTACCCTAATGTTGGCCTCTCCTTTTGTATTTATTGAGTTGGCACCCCCTGACCCCCTGTATCTACTCTCGAGATGGCATACGTGGGCTAAGATCAGGTGGTAGAGATTTCTAAGAGGGGTGCCTTCTCCATTTTAATCAAATGCCAATAACAACCATGGAAGAGCACCAGCTAGTTACACAGCAAAAGAAACAAAACTAGAGATGTGCCAGCAGCCTCACCTTTTCACGTAGCAAACAGCCAGAACAGCCGCAGCACCAAAGAAGAGGAGGGCCAGCACCAGCAGGGTTGTGGGGACACCTGGAGGGAAGACAGGATCTGGTGGTGTTTTGCTTGTACACTGTATGTCTGTGTGTGTAATGATTCATTTTTACAAGTGATACAGATAAGAGATAGCACAGAAGACCCTTCTTTGTGACTATTTTAATCACATATATATTTTACATTGTGTGTGTGTAGGTGGGTGTGTGTGGGTTCTAACACAGTCCAAATGTAAAGATCAGAGGACAACTTGTGGTAGTCAGTTCTCTCCTTCCATCATGTGGGTCCTGGGGATTGAACTTTGGCAGCAAGTGCTTTTGCCCACCTAGCCATCTCGCCAACCCTCTATTTACAATGTGGGGATTTCTTTACTCCTCCTTTATCATTACAATGTGAAAAAGTAGAGTATGTTTCTTGGATCCCTGAGACCAATCTCAGTGGGTCCATGTGAGAAACGAGCATTTGAATTAAAGTCACAGGCCCAGTAGGTATATATTTTTGTATCTATATTAAAGGATAACTATTTTGTGAAATCTCAAGTTTTCAGCAGTGAATTTTTTTATGCTCGTGATGTGTGGCGTGACCCTCTGAGGCAGAAACAAAGCAATTTGTTTCTGTGAGTCTACCGAAGCTGAGCTTGCGTTAAGCTTTGGTTTGTGCCTGGTAGGTGCTGAGTGCGCCATCTAGGGGTGAGCTGCGTGATGTGCACTGACCATCACACACAGTTGCCTGCCCGCAGAGACCCAGAAGACATTCACCTCCGAACCCAGCTGCTTCATTCTTGAATGTTGCTCCACTTTCAAGAGATGGTCTTGTTTCTGTAGCTATGGTGCTTGGTTCCGTATAAACTTCCGTGAAACAAATCACTTTTGTCTTCCGTTTCATGGAGGTGGAAGGTGGAGCCCGGGTGGTAGCAGAAGTTTGCGCTGTGGAGTCCGGGGATGAAGCCGAGTAGGCACTGTTGCTGACGGAAAACTCGGTTTCGGAGGTTTCAGTGTCGAACGTGGGGTAGAATGTGGTGATGATTTCTGGGATGCACGAATTAACCCAGATGTCTGTCGGAAGAAGGAAAAGTGAAAGGAGAAGTAAGCATGGCAGCGGGACCCCACCTCTCACTGCAAGCAGAACTCAGGTTTCACCAGAATTCAAATCTAATCTCAATTTCCTTCCTTAGCACCCTGAGGCATCCACTTGCCCTGAAAGGCCTGTGAGACCCTCTGTGGTCCTGCCTTGCCAACATCATGAGACTAGGAAATGCGAAAGCTCAGGCTTCCTCTCCACGACCCTGCTATCCTGCCGGCCCCTCAGTCCTTGTTACACTTTCTTTATCGTCCCAGCTTTCTCTGTGATGCATTTTCCACTTTTAAAGTCCCTGCCTGCTCTTTACTTAGACAGTTCTCCCAGGTGTCAGGTTTACTAGGCATTACTAGACTTCTCTAGACTGGGTCTCTGGAAGCACATTCTTGCCCCTGCCTGATCTTACCATCTTTGTTCTCATTGTTCTGTCCCCCTCTGGACTGTGAACTGCCTGGCAACCCGAAACTCATCTGGTTTGATTATGGTGGTCCTTCCCTATGCCTGACCTATATAGTATGTGCTCAGTGAATAGTTGATAAAAAGAAAGAAAGAAAGAAAGAAAGAAAGAAAGAAAGAAAGAAAAAAAGAAAAAAAGAAAGAAAGAAAGAAAGAAAGAAAGAAAAGAAAGAAAGAAAAGAAAGAAAGAAAGGAAAAAAATAAAAGAGACCAGATCTAAAATAAAATCTCTCTGCGCTTGGGGAGAGAGGGAGAGGAAAGGAGATGTTTAGTGTTTTCCAGTCTGTTGGATAGAGTTGCTAGGAAACACATCTGTTGGTCTTTTTACTCTCGGTCAGCATTGGTACCAGATGTTTAGCTATCTCATGTAGCATTTATCAAGGCTTCCTTTACGCAGGAAGGTGCTGAAGTTCATAGACATCAAACCCACTTGCTCAGTCACAGTTAGGAAATGACAGAGCTGCCCACAATCTTACAATGCAAATTCACATCTATTTTAAACCCCTGATAATTTTTAGCTCTGGATGCTGTCAGTCAGAATTGTAGCTATGAAAGAGTTTCATTAAGTTGGTTTGCCTTTGAAAATTAAATGAGCCACTAGCGAAGGTTATGAATACCACCAATAGAATGTTCAGCCGCACACGCATCAAGCCAATATTTTAGCCTATTCATGATATTTTAAAAACAGCCCTGTCCAAATAAACATCATCGTTAAGCTTTGTTGCCTTGAACTTTTAGTCCTGTTTCCCATTTCTTTAGTCTCTGCAAGCTTCTCCCCTCAGAAAATGAACATTGTTTTAAAGCAAGGAAGGAAAATACAGAGAGCTCAGTAAATGTTGGGTTCTAAACCATAAAGCACCATCCCTGCTCTGGCACAGAGGACTGTGGGTGGAGTGTGGAAGATGGCATTCATTCAACAGATACCTACCAAGTACCATCTCCATGCCAGGCATGTGCTCTAGATGCCAGAGACAAAGTCCCCGCTCTTAAGAGGCTTCTGAACCATTGGAAGAATAGAGATAATAAAAGATGAACAAGCCATGAATTTCATAAGATCATAAATAGTAAAACAAAACTTAAACAGTGTGTGGGAACAGTGGGAAGGGTGGAAATGAAGGTTGGATACTTGGCTAGCAGGACAAGAGGAAGTCTCCTGGGGAGACAGTCCTTAACCTGAGACCTAGTGGTCAAAAGTAGCCAGTCACTAGAGATCTAGGGCAGGCTCTGGAAGAAAACAAAGTACAAGAGCGAAAACTTGACCGTGCTGAGCCCATTCAATGAACAAGAAAGCCAGTGTGGCTGACACAGAGCAGGGCTCACCTGCAGAGCACAGGATATCCTAGCCAGCAGGATGTGCATGATCCAAGAATGAAGAGGGAGCAAGTGCAGCCAGGACAGGAAAACAACAAGGAGCATAGCATGGCTCGAGAAAATGGTGTGAGTGTGAGTGGTAAGGGAAAGCCTGCAAGCAGGAGGCAAGGCTGCAGGTAGACCTGGCCCGGATATCAAGATCGCTAGTTACCATGTTAAAGCGCTTGGAACGTATTAGGTAGCAGAGGGCATTTTCTACTGGGTCTACAACCCTTTAATCATATTCAAGAGTTTTCAAATGCAGTCTACTTGTATATGAAAAAGACAGCACATGCTACACACTATATCACGTACAATGTCGCCCAAGGCTGTGGGACAAACATAAGAGTAACAGTTACCAAAGGAGGAGGTGAGGGAGGGGCCAGATACCGAAGGAGGGAGGGCATCCAGGAGCAGAGAAGGAGAGTTCCTGCAAACTGCACAGAAATAGGAGGATCTAGAAATGTCTGGTTCCTAAAACTTAGAAAGATTAGGAACAACACAAGTGTCCACCAGTGGAATAAATGACCATACAAACAGCCACTGGAGCACATTAAACACACAGCCACCAAGAATCAGAAAGTCTCTGTGAGTCAGTTAGACTAATTTCCAGGCTGTAAGTAGAAAAGCCATGCACAGAGCAGTGTGTGATATTCCAGCTTCCTTTCTGTGAGAAAAGTAAACAATATCCCATATATCTTTTTTATGTGCAAAACAAAGGCACAGGCCATATGAAAAAAGACGGAACCATGAGAAGTAGGACCTCCCTGCCTATTCTGAATCACTGCAGCACGCTGATGTTGTATGTATTTGAAACATTCGAAACAATAACATTTAAGACCTAGAACAGACCACAACAGAAATAGATAAACCTCTTCTATTTCAAATGAGATTCTAATCACAGCGTGGGGGTGGGGGGGCTGTCCAGTCACTTCCACATATAGTTCCCTAATCACTTCTCCTTGCCGGACTTTCTTCTAGGAGGGAGGAAGTATGTGAAGAAATCCTCAGTTTTATTCAATAGATTTGTTTCCTAAAGATACTGGTTTTGCTATTTTGAAACTGTTGTAACACACACACACGCATACACATGCATTGTTTACTAAGAACTAAGATGCTGGATGTAGAAGAAGATAAATAAAGCAATGTCAGAAAATGTATATTAATAAATTTGAATTGGAAAAATCAGTAAAAAGGCATAATTCACAAACAGACACACACAGGCACACATTCTCTCTCTCTCCTTGCTGAGGTGCAAGGAAAATACCACTAATAATGAAAACAATTTGCAGGAAAATACCACTAATAATGAAAACAATTTGCAGGCAGATCTTAGTTTCTGGTTAGCATTTTGTACCCAAAAGAACTAGAGCCCCGTAGAAAAATGAGCTCTGTCCAGGAACAGAGAGAGTACAAAGTGAGCCTGGGCATGTCCCATTGCTAGGAAGTGGTGTCACCCAGGACGCCCAAATGACAGATTTGGAATATTCACAGGACTTAAAAGAATAATAAGTATACAGTTTACTATACTGTGCTTGACACAGTGAAGAAATCAAACGTCACATGTCTGTGGCAGTATATGGTGGAGGAAGTGTGCGTGTACATGCTATCATATGTGTGTGACAGAGACAGAGGGGGAGAGAGCGGAAAGAGGAGAGAGAGAGGCTAGCTAGTAAATGTAGAAAGGAGGACTGATTTGGAAAATTCATTACTTCACAGTCCCCTAAATAATAGCCAGTTTGAGCAAGGACCACAATAGCAGTTTGGGGTGAGGATATTTGCATGGTACTAAGATATCATGTGCTAGATTCTCTGCTAACTACAAAGGAGAAAATCTATCCTCATTTCATTTTTAGTCTGCTAGTCACCGTCCTAATCAAATAAAGTTAAAACGATCAGTACTGCGATCTACTGACATTTGGCCGATGGCTGTGATCCCTGCTACATGATACTACCTGCAGCGCGCCTCACACACTGACCAGAAGTTGGAGAAGAAGTCTCTTGACCTTTCAGGGTGTAGGAAATAACAGGGCTGAGAGGACGACGTAAAGGAAAGCGGGAGGAAACAGACACAGGGGAGTCCGCTTCCTCTCTGTTTAGTCAGAGGGCTGGGCACCAGAGCACTGTGCTGCCAGCAGGTGGGGGAGCAAGGCAGGCAGGAGGCTGGACCAGCTCACAGGGATAAGAGAATGCAGGCCCACAAATGACTAGTTCTTCAGCTGAGACAGGCTGGAGGAGAGAAAAGGATGGAGACCTGGCATCATAGTGGAAGGAGAATCAACTGGAAGGCTTGACTCGGCCTTCCCAACACAGACTCTGAACTATTGGTGAAGGGAGGAAGCAGGGCAGGTGTCTCTAAGAACCCTTCTTAGGTGAAACCCTTTGGTTCCAGAGAACTTCTTGGAATTCCTGGGTTCAATTTTGCTAATGATAGTTGGTGAACCTTATTTATCTCTTAGATCTTACAAATTAATATTGAAGTCTCTCTTGTGTATGTATGACCATATGACCACTCGCTATCTTGATAAGAAATGAGTCAAGTGGCCTTCTTACAACACAGAGAATATCTGGGTATTAAAGGAAATGGTCTGAGAAGTGACATAGGAAACCTTTAGGTTAGGGCATCCAAGGCCTATGGGGTGACTAAAAACCATGCGTGAATCAGCGCTACCCTCTAGGCTTCAGCTCCTTCCTTCCCAAGAGGGAGACTGGGCTTGTTCTCAGAACGTCAGATGTGGCAGCTGAGTGATGTGGAAACATGGCGTCAGAGTGAGACCCACGTTGGAACCTTCACATTGAGACTGTACTTTGAACGTGGCTCAAGGGTATCCTCCAGTGCTTCTGTGTTAGAATCCACTGTGGCAATGCTAAGAGTACTAGGACCTCTAAGGGGCGGAGCCCAGCAGGAGGTCATGTAGGGTACAGAAGGACTCAGTGAGTCCTCTCAGGACCCTGGATCGCACTCCTGAATGCCTCTCGGGTGGTTTCCCATCTCAGCACAGGAGCAGTCTTCTCCCACCATTCCTACCTTTGTGATGACATGAAATCCTCCCCAAGGTCAAGTTGCTGCTGTGCCATGACCTTGAAGACCACTCCAGAACTGTGAGCGAATCTTCCTTTTTTTTATAAACCAATCAGCTGTAGGTATTTCATCACAGTAATGGGGAATGTTCACCACAGATACATAAGGCAAGTGCACGGAAGTCCCCATAGCTACATTTCCTTGTTTGAAGACTGGGGATTTTAAGGCTTCTTCAGGAGAAGTTCAGAGTTCTGCAAGACAGCTACCCTCTCAACTGCTTTGGCTAGAGGGGATGTCTCCTAATGCATGGACATCTGTTTCTTCCCCACTTCCTGTTTATCTTCTAGGAAACCGGGACAGTGGAAGTGATAACCAAGCCTCTGGAAACACCCTGTTCTTACACTACCACTCAGTCGTATTTTCCCTAACATTTTTCTCTGAGGGGCACATTTCTCCCCGAAGCCTGCTCTTAGGATGTTTAGAGGACCCATGACCACTGCTGCTGCTGCTGCTACTCAGAGTTGACCATCCCAGATCTTGAGACACCTAGAGAAGATGTACCACATGAACTGGCTTTAGGGTCTGACTCACCAGATGAGTTGTGGCAATAGGCTTTGAACTGTACGCTGGGGGAAGCTTTCCAAATCAGGACGCCTTTCCCGTTCTTCCCACACTTGGGGTTTTGGAAAATCCGAGGGATGACTGTGAACCGTTCTCCAACCCAACCGTAGCTGTAGAAGGACACACATTGGTTGAACAGGCAGATGTTAGAAGGCAGCATATCCGCTCCTGAGCAGGAATGCTGGCTTTAATGAAGCTCTTTCTTACCTACAAGTCTCAAAGCCAGACATCTGTGCTGCTTGCACCTGGTCCTTGCTGGCCAGAGTCAGTCCCAGCACCTTACAGGCCTCCCTGGCTTCCGTGAAATTCATCTGCGGGTTTGCCTTTCTGCCCACAAGAGCAACACCCACGATTCTGCATGGAGAAATGGTAAGGTCTGGAAAGAAATCATAAAATCATCAGTTTGCTTCTGGCTTTTCTCCCAGCCTTCAGGCTCTTCTTCCTCACGGAGAATCACTGTCTTGACCCTGTCTGTGAGGCTGGTGCTGAACTTAGATATGATACGCAGGCCAGGAACACCCCACAAGGACTGCCTGCTAGGTGTGATGCCTGCTCTGCCTGACAGAGGCTGTAAGTCATCTCCAAATTAAGAGCCCATTGAGCACTCTGCACTAAGGAACCTGCCAATCACGGAAGGTTTAGCTATCAATCTGTCCCGGGTGGGATCTAGGTGATTTAGATGCTACAAACATTGGTTTGGGGTTTTTGCTGTTTGTTTGTTTTGTTTTGTTTTGTTTTTTGTTGTTTTTAACTCTATAAAAGGAAGATTTTGAGAGTTTAAGGAAGATAGAATTCAGAGCTCTGGTTAACAATATAATCACTAGCAATACTCCAAAGAATTGTGGCTGGGAGCAATTTGTTTTGAAAGGGGCTGTCCATGTACTTGCTAGAAGAGAATGTGTGCTCTCTGTTCTAGGTCCTTTCTGGGCATTGGATGACAGGCTTACTCAGAAATTCCCTGCAGGAAGTCTTGCAGGACAGGCAAACTAAATAAAGGAAGTTGAGTTTTTAGAATCAGGGCAGGCTTGGCTCCCTTGTACGCTGTTCTGCAGCTCTGAGACCTCTTGCTTGTTACTTCACCTTTTTGAGCTGGCGTCATTCCTTGAACACAGAGAGTCACACAATCTACTGCACAGGGTAATGGGCATAGCGTGGATGAATTCTAACAGGACCTAACAGAGCACTCGCCATGTCCTAGGTTCTAAAAGATCTATAGAGAACGCTGCCCCTGGTCTTCAAAGCTTTGGTGTGGTCCACCCAAGACTGATCCCCGGGAAGGCGGAGCCAGTGGAGCTTGTCACAACACTTTTCTCAAAATTGAGTGGATTCGGGAGCTCTTTTGATGCATTTCTCTGAAACATATGGACCTAATATAATTGGCATCTTGTATTACATTCCAGCACCTTACTTCTGTTGGGCTTCATCTATGAAAATCCATAAAAAGACATTTTAGCCTTGTAACTAATGGCTATGCACAGTTCTGGCAGGGGTGTCCAGCCTTTGGCCCATGGACCATATGAACCCTAAGATAGCCTCATGGACCCAAATTGTGAACATACTTAAAACATCATAAAATTTCTTGTGAGTCTCCCTCTCTCTGTCTGTCTCTCTGTTTCTCATCTGTTGGACTTCGTCTACAAAAGTCCATCTCAAATTCCCAAGCACTCCATGCCTCTCCTGTTAATTGGCTGTTGGATCTTGGGGGCAAGTCAGAGATTTCATCTGTGAAGCCACACCTTGTCAAGCCTTGTATTTGGAATTAAATTAGGTAACTTGTATCTAACAGAACTTGGATCCATAGGAAGCAATCGAATATACAAATTTCATGCTTTCCGGTTTTATTTAGAAATTCTGCTATGGAGTTGGAATCTCTAATCCAAGAACTCACTCCAGTCATGCCTTCCCTAAGACATCTTAAAAAACATCCTGGGAATCAGATAGGGCGGAGTCAATGCCAAGTGTGTTCACTACCTGCGTGGCATTGGACAAAGCCCTTGGCTGCTAAGACTTTTCTTCCACAGAGAAAATACGTTCTTGAGAGAAGAACCAATGAAACTGTACCTATACGAAGTTCTGAATCCCTCTTTAATGAGCTCTTTAAGAAGCCCCTGTCTGCACCCCCTCTTCACCGCATCACCGCTGAGGCTAGCTGGATGGTGGTCACTCTCTGCGCTTTCCAAAATTTGAATTTCCTTAGGGAAAAACGTTGCCACCATCGAGGAGAAAGCAATAGTGTAGTAGGGGGCTAAGAGCCAGGGACGTGGCTAAGAGCCAGGGATGTGGCTAAGGTTAGAGTGTTTGCCTACCACGAACAAAGCCTCCGGTCCACCCTTTGTCTCGGCGTAAGACTGGACAGGGAACACACCTGAAATCCCAACATCCACTCGGTGAAGGTAAAAACGACCAGGAATTCAAGGGCATTCTCGGCTACATAGTGAATTTGTGGTTAGCCTGGGCTACAAGAGACCCTGTCTTTAAAAAACAAAAACAAACAAACTTCCAAAATAGTTGGTGTAATTACAGCATATTGGGGAGGTGGGGATGTAGCTGGTCTCCTAATGGGATTTCTAACAGAACCAGATTTCTTTAAAAGTGACAGTTCTGGTATTGGGGGAGGGGCATTAATCATCTGACTCTAACCTCTCATAAAATCAAGCAATATAAAAATCCCACCCTGAATGTCTGTTCTTGATAGCTCCTATTTCAGGGCCTCTTCAGCAGAAGAACCATTTCTCTCTAATAACCCAGCTACTTCTCTTGCCCAGAGCCATCATAGGTGATTTGCAGTTTCAGTGTTTTTCCTGCTATGCAGAATGAGCTTCATGTATGCATCCCACAAACACAGAAGCCGCTGGAGCAAGCGCCTCCCTTCACAGCTGCTGCTGATAAAATTTTAAACCTGTATTCTCAGTTAATTTACTGCAAATTAAAACATTGCATTCCACTAGTGGCAGAATATCATTGCAATCAAAACAATAACACAAACAAGAGTACTGTAAAGTGGCTAGGAGCTGGTAAATACCCATTTTTCCTCAGGCTTGGTGATTGGCAAAGCAAAACGTTGGTTTGCTTCTTGGGTGAAACCCTTTAAAAACAAACTTCTCATCTTTTAAAAAACGTCTAACTACTATTACTTAAAAAAACAACTTTCCATAACCTTAAATAAAGTTCCAAGTGATGTAATGGTGAATATAGGTCATTTTGGTGAAGCTGGTAGCCCAGTACAAACATCTCTGGCTGGGCAATAAGACCCATTCAATCTTCTGTTGCCCTCACAAGTCTCCCCCACTCCCAAACAGCCCATGGTCAAGAGCAGAGTGGGCTTAGGAAGTTCCCAAGGCCTTGTCTAGCCTCAGTTCAGGAACCCGGTTCAGTTCACCTCAGTTCAGTTCACCTACCTTGCGCTTGGATGGCACCTTGGACCAGGAGCCTAGTGGTCCAAAGAGAAGCGAGAAGCAACGCCAGGCTAAAGTGTTTGGACATCGTGCAGACCCCTCCGATGCACGGGGGCTCGCCAGGGAGACAGATGCTCAGTCACCAGGCTGATGGAGAGTTCTGGAAATATGTTGAAGGTTTCCCTGCGTTCAAGCTTCTGATTTGTCAAAATCACTAGAGGAAATGAGTGACATCCCTTGAACGCCCAGCCTGCGCTTTGTGGATGGCTTTCTGGAACATTTAGCTAATGCTGACTCAGAAAGCACACAAGTGAGGAAGGCAGATAGCACCGAGTCAGCTGCTGAAGATTTCCCCAGTTCCCATATTCCCCTGTGGGCTCAGTTCCCACACTCCTCAGTGGGATGCTTTTCAGAGCCCGTTCATTCATATACTCCCGTGACTGTCTCTGCTAGGAGAGACTGAAGACGAATTGTGTTTCTTTCCTTCCTCCAATCAGTGGTGCCTCCACCCCTTCTCAGATGCACTGCCTTGTAATGGTCAGAGAAATAATAGAGAGGCTTGTGTTAGGAAATGCCCTTTACAACATCACTCCTTCTGTTGAAAGTTCTTACATATGTTGGACATATCAACATTGCTAGGAGGTACAGTTTTTTAAAAGACCAGACTCATAAAAAGACTTATTTAGGACTAAAACAGTGGCTGAACGGTTAGCAGCATGTGCTCCCTTTGCAGAGGATCTGAGTTTGGATCCCAGAACCCACACCGGGCAGCTTATAGCCACCGGTAACAGGGCATTTGATACCATCTGCTAACCTCTGCAGGCACCCGCGCTTACTGCGCATACCCTCAAGAGCATGCAACACACACACACATAAATAAATCGTTCATAAGATTAGTAGGTGTAAAGCACAAATAACAGACAACTTCTTTTTTAAAAATTAGACATTTTGCACCTTACAGAAGGAGTTTTGATTGGTGCAACAGTTACCGCCACAGGGGTCACTGTGTCACGCCTCCTGAGGTAGCTCCTGCTGTATTGTGGTGGGTCCAACTCAGACCCACCTTCTTCATCTGAAGCACGTGAGAGATACCGAGAACACACTCTATGTTTCCAAACTGGATTTTCAGTGGCTTTCCTTCAGTAATTACAGATAGAACTTCTGAGCAATGTCTTGAGCAAAGGTTTATGAGTTTTCTTTAAAATAAGTGTCCTTTATGGCAGTGGTATTGTCTATTCAAAGATTTATTTTTATTATTTTAAAATTAATGAGCATGTGTGTATACATATGTGGGAACGTACACATGAGTGCAAATATCCAGAGGCCAGAAAAGGGTGTCAAATCCCTAGGAGTTGGAGTTACAAGTAGTTATGAGATGCCCAGCAGGGGTCCTGGGAACTGAATTCAGGTCCTCTGCAAGAGCAGAACTTGTTTTTAAATGCTGAGCCATCTCTTCAGACTGAGTGTTTCCCATTCAACTGAACGCACGAGTGACTAACTCTGCATAATTGGTACTGGTAACAAATTTAGATATATGTGCAGAAAATACCAATAATGAAAATCTAGTCTTCACAGACACTGAGCTTCTGAGGGACCAGGGACATGGTCCCTGACTATCTCCAGCACAAACTTGTTATTTATTTGCACACAAGCCCTGGGTACCACATTAGCATATGTGACTCTAGCACTGTAGTCCCAGAAAAAGAGGTGGGAATCACATCCTTTTTAAATTGCTCTCAATGCTTAGTATCATGATAGAAAGAATAGATCACCACAAGAAGAAGGGAGAAAAGATGGCAGGAAGAGAAAAATTAACTATAGAAGGCAAAGCGTGTGAGAAATAAGTTATGAGAAATGAGAAGACACTGGCTTTTGTAAACAAAAGGACAGACAGAATTCTTGGCTAAAGGGGGTCTGAATGCTTATACTGGAGTTTCCAAAATAAGGAAACAATTTGTTAATGACCTGGGTGAGAAAATAATTTAGCCACTGTTAGAATATCATTGGTAATATGTTGTTTGTTGTTGCGGTTTTTGTTTTGTTTTGTTTGTTTTCGTTTTTGTTTTTGTTTGAGTCAAGGTTCCTCTGTGTAGCCTTGACTTTCCTGGAACCCTCTTTGTAGACCAGGCTGGCGTTGAACTCACAGAGATCTGTCTGCCTGTGCCTCTGCCTTCTGAGTGCCGGTATTAAAGGCATCCGTTGCCACACCCAGCTAGATATTGTTTTCAAGATAGGTTTGTACTATATAGCCAAAGCTGGTCTGAACATTTTTTTAATTGATAATTTCATGCATGTAGATAGATGTATTTTGCTCATGTTCACTGTCCTCACCCTCTCTTCTTATCTCCTTCCTACTCCTTCTCAGCAAGTCTCCTTCTATGTGCATGCCTTTTTCCCATAACCTACTGAGTTTAAGATTGTTTACATGTGCATGGATGTGGAGTTGTTTACTGTAGCATTGACAGCTTAGTAGTGGCTAATTCCTAAAAGGAAATGATGACCCTCTTATGGTGGCCATTAACTGCCAGTGGTTGCTCATGAGCAGCCTTCCCTGGCTATGATGAAGTCTTGTCCAAGTGACCACAGCTGCTGTGCTTTATCATGGCCCAAAGACGGACTTGCACGGCAGACTTTCCCACACTACAACTCTTACATCCCTTCTGCCCCTCTTCCACTCTCCTCCCTGAGTCTTAGGCTAGATTGGGGGTGGGGTGAGGAATGGTCTAAATGTTCTGTTTAGGTCTAAGTAGTCAACAGTCTCCTGTTCTTTGCATTCTGAGCAGTTAAGAGTCTGTGTGGTAACCATCGCCTCCTGAAAAAGAAGCTCTTTGCCCAAGGCAGGTGACTGGAGACTTGATTGGAATTCACCGTCTCTCCAGACTATATTCAGTATCAGCATCCGAGACTCTCTGGGTGATAAGCTTTGCTGCAAGAGCTATTCTAGTTTCCTTTTTATGTTTCTGTGCTAAAACTGTGATGACAAAGCAACTTGCTGAGGAGAGGGTTTGTTTTATCTTACATTTCCAGGTCACTCTCCATCACCGAGGGAAGCCAGGGCAGGAACTCAAGGCAGGTTCCTGGAGGCAAGAGCTGAAGCAGAGACGACAGGGAAACACTGCTTTCTCGTTTTGAGACTGTCCGGAATGAGGAAGAGCACCCTGCAGTGATGTCCACTTCTACGTAACAGCTCATGCTATCACCAAAGAAAGCCAACAATTAGAGAAGTTTGGGCACTTAGAAACTCATAAAAACTAAAGAAGGAATCATGTATTAAGTTCCAAAGGACAGCAGCAAACAGCAAGTATGGAATATGCAGGCCAGCTTTACTCCATGCTTATTAAAAATGGGAGTAGCAACAGCTCATAGGTCACCAGACCACAAAGTACCAGAGCTGGGCCTGAGGTCAGAGCCTGTGCTTCACTCTGGAGACTTGGATCCGAACAAGATCTTTAGTTGCTTTTTAAATTCAACACATGCAATTACAATTTAAGTAGAGTGGAAGTTTTGAAAACTGGCAGCACAGAAATATAGTATAACCTAGAGTACGGGGCTAGGGATGATGTCCAAATTTAAGTTTAAATTCTAACACTAATGCTCCGTGTGTCCTGGAACATATTTTAAGAAGCACTTAAACTCTCTGGGCCTTGGTTTCATTGCCTGCCAAAGGTGGAGTTACTGGAACTTATAAATAACATCAGGTCTATGGTACTAGCTATTATAAGGATTTTTTTAAAGACATATACAGGTGGGCAAATGTTTCGCCTGCTATCGTCTAACTGCTGTAGCCAACAACCCCCCTAGCTCAATGGCCTCCTTGAAAAATCTGTGCAGTGTTCCAGTGGCTGACAGGTTCTGAGGTCAGCGACAGTGGGTGTATCCAGGGGATTCCCCAGTCCTGCCTGTTCACAGACAGAAGCTGCTGCCACCTGCCTTTCATGGCATTCCTGTCTCCAGTGTCTCTTGAGTTCTCTTCCTGGGTCTTCACAGTGAACCAGCAACCAGATAGAAAGTGTAGATAATGGTGCTGATGATTTCGTTTGAGGCCAGGCCTGGAATGTCTCACTCGTGTTTATAGCTGAGCAATCAGAACTTAGTCACACATTCCTACCTGACCTTATTAAGGAGCTTTAATTCAGCTATGTGCCCAAGAGTAAAATGACTTGGTGAACATGGAATGGTCTGTGCTTGAGTGTCCCTGCCTGGTCACCCAATATTCAGCTCACTATTTCTCCGTCTTGCAGAACACAATACATTTCTCATAGGGACACTCAAGATCCTACACTGTGCAGAGTCCGTGGTCTCTGAGTTATACCATCTTAGTTACTTTTAAATTTCTATGATAGGCCACAACCAAGACAACTTATAAAATAAAACATTTAATGGGAGCTTATGGCTTCAGACAGTGAGCCTATGGCCATTATGGCATGATGCTGGAGTAGCAGCCTGAGAGCTTGAGCCTGATCCACAGGCCTGAAACGGAGAGAGCTCATTGGAAAGGCATGAGCCTTCTGAAACCTCAAAGCTGCCCGCATTGGCACACCTCATCCAATGGGGCCACACCTTCTAATTCCTCCCAAACAGTCCCACCAAACTGGAGAAAAAGTATTCAAAAGATGAGCCTTCGGAGGCCATTCTCATCCAAACCACTACTTGGCCACTATTGCAATCAAGCATAGCTACGGCAATGTGTAGTCTGACCACCTGCGGCTTTAAAGAGCTGTATGCCACTCACCGCATGAACCGGTGAGGCAGGATCTGGGTGATCTCCGTGGAGGCTCCCACTCGTCAAGGGGAAGGCTAGAAGTCACAGCAATCACCAGGCTGAAGTGGTTCAGGCATGCCAGAAAAATGGCATAATGAAGAGCATTGCTGCGGACAGGATGCAGTTTGAGTGTCACTCAAGAGTCCGTTGGGGTTAAATGCTTGGTCTCCAGGGTGGTACCACGTTAGAAAGAGGGGTCCGGGGGAGTTTTTGTTGCACAGTTCCTTTAGGAGTTCTTGTGAGAGAGGCGTTCTATAAGCAGCAGGCCTAGCCTGGCACCCCCTTTCCTCTCTGCTTCTAGTTCTGACACGTGACTGCTGGCCCCAGCACCCACTCCTGTCACTACCATTTGCCCTCCACTAGGAGATCCTTGTCAGAACTGAACTGACAAAGGCACTGTGACCTTGAATCTCTAGCACTATGATCAATGAACCTCCTCTTAAGCCGAATGTGATGGCGCATGCCTGTTATCCCACCTCTCACAGGGTGGAGGCAGGGGGACCACGAGTTTAAGGCCAGTCTGGACTACAGAGTGAGAATCTGTCTCAAAAACAAACAAACAAGCAAGCAAACAATAAGCAAGGCCTACGGGACCATTGAGGTGACTGGGTAAAGGTGCTTCTCACTAAGCCTGAAGATGGAGTTCAATCCCCAGGGCCCACATGATGGCAGAGAGAACTGACTCCCACAAGAAAAGAAATGGATACTTTATCCTAAGGCTAACAGTCCCATAAAACGTAACATATCAACAGAAGTTAGATCTCATATTCAAAAGCTCCGGGAGCTAGAGGATGGCCATTGTCAAGTTGATCAAATCTAGAATCATCTAGATCCTAGACTCTAGGAGATGAGCCTCCAGGCTGTGTGTATAGTGGTGAGGAGGCCTGCCCGCTGTGAGTGGTGCTGTTCCCTGGCCGGGATCCTGGACTGTATAGAAAGGAGATGGTGGGCTGGGCACACCCACCACTCCGCTTCCTGACTGCAGCTGCAGCGTGGCCGGCTGCCACCAGCTCCTGCTGCCAGGCATTCCCCATTGCGACAAGCTGTCCCCGTGAACTGTGAGTCAACATAACCCTTTCCCCATCGGGCTGATTTCGCCCCGGGGATTTTAGCAAGAAGAAAGGTAACAGACATTTTTGGAGACATGTTTTAGAAATGTCACGTATTAGATCCCGACTGTGTTTTCTGGGAGAAATTCGGGTCTGTAGTTCTCTGTGGATCTAACTCAGCCTTGGAGAAAGACTAGGGTGCAGCCCCACACAACAAAGAGGCATTTGACTTCTGCCAAAGGTTTGGAATTGTGCATTTATTTTCAAACTCAGCTGTGTGACATTCAGCAGTTCAACGCTAGTTCACCTACCTGTGGGAGGCTTAACAGCACTAGGGACTGACAGCTGGCGATAGGCAAGTCCAGTGTCTCCCTTGCCATTCCCTCTTCCAGGCCGTACAGAAAAACAGTCCATATGGCTTCATGGTGGCTAGAAAGTGAAGTTCCTTTTAGGAAGTGACATCAGTGGTGATGTAAACACAGCCCTCCGCAACAGAAGGCTGCCAACCAGACCCTCGGGGTGAAGCAGACACGAAAGGTTTCAGAGGCATGGTGAGTGGCAGCTTTTATTTCGTCTCGCTCTTAACGTCTGGAAGCACAAGGCTGGCTTCCAGGTCACTGGCCATGTGTGGCAGCAGCTGTGGCTGCTTCAAATTGTTCCTTGCTTTCCTGAAAAGGTAGACCAACCGGTGTGTGTTCAGCCAGGCTGTTCTAAATATGGCTACGCTCTTTGGAGATGTCCTTTTCCTCAGCCATCCTTACAGCCGGAGCAGTTCGGCTGCCTGTCTGTGCCGGAGGGCTCCTGTGGGCTTCAGAGCGATGCTGAAGGAGTTTACACATGCTCTCCTCTACACACGTGTCGACTAAAACAGGGGTGGAAAATGTGTGACCAAGTAGAAAATGCACTCACCCAGGCTGGACCTTCTTTGGGTGTGGGTGTGGGTGTGGGTGCGGGCGTGGTCTGAGACTGGACATTGCCCTCCCCTCCTCCCTCAAGGAGTGCTACCCAACAGCTTCTCTGCATTCTCTTTACACTGTGTCTTTGACTCCAAGGTGCTTAGGTCGTTAAATCTCCTGCAGCTGTACCTAGTTCCACAGAAGACACCAGGTAAGCCATCCACCCACGCCCACAAAGTCTCTCTGCCTTGCTCTGAACCTCATTACCTTTAATGGCACATCCTTGGGCTTTTCTCTCTGTCATTTTCCAGCCACCGTAAAGACGTTTCTTCAGAAACTGTGTTTGAAAGTGAGGCCTAGCCGGGTGGGGTGGGGCATGTCTCTCTGAAGGGACTGATTTCGTGGAGTCAGCATGGAGTGATGGTACTGGGAACCCTTGAAATGTCACGAGCTGTGGGCTACTCTCCACCGTGACTGTTCACTTGTCCTTTTAACTAACATTAAACAATTCTCCCCAAGTGTTTACCATGCTAGGTACCTACCCAAGAGATGGTAAGACCTGGTATTTGAGGGAACATGTTCAGGAAGACAGGTATATAAATAAGTCAGACAGTAGGTACAGGTCAATAGTTAAAACCAGTGCCAGAAGCGCTAAGTGTGCCACCCATTGTGTCTGGCATGATTGGGGGTGTGGAAGGAGGTCACCGAGGCCTGTGTAGAGAGGTAATGCTTCTGATTGGTCCTCAAGGCTGGTGAGAGGGGAAAAAAAAAAAGACCAATGGCAGGAAAGACGCTTAGGAGTTAAAGAACAGTGAAAGAAGCAATTTGGGAACTGTGGCTGGTTTGGAACAGTGGAAGGGCCAGTTGGGGGAGTAGGGTCAGCCTGGAAGGCGCCCAGCTGGGAGGCCAGAGAAGGGTCAAGGAGTCCAGTCTCTGGAGCCACCACTCTAGTTTGAAAGACTTACTTACTAGCTATATATGCTTGGCATGTTGTATCAGTATGTGTGTGTGTGTGTGTGTACTCTTGTATTTATGCCTTTTTTTATTTGAACATGGAGGTAGTAATATCCATTTCAGATTTTTTTTCCTCGAGGACTAAATGGATTACTGCTTATATAACGCTGAGACAGGGTTTGGCTCACCATAAGTCCGACACGAGTGTTAGCAACAAAAACATTGAAACAGAAAAGCAACCACCACAGAAGCCGTGTCGCCAATGATGAGAGCTGGATGAAGGAAACAGCCGAATGGCATGGAGAGACTCCATGCTGGAGGTGGGCTGCACTCCCTTCAGGTTGATGCTGAACACATTCAGGCTGGAAATATCACGAGAACTGCAGCCTCCGAGGTGCAAGGCGGAGGGAGAGTCTGGAGTGGAGGGCACACCTCTTCTTACCCAAGAGGTGGGTTAACTGTGTGGGGTGACTTTCAAATGGTGCAAGCAACCAGGGAACAGACTGTGCCAAACAGCATCTCTGAACCAGCATCTGAAGTGAAATGAAGGCATGATTTCTCAGGGGGTTCAAACACCGTCGGAGTGTTCGGAGGCTCACTGTATTGGTGCCTGGTGACTACTGCTTCAAACCTAGTGAAAACCAGTTGGTTGCCATGACATGGGTGCCACTGAGCAGAGCACACTTCCAGAGAGTGGGTGTCTTTGTGCACAAACACGTGTGTATTGTCCATATGCATACAGATATGTTACATATTAATTCACTCCTCTTGTCTTCTTTCTAGCATGGGGCTACTTTTGGCCTGGGTACTTTTATGAGAAAGCTTCCCACTCTCTGAAAAGAAATGGTGAGTCTGAAGGGGAGAGAGAAGGCTAAAGAACTTTCATGATAAATGAGGTGGGAAGTGGAAAGAAGATATCCACGCTGTGACTCCAAGTCCCAGGCCTGATCCTTATGGTCAGTACTGGCCGTTAAGTGCAATTTTTCGTGACCATGAATGATAGGGAATGAAAAGGGGGCAACCCCTGAATGAAGGGGTTTCCGTGGTCCCAATCCATCTGATCCAGGGGCAGGACTCTTCCCTTGGGTCCAAGTCCTTGGTGAAGGTCGCTTCCTTGTCCATCACTCACTTTCCCAGGGGAGTTTTGTTTATTCCTTCAAAGCATCAGGTTACTGTGTGTGAGGAACTTCCATGGAGGTGCTAAGTGACAGGAAAAAGCCTCCTTCTACCCCAATGGGATAGGTGGCCACGTGTGCGCACCTGGGCCTGACACGCTATACTTGGGGCCAGGCTGTTGGGGTGAATGCACTAGAGCAGGGCGCTGCTAAGGAGTCCGATGTCCTACTGCTCTGCTGGCAGCTCTTGCTGGAGTCCTGAGCTCCACCAGGAGTCCCGCTGGGCTGCAGAGCAGGTGGGCCTCCCAGGGTGCCCATCAGCTTGCTCTGTGCAGGAGTTGTAGGAGCTGTAGAGCCCAAGCACGACACTCAAGACCAGCATTACTGCAGCCATCATCCAGATCACTTGCCAGTGCTGACACAACTTGGGATACATGACTTGTAGGAAATGGACCAGTTCTTCAAGTTTGCTGTCAATGAAACATAGAGAGATTAGTATCCTGGGCACATATCTGATGGCCAGACCCATACTTTCCTGTCTTGGGATTTTTTTCTATGCAATCTAAGTCAGAGGTTCTTAAGTTCAACTACAGAAAGCATCACTTGGAGATTGTACTCAAGTTGTCCCAAGCCTTCTGGATGAGAATTCCACAGTTAAGATCTAAAAAATCCCTGGGTGATTTTGGTGCCACTGGTCCATACTGTGGGCGGCTCATGCAGAATTTTGTCAGCCTCATTCTAGCCACCCTCCAGTTTGTCTCTCCTTTTCTCTTCCCACTCTCTCCAAACCCCATTCTTTCCATTCCTTCTCCTTTGTCTCTCGTACCTCTCTACTCTACTATTACCACATTCTCCTTGCTTATTTCCCAACTTTCTCGCAGCCCAAAAAGATATTTGATCAGAGTCCCATCCTAGGGCTTCCTGGAGATGGCTTGCACACTTTAGGCTGTGTTTTCCTCCTGTGTCTAATTTCAACTCTACGATTTGCAAAGCAAGATTTTTGAGGGTTACCTGACTGAGGTGAGGAGAGTGTCTGAAGGCTTGCTATAGACCCTGAGTCTTACCCAGACACTACAGGGCTCAGGCCAGTTGCCCGTGAAGGTGGAAGTTTGAATGAGGAGCTGGTAGGAAGTAGATGGCTTGCCATGGGTAAAAATATTTGGCAAATGTCCTCCTAAGAAAGGGGCCAGGTACTTGGAATGCTTGCCTTGAATGCCAAGGCCATGTCCTTGCCAATGCCTTGTCCATGTGGGAACCCCATCACGCCATTTCATCTGTACAAGTTATTGCATGAACTGGAAGTGAACCAGTTGCCGCTGTCAAGCCACTACTTGACAGCTTAGTTTATTCGCCTCTGAGAGAAATCATTGGCTATTTATGCAACTAACTGGGAAGGGGGAGATTGGACCTACAAGCTTCCTTCCTTCTAGCCCTGTTTATCTTTGGATCATACTGGGATACAATTAGAATTCAAATAGAGTCATTTTTCAAACTTTTTTTCAATGGTCCAGAGCAGAGTGCCGGTGTGGGGAGAAGCCCACTCCAAATCCACACTTAGAGAATTATTTTTCAGGGATGTGTAGGGAGGGGAGAAGTGCACACTGGACTGCAGGAGGCACCAAGTCCCCTGGAACTGGACTTATAGATCCTCTACAGCAACAGGGTGCTCTTAACTGCCATCTTTCCAGCCCTTGAATCCACCCTCAGTCCACAAAAGACACAGTCAAGAGCTGGGTGCATGGTCCTTAACCGTTCACCCGATACTTAGCTCCAAAGAGAAACTGGAAATAAAATTAAGCTAGAAACACCGTTTCGGGCAATTTTTGGTGGCTTAGCTTCTATTTTCTGAACATTGTTGGAAAAGTAAGGGCACCTGCTCAATCATCATTTCAGCTCCATAGATCAAGTTTGAACCAGTGGTGAGAGAGAAAAAAAAAATAAAGCCAGTTTTATGCTACACATTGCGAATTCCACTCATAATAATACCATGGGCTGCATTTAGGAGATGAGAGGTTGCTTCACCCAAAGTTCCCCCAGAGATCAACATTTATAGCAGATTACTACACTACATATAAGAGAGAAGAGTCTTAGACACAAAGTCTCAGGCTTCGGTGTTGAAGCCTTTAAATAAGGGGCTAGTTGCTAGGCTTACTCAGTTCAGTGTTTTTTATTTATTTCTATTTTTAAGAAACTCTTTAACTTGTGTGTATGTGAATGTTCTGGTGCGCATACGTACGTGCACCACGTGCACGCCTGGTTTCCATGGAAGTCAGAAGAGGGCATTGGATCCCCTGGAAATGGAGTTAGGGCGGTTGTGAGCCATGACGTATATGCTGGGAACTAAATCTGGGTCCTCTGCAAGAGCAACAAGAGCTATAGATCAGTGGGCCATCTCTCTAGCCACAATGCTTTTCTAAAATGCATGAAACAGGACATAGAACTGTGTGTGTGTGTGTGTGTATGTGTGTGTGTGTACACCTATGGATACACTTGGAGGCCAGAAGAGGGCACAGGATCTTTCCCCACATCCTGCACATCCCTTTGAGGAAGGGTTTCTCCTTGAACCTGGGGCTCATGTTTGCTCAGTTAGGCTAGAAGCCGGCAGGCTGCAGTGATCTCGTCTCTGCCACTCTGGGAGCCGTCATTACAAAGTGTGCACAGGATGCCTGGTGTGCTATGTGAGTGCTGGGATCCAAACTCCAGTCCTCAGGATTGTGTAGCAAGTGTTCTTAACAACTGGGACATCTTTCCAGCCCACATGGAACTTTCGGTGACTTCAGTCTCAGCTTGCTAGTGAGGTGCCAACGTCTCACAGGGGGCTCATGCTCAAGAGAGGGTTCCTGCAGGCAACTGTGGCTCTAAGGGACTCCACCGTGGGCTAAGCATCTTCTGGCACTAAGTAGGATGGCTCTTGGGACTTGGATTGGTTATGGGTGAGAGAGGGGCTCTGTGACAGTGGGTGTGCAGTTTATATGACAAACGTCCTAACAAGACAGGCTCGGTCTGAAAGAGTGAAACGGTACTCTTATGCTGAAGGCAAAGAATGTTTCCCAGAGCCTTGGTCAGGTCTGGTATCAGTCATCTGAGGAAGTTATCTCCTCAAAACCTGAAACAACTCCAATCAGGCATGAAGGATGGGAGTCTGAAAGAGGCCTCTAAAGGTCCAGGTGCTGCAAGCGGCCTTTGCCCAGGATTCCTCCTGGGCAGGAAGTGGCCCAGACAAAGCCCTGCTTCCCTGGGTTTTCGTGAGCTAGGAGGGAGCTGCCATTTGCTGGAGATGGAGTTAGCTAGATAAGGCTTGTGCTGTGTAAGCCAGATTGTTTATAGTCATGTGCTCCCTCTGTTTATTTCTCTTTTGTTCTTTCAGTGTGTATGGAAGTGCTGGAAATTCTAGCCTGTCTTAGATGATCTCAGGGTTCCAAAGGAAGGGCTGTTTCTGGGCTTGGGCTTGACAAAGGCAGCCTAGTAGTCTACAAAATAAATACAGATGATTCCTAAGAGGTAGCTGAGATGTAAGGAGGCCCCGATGCAGTGACTTGGCATCGGGGTTGTGCTTCCATGGTTAAACAAGGCTCTTTCCCCGAGAAGGGAGTGTAACTGGCACAGGCATATTCACTGTGAGGAAGACTTTTCCCTGGCACTCTGAAAAGGCTCTTCCCTTGACAACGGGGTTGACCCAGGCAGGCTGAGCATCTTTTTACTACCGGGTTCTGTTGATGGCATGCACAGGCTTTGAAATACAGTTGTCATCTTGGCAATCTTCACTTACTACCTTATTCAGTACACGTAAGCAGGCTCTGGAGCTTGCCAGCAGGAGGCTCAGATCACAGTCTGTGTCTGAGGTCAGTGGCAGATGATCACCCAGCTAACGGTTTTGTCTGGAGAAGCTCTGCACCTAGCCTAGGGGTCTAAAAGAAGATTTCAGTGAAGTGTTCCAAGACTGCGGTTGAGAAAAACAAGGCAAAGCAAAACCAAGGTTTTGATGCACTAATAGAGGCAGCTGGGCAGAGTATATGAAATTAGGGCTTTTCTGAAAATCTGGGGTGTTGATATGGTCCTTACCATCGATAGAGCAGTGTACGTCTCTGCTTTGGGACAGTTTATTCTGTCCAGAGTGGGACAGTCCTGGCCTAGTAGGGTTTTGACCTCATTATGTGAAATACCCTGCAGCTCGACAAGGCTGTTTCTATTTCGACCCCTGCTGCCAGCTGTGTTTTGTGTTTAATGTACTGTTCTGCGTGATGAAATGAGACCTACACGTGTAGGCGAGCACACTGTAGGACACAGGCTTTCTTTCTCGGCCTTCCATCTCCGCCTCCACTGGTCAGAAGGAAGGAGCTTGAAACAGAAAATATTTTATTTCCAACCGAAAGTGAAGACATGCTGCAAATGAACAAGTGTTTGGTCAACACAGCAGGGCCTGGTAGAGACTGAACTCTGCCACTGACGGAAATTTGTTCCCTGCCTCCGGTGTTCCCTCTGCTTTCCTGGGCTGTTCCTCCCGAGGATTTCAGGCTAGCTCATGTGCCAGTGGCTGTGGAAGGGGCTGGGAGTGTGCTAAGAATTCCTCTCCCTTTCTCAGCTCCTAGGAGCTGTTAATGGCTTTCTACCTTGTTCGTGACTACCTCTGAGCCCTCAGCTCTTACAAACGTGCCATTGCTAACTTGCTTTTCTCTATTTTCTATAGTTATTGCCTTTTTGAGTTCCACTGGCCAATAACTTGGGCCCCAGACCTGCTGCCATCCAGGACTGGCATTTCTGTCCATTTTGTGTAATTCAACAGTTAAATGACTTGCAACACAGTTAGGATCCACGTAAAGGCTTCCAACCTGCTTCTCTGGTCCTTCTCTTCCTCCTCAGTTTCTTCTACTTCCTCTGGTTCCTCAGGACTCTCCGTCTTCTGTTCTTCCTCCTCCTCCTTCAGGTCTTGGAGTTCTTCAGATTTCTTTACCCCTTCCTGGTATCTGGAGGGCAGAAAGCAAAAACTGAGTCCAAGAGGGCCAGACATAGGACATTCATGCCTGAGACCCTGGGGGAGGGGCTCAAGAACCCTCATTTATTGCTTGCTTCCTACAGCTCCATACAACAGGAAAAAGCTGGGAAGCTCTGCTGAACCGCAACATGGCTCATGTCAGTACCATTTCCCCTCACTCCTCAGCCATCCTTCCTGTTTATGTGACAGAGTGACAAACTGGCTGGGGAAAAAAATGTGGGACAGGGTCTTCTGGTGGTTGTTATCCTATAAAACATTCCCCAGAGATAAGACTGCATTTTCCCTGTGGAACCAAGAGCTTCAACTTTAGGGGCCTGTGCATCTCAGGGTGCTGGCGTTGACATAGAGAGGTACCCAGATAACATTCACAAAACCAATGGAGGGAATTGGGTTCGTGTCTCTGAGGAGAACCTTCCTTCAAAGCCCCTTGTGATTCCTGGGATCAGTATTTCCCTGAGCATAATATGCTCCCCCGACTGACAGCCAGGTGTCTAATTTCATTACTTTGGCTGGGACAACTCCACCCATGACTAAGTAACTACCACACAGATGCCTTGGGGCTCTGTGGCCAAGGTAAACTGAACCTCCCTCAGAAGTCCATGGTGCTAGGTTAAAGGTGAGTTTCTATCTTGAGTCCTGGGCCTTTGACCCTGCCAGTGCTCTTTCCCAGTGACTGATAGCTGGCCCTGGTTGCTAATGCAGCTCACTTAGAGACAGGGGAGGGTGGCAGTAGTGAAGCAAGGGCAGGAGGGAGGAGCTCCAATCCACAGGCAACACCAGGGCCATTCTAGGAAGCATAGTTGAAAGTGCCCCTGGGCACTGTTGGCAGTAACATGGCGGATCTGCACACGGTCAGGGGGCCCCAGGCAGCACCAGGAAGAACGTAGCCCGGCCCTTGAATTGTTTAGAACTTCCTAGGCAGTGGCATCATGCCTGAAAGAGACTAGTGGAGCGTAGCCATTGTCTAGGCTCACCCTGCGTCCTGCTTCTGTATGGAGGACTTTCTTCACTGAAAGAGGCTTTGGGCTCATTGACTGCTTCCCCAGAACACCACAGAAGCAAGCCAGGGTGTGGGAAGCTCTCTTCTGAGGCCTGCCAGGTGCCCTCGGGTGGCGAGGTCTGACTCACCCTTTGCTGTAGGCTTCTTCCTCTGCCCTGGCCTTGGCCTCCTGGCTCATCTCCTCCAGGCAGCTTGGGAGCGGCACAGGGGCACTAGTTTCACAGTCAGACTCCGCATTTGTCTTTCCACTAACGAGAGGAGGGAAGTGCAGGGAGTCATTGCAAGGGGAGGTTGAACATCTGCAGACACAACTGTGTCTTTGGCCCGATTCCCCATTCAAAGAGGAAACTCAGGCTCTTCCACTGGCTTTCAAGTTTGAAAACATCTACCTTGAGACAATATTTCAAAAAGACCGGCTCCATGAATCTCCCCGAAACCAGGAGGCAGACACTGTATCAGCTCCCCTTACCCTGGTGTCCCCAAAGCCAACTTTATTCTTATTTCAGGAGGTGCTGTGAGTGGACAGGGCACACAACAGAGAAATGACATGAGGAGACAGACTGAAACATACCAGGTCCTTCCTTTCTCATAATCTGTCTGTATTTTGTGACTTTCACTTATTCTTCCAACTATGCATTGAATGTGATAATAAGGCAATGTGGAATTGCAAAGAGAAAAAGAGAAACCTCTCTCTCTCTCTCTCTTTGCCAGTGTAGAGTTTTACAGAAGGAAAATTAATCATTTGAATTGTGAGTCATAATATTTATGAAAGAAACTATTCAGTGACAGAAAATGACAGGGAGAGGGTGTATTTAGAGTGGATGGTCAAGAAAGTCCTTTCCAAGGGGCTGAAATTGAAACGCTAGCCTCAAAGATGATATATGCATACGAAGATCATCTGAGGCAGAGGATATATAGACTTTGAGATGCAGTGGGCGCCAGAATCAAGTAGCTGAGAACAATCAATACGTCAGGAGCTAAGCTTGGGGCAGAATAAACTGCAGTGCATATGAGGTGTCTGAGAAGAGAGGTTGGGGTGGACAGTTGGAGATGCCCAGAACAGATGATGGCTTAAGGAGAAAGCCTGAGGAAAGAGGAACAGAGAACCAGGAGCAGGTCCAGTTATCTTCATGCTCCTTGAAGGAGGAGGAGTGGAGAAGGGGGAGGAGGATAAAAAGACAGAAGGAGCAGCTGGAGAGGTAGGTGTTAGCCAGAAGAGGGCAGAGGCTTGGGAGTCAGGAGGAGAGGATTTGCTGTGCTTCATTGTGTCTTCTGAGACTTCGTGTCCCTGGTGGAATTTGGTATGCAGGGCTCACATGGAGCCTCAGAATACTAGGTGAATGCTCTTAATGAAGAAAGGCTTAAGTGGGGAGACAAGTAGGGAGCACACTGACGAGACTGCTCAGCTTGGTAAGAGGCTCAAGGAGTGCAAGCATATTCAATCACAGGGAAGAAGGGTCCTGTGGAGGGGAAGAGAGAAGATGGCCAGGGGGACAGTGTCTTTGATTAAAGGAATCGAGACCTGAGAAAAGTAAGGAAAACCTCTTCTTAATTGGGACAAAGAGTAGAAGAGAAGGACAGCGGAGTGGACCTAACAGAAGAGGAGCTGCCTCCTGGCTGATGATAAGGCTGACATGCTGTTTGTCTTCTACAGAGAGTGAGGGTGCTGGGGTCTGAGAAGGCTGAGAAATGGCAGGAAGTACAGGCAGCGTGTGGAATAATAGGAAAATAAGCACACTAGCTAATCACTTCAGGATTGCTAGGCACACACTTGGAGTCCGTCTAAGGGATGAATGGGACTGCAAGTTGAAAAGAAGCAGCTTAAGAGCCACACCTTCCCTGCAGATTCATTCTTCAGCCACCCTGGTGTGCCTAATCCCGCTAGGACTGATGGTGTCGTGGAGGATCCCAGAAATGAGGCAAACACTGTACGCTGAACCTTCCAGCAGGAAGCTAAGGAGTCACCATTGCCTTCCTTTAGGCAGGGTCCAAGCCTTCAGCCTGCTCCCTATTCTTGGCATCAGTTTCCTATCTCCTAGTTTTCCTTCAGACCTTGAAAATATATGTTTCATTAGCCTGGAAACCAAAACCCATCGTGAACAAGGAAGATAATGTTCTAAAAATACCGGCTATTCATAACATTTCTCCTCCTGCAAATTATACCCTCCACTCCCTTCCCTGTGACCTTTGCCTAATGTGCAGTTTCCTATCTGTCCCCTAACTGCATGAAGTGAAGAAAAACACAACTAGAGCCAAGGGCAGGGCCATTCATTATCTTATGAAGTATATTTATATATTAGAAGTGAAGTGTAGCTATCACATTTTTGGTTTCTTTTCTCTATACCTGCCCACATTGGAGGATCTTTAAAGCTAACCAGGTATAAAGAGAACTTGCCTGGGGTGGACCTGGTTCAAGCCCCAGGCTCAGAGACCTTAAGTCACCAGCCTGATGGGCAATCTCGTGACCCCTTCCCTGGCAGGAATGAGGCTATTCTAATAGAAGAGACACCTATGGCCTTTTCTTGCCTATCAGACTATTGAGACACTGCAACCCACGGAGCTGAAGTCCCCTCAGGAATTGCATACCAGGAGAAGAAAAGATTAGTAGCCCAGGCCAGCCAGAGGAGAAATTTGTCTCCCAGAAAAAGACTTGCAACTCGCCAGATCACCTTGCAGTACAGGCCGGAGTTGAGACGGGTGGGTCAGTGGTGGGAGGAGCCACAGCCTGACCAGACTGTCCCTGGCCCTCTGCTTAACCCAACCCCTTCTATCAGGACTCTGAAGATATACTGGGCTGAGGGTTGCTGGATCTTTTTTTTTTTTTTTTTCATTTTCTCCCCAATGTAACCATATTAAATAAATCTTTTTCTGCTTTCTACTATTAGTTTGGCTCTTTAATTAGATGGTTGATGGTAGGTGGTTGGGCCTGACTTATTAGGGCTGCCAGGGCACAGACTATGAGCTTAACCCCAGGAACAATTAGTGTGTGCCAAGGCTCAAATTTGGTCCTGCTGTAGGTTGATGCCGATCCATGCTTTAACTGTCCTTGTGAGGCACTCCTTCCTGTTTACTTTGGCTCACTAACTTCACATCAAGACGAGCTTTCTTCCTGCCCCCGCACTTCAGTTCTCTTCTGGGGCTCTGACTGGTGTGTAAGGCCCAAAGCATCTACAAAGGGAGCTATTCCCACCACGTTCCCATAGCCAGCGATGCTCCTCCCTCCACAGACTACTTCAAGTATGAGGGGCTGGGAAGGCCGTGGTTTAGCACCAGGCAGGAGGCTGGGATTGGAGGTGGGGCAAACATAGTAAGATGTAAACTTTGTCACCATTTTCTGACTTCTACACCGAGCATGGAATTCCCTAAGTTTCTTCTCCAACTCCCTGGAAGGTTCTCCTCGTGCATCTTTAAGACCCAGAGTGAATCCTTCTCCTCCATGGGACCTTTGCTGATGTTCTAATGTCTCCCAGGCTCAGTGGCTAGCGCAGCTGTGGCACCACACCTCAGTAACGAAGGGAGAATGTTTCCACACCTGCCCATCCTTCCTCAGACCATGCTCACATGGAAAGGGCTGTGTTTGAAAGGTGCCCGGTGCAGACTGAGTTCTTGTGTTACTCCAACTCCACAACGGGGTGCCCAACCCCTGTGCACGAAGTTAGTGAAGTGACAGATGCTTTCTGTAAATGAGACTTTCCCGAGAATTCGGCATGGGCTAAGAGAATCCACGATCATCTCTGTAAATGAGAGCTGAGCACGGTCTGTGCCCTCCCAGGCATCACTGGGTGGACTTTGGCATCCGTCCTCGGCCTGGGACCCTGTGCCTTTCTTCTGGAGTGATTCATTAAACTGAGGTTGGGTTTAGCATTGTGCTGGGCTCTCAGCCACCTGAGGTCTGTTTGTTCAGAGTAAACTGTTGGCCAAGTCGGTTATCAAGTTTATTGGTGAGCAATATTTGAAAGTGACTTCAAGTCTTTTGAAAGGGCAGGTCCTCCCTCGTGGGCTCAGAAATGTTGCTGAATCATCCTAATTCAGTGGCTTCTTTTGATAAGTCCAAATCAGAGGACCTGAGCTATGGGACCCTCCTGACTCCCTCAAACCCAGTCTCCGATTCTTGGTTAATAATTATCCTAAGGTATACTTTTCTCCAGAATAGAATCAGTAAGGGGACAGATTGTTTGCTGTACAAATTTAATGACCCTGGTTGCTTCAAAAGCATAGGAGATCCCAGCTAACACCACATTGTGACACAACAGCACTGTGTCTTATTCATAAAACTAATTAACACATCCCAGCTTTGCTCTCATACCCTGGTCTGCCCCACTCTCTATGCCCATCTAACCACCAGGTTCTCCCCCAAAAGTCATCTTTTCCACTCTTTTCTCTGTAGTCACTCTGAATGTCTTCTGTCCTTCTGTGAGCATGAGCCATGCCATTTTTAAAAAGCTGTGTAAGTTCAGAGCGTATCTCTAGGCATCGTCTTCCTCATCAATAAGACAGAGGTGTTAACAATGTATCAACTTCATGAGGTCCTTGGCAGGGTTAACAAGGAATGGACAGCAATTAGGAAAAAAGGTGTGTGGCATAAAGGGAATGAGTTGTAATTAATATCAAGAACTGATATCACCATCATCTTTCTTTGAATTCCCTGCTACCTATTAACCTCCTGTTCACCTAGTTGATGATAAACCTTTATGATTAACTTTAAAAGCAGATTCCTAGGGGAAAACATTTTCTGAGCCCCACCTCATCTCACACCCACGCAGGGTTAGAGGCTCATTTTCTCATGTGTTGGTCCCTTAGCAACCGCCCTTCCTTATGACAACATTCATCACACTGTAGAATAATAGGCTGCTTCCTGTATGGCTTTCCCACTAAACCTGCACTCCTTGAGAGCATTCCATGAGATGGCCCGAGAGCGCTCATCAGAAGAGTGGAAGAATGAAAGACCACACACATAGTCTTCCTATGACTATACTCCCCAGCCATATGTTTAAATCTATATGTGTCTAGACCTCTGCTGAGCTGAAGGACAGTTTGTTATGAAACGGCCTGCAAAAGCAAGCAAGCTTCAGAACTCTCTAAGCTCAAGTGGGACACAGTATTGTCAGCTGGTCTGCATTGTGGACTGGCCACAGTAGCCACAGGCTACTTGCTCATCCTCGTGTTTCCTTATAGGAAATGGAAAACCATTTAACATGAAGGTCAATGCAACTAGGAATGTCTGATAAAGTATAACATGTTACTTATCTTCAACATGACCAGGCTAACTGGAATTGGTGACATCTACACATAAGAATAGAAAACATAGGTTCATTTTCACTTGCAAATTATTTCATGATTGGCCTCTTGGGGACCTACAATGCTTCCAGTTCTGTGCCTTTGGGGGAAGAGGCAGTTAGCACCTTTTATTAATCCACATGGAAGAGCTGCTATTGTTTGGAGTCTCAGGAGTCTCCCTTATTTGAACCTTCTTCTACTCTTTGCAGTCAACTTTATTTGGATATATTTCCAGCATCTGAGTGCATGGTGTATACATGGCTGATGACAATTTCTAGTTAGTCTAAGAGGGAGCTACAAACTCCCTCCTGGGAACCTATGGCTTGACCCTGGGTCTCACCTTGGCCTTTCAGCTCCTGATTCTAAACGTGAACGGTGCCACCAGCCCTGATCCTCACTCATTGACACCACACATTTGGGGCTGTCCCACAGGTTCTCCTACTGAGAACATCTCAATTCTTAGTAATTCCCAGTGTCTTGGAGGAGCACTTAGCTGGCCTGAATGTTATTTAGAATGAGAGTCTATCAAGGAGAGCAAGGACCTTGATCTTCTGCCATGGCTAGGTTTGTGGGCCTAGAGCTGGGAAGAGGCCCTTGATGGAAGTGCTCTAAAGTAGACTCATGAGCTCAAAATGAGAGCTGACAGAATTTCAAAGAGCATAAGTCATCATCTTTAGGTAGATTCAGAGGCCGTGAATTAGGCATTATGGCTCTACGTGACAAGATTTTGTAGCCTGTAGTCACCTTACTTTTGTTCGGTGAATAATTTGTCATCTTTTGACAGTTCTGGAGTGATCAAGAAACAAGAGGGAGAAAGAGGATGCACTCACTTGGTGATGTAAAGTGTGTATGTGCTTGTAGGTGGCAAAGGGTGTAAAAACTGGGCAAATGTTGATGGTAGCCAGAGGGGTCTTTAGTGGGAACTTGTCAGTCACACATACTGAGAGTGAGGATTGCAGGCCAAGTCTGGAGGCAAGAGCTTGGGAGCATGTCTGACCTGACAAGGGGCCCAGCAATCACAAAGCCAGACAACGAGAGCCTACTAACAGCAACAGAAAATGAAAGCCGCCTCAAGGCAGAGAAGGAGAGATGAGGTGGAGATGAAGGCAGAAGTTAGAGATGAGCGTAGCTGCACCCTACCAGTGAGGAGAGACACAAAGTGAAAGTCCTGAGAGGTGGCAGCCGTGACCCAGAGGTTTGCCAGCAAGCAAATGAAGAAAAGTTCAAAAAGTAAGTCATATGCCGCCCCCCCCAACACACACACAGAAGAGCAGCCTTTGTGCTCCAGGTTAGCATGAGAAGAACTGCAAACTGCAAACTGCATGGAGGCCTGGGAAAGCCAAGCTCAGGAGACCCTCTCAGCCATCAAGCCAGTATGTTCTGTTTCCCACTTCTTGATGGAAAGAACTTTTTTTTCCCCTTCCCAAAGTTACCATGCTTCGGGGACCCTCTCCTCCTCTCAGTAGTTTAAACTTACATGATTCTATTCCCAAATAGAAGAAATGTATACATCTTCCTCTAGATACAGCCTTGTCTATGGTTCTGGGAACTAGCATCCATTTGCTACAAGCCTGGCGATGACATCAACATGAAGTGGCCAGAGTCAAGGAAACCACAGAGAGATAGAATTCTGTCACACTGTAGTAGCCTACCCTGGAATTGTTGTCTAAGCCTTGTTTGAATTAGAACGTTTTTGTGTCTATATACCCAAGGGACCCCAACTAATGAGGAGGCTTTCTATCTTCAGGGGCTCTTAGGCAGGGTGTAGATGGCCTCAGGCATAGCATCTTCCCAGTCCAAGACTTTTACACAGTGAGATCTGAAACCTTTGTGGATCTCAGAATCCTATTTATTTCCACCTAAAACTTAATTTTCTTTCTATTTTATTTTTGGGTTGAGGATGAGAGGGAAGAAAGTAAGTTGGAGGTTTTCTGTAAGGATCCCCAATATTAAGCAGAAAATACAGAAACTTACTTTTCCAAAAGCGCAGGCAGCACCGGGGGGTTGGATATGTTGCCTTTCCCGTTGGGTGGTGCTTCAGACTGGATGGAAACAGGAGCCAGAACTGAGGGTGAGTGATGAAGGAGGAACCCAGGGCTGCCAGGCCTTTGGTGACGCTGGGGAGGGGCTGCGGCTGTCCCTTCTCTTTCCATCCTTCTCCCCCCATTTGCCTTCCAGTCTGCATTCTGAGGCTCCGTCCTCACAGGGAACCATCAGTGATCCTCTGTCCCATTTCTTGAGTACCAGTAGGCCTCCAGCCTGATGTGGATTTAGAACTCCTTGGGATGGACTCAGATAACTAATCACTGTCCCCCAGGTAGTGTTCCAAGTACAAACCTCATGTCTGATGTGGCAACGTGCTCAAGCTGGCAGACATTCCTGTGCAGTTACCTGGGGCCCCATGCTGGTCTGTTGCAGTGGGCATGGCTAAAGCAAGGGTTTTCAACTCTGCAACCTGCCGTGGGGTAAGCAGTACCGAACCATTCCAGAGTTTGGGGTTGGAACCCGTGACCAGGGTTTCCAATGTAGCCTTTGTGATTTTAAAGTGTAGTTCTTATTGTCAGCCACTTGTCTAAAGGTATATATTCGGAAACCATGTCTCTATGAAAAGGGTCTGTTGCTAACTAGCCTCTTCTACTCTCTTAAAAAATTCAGTTTAAGGGGGGAGGGGGGTCTGGGAGGGGAGGAGGGAGGGGCTTATGGGGGGATACAAAATGAATAAAGTGCAATTAATAAAAGTTAAAAAGGGAGGGGCTTATGGGGGATACAAAATGAATAAAGTGTAATTAATAAAAAAATTAAAAAAATAAAAGTTAAAAAAAATTCAGTTTAAAAAAATTTATTTTGTGTGTGTGAATGACTGCCTGGATTGTGTCTGTACACCATAAATTTTCATTGCACATGGAGGTCATAATGGGGTGTCAGGCACACCCTGGGGCTGGAGGTACAGATGGCAGGGAGCTGCCATGTGGGTGCTGGGGAGTGAACCTTGGTCCTTTGGAAGAGCAGCCAGTGCTCTTAACTACTGAGCCATCTCTCCAGGCTCTTCAGGTATTAGTAACTCGGGAGTTTAAGTTCATTTTACAGTCAAAATACTTATAAAGTAAAGGAAACATAACAGTGATTGCTAGCTATGGGTGGGTACAGTGGAGCTGGAAGTGCCTCGGCCGGCTACTTACACGCTGAACCCACCTCTCTGTTCAGCTGTGCTGGGGTGGACAGGTAAAGGAACCACTGGAGAAAGGTATTTAAAAGTTTTAGAGAGAAATCACTAGATGCACGAAATCCTTAGGTATAGAAACGATTTTCTTATACTAGAATAAAATGGACAATTTCTCTGCCTTTCTTTTCATATCCTATAGAAATATTAAAGATTATTATTAATATTAAATATTATTAATTGTAAGTCAAATAAACCCTTTCTTCCCTAAGTTTATTTTTATCACTCTATTTTAAGGAAACAACAGAAGTGAACCTAGAACAATTATTAAAGTTTGAATGATTTCTTTCATGATTTCCTATGTTCTACACAGAGACACAGCATTTTAAAGGTATAAAACAGAATTATATTACATATACTCCAACACACGTGTTTATTATATATAGAAACCATGGTGATAATTGTACAGAAACCCTTTATGATGGTATTTGCCATCTGTTTGTCAATCTCCTGTTGATAAGCACTGGGTTGCTTTCAGGGTTTCATTGTTACAAACACTCTGTAGTGACTAAAGACGGATGAGACTCAGTTCCAGACCTCAGCTCTGAACTCAGAGCTTTGCTTTGGGTGTACCTGTCACAACCCACTGTACGTGCAAAGCTGTTTTCTTTAAACCATACCTGCCTTAAAGAATTATGGTTTTGTTCAAATAGGGTTGCTGTTTGTGAGGTGCACTTCCTGAGCCATCTGTGCTTCGCTCAAGAGCACAGAGACCTCCTCTCAGAACAGTGGGATTGCTTTATGTACCTCTCTCCATATTCTGTGTTGGAATTTCCTGTCCCTACTGACCCTGTCCTTCTCTGCATCCTCTCCATAGTAGCAGCGTGAGGGAAAGGTAGAAAGGACAGAGGCAGGCAACATCATACTCACCAGCGCTGGTAGGGAGGGGATGGGTGATGAGCTGGGGGCTTGGCTGGGCAGGCTCAGGGCATTAAACTTGGGAACCACAGCAACACTGACCCTCCGGCGGGGCATGTTCTGTGGGAAGAGAAGCAATTCAGGCCTCCTGTCTTGGGAATAAAAACAGTTATGGTTCTGAGGGTTTTGGGAAAGCTTGCTAGAGTCTAACGTTCAGTAGGTAGTTTGGTTTTTGGGTGGGAATGGTGTTAGGAATCAGTGTGGAAAGAGTGAACCAAAGTTGACCCAAATTTCCTGTTGGCCATGAGTGATCGGTCTCTCAACACATCCCCGTTTGGCATTTTGAGGCCTCATTCTCTGAGTAGCCTCCTAGATGGTGTGTAAAAAAAACTGCCTATGGCAAAGTCAAAATACATGCATTATTTCATGTCCACTTAATGACTAGTCAAGAACACTACACCCGAGCAAGAGAGATGGGGTGTCAGAGGCCATGTGAGCAGGTGTGGAAGCTTCTTCTGGGAGCCCTGGAATTCCTTGACCATGCCTACCTTTCCCATCGTGAGGGACATAGATCGCGCCGTGCGGGGCACCCCATCTTCTATAGGGAAACAACAGAAGAAAACGGGTGTGAGTTTCAGGTTGGGGTCCAACAGGACACAGACAGGCAGAAATTAAACCAAACTATCCATAGGCCATAAATGGCCTTGCAGGGATGGCTCAGAGATCTGGGCACTGGAGACCCGTCACTGTTTGATGCTTCACCCTCTATGAAAGTGATACACAGCAAAGGGACTCTCTTGTCAAAACATTTGTTCTAACTCCACCAAACACTACAAGAAGCCCCCGTCTTGTGCTTCTGGGCTCCATTTGACACCTCTGTAGTCTCTGGGGTCACCCAAGATGCTATGTGAAAAGGACTCAGCAAGCATGAAGCATGTGGATTCATTCCATGTTCACTCAAAGGATGGAGACACTCTAAACAAGGAAGATGTGATGTTAAGAATGCAAACTTGCTAACGGAAGTAGTTTCTGTGTGTTTACCTACACTGACTCAGAACAAAGGAAGCTGTCACTTTAAGACCTTTTTCTCCTTAGTGAGTATATTAAATGACATAACTTATGTTCAGCATGCCACATCATACCTGTATGAGTGTGCTACCAGAAAACCACTGGATAAACATAGGAAAAACATTTTCATTTTGTCAAAAGTGTAACTCTTGTTCTTTTGACTGTATTTCCAAATAGTATTTGTCCAAAAGTTATCAGAAAAGCATCTTCAAGGTCAGCTGAGCTTGATTCAGTCTCACCAGCATCCTGGAGCCACAGGCATCTGGGCTCCTAACAAAATGCTCTTGACTACGAATGGGGAGTTGGTTAAAAAAAAAAAATCCTAGTGTGTTGGTTCAGTAATTATTTCTCTACAAGGTTCAGGTCTCCCACAAACCGTTGTACCCAGAATGTATGAAATGAAATGAGTGTCATCTCAGTGGAAGTTTATAATCCTAGTACCTGGGAGGCAGAGGCATGGTTACTGTGAGTTTGAGGCCAGCGTGGGCTATAGAACAAGAGCCTGGCTAAAACAAAAACCAACATGCTCTCTGGGATGATTAGTGACCTCTGTCTAGGTTTCATAGCCCTGTATTTTACATATGACCCTTGAAAAGCACATAGCTATGTGCTTTGTTCTGCTTCTTAATCTGAGGACCTTGATCAACCAACAGCTTCACACTGTCTTACAAGTCTTGTGATCATTAACAGTTGCATTAATTTTTATCCTCTCATTTTCCATATTTTATTTACCTTGATTATTTATTTATTTTAATTACCTTGATTTATTACTTGATTTTTTTTTCTAATTTCTTTTGCACTCTCCATATTAGTTGAGAAATTATCCATTCTAGTTCTAATCTCTGAGACGTGGCTTTAACTCCTGCTGTGATCTGGCTTTGGAGTTAAAACCCGGGCTGAAGAGATGGCTCTGCTGTTAGAGGCTAGGCTCACAACCAAAAATAAATTTATATTAATCAAGATCCCCAGGCTGTTCCTGAATAGAGCTCAAAACAATACTCCTTCTCACCTTAACTAGAGTGCCAGTCACATTTATGTCACCTGTGTATGCCCAAGTTATGCCTTATTCATCCAATCAGCTGTAACTGGATGCTTATCTGCCTCCATCCACGTGCTTCTGAACATCCTTGATCACCGGCCTTTCTTGCACCCTGCCTTCCACCCCCAAGCCCAGTATATTCTTTAATTGTCCTTTCAGCAAGGACCTACGAAAGAACCCCTTTCTTATTATAGCCTTCCCCAGCCCTCGGCCTTTCATGACCACCCATTTACTTCCTGTCAGTTCTTTGAAGGGGTGAGACCACTGCCTTCTGGTGCTATTGTTGGCCATTGAGAATTGCCATCTATTTGCATTTTTTATCATTACTTTTAAGATCTTTTCTTTTTAAAGTCTGTGATGTATGTGCATGAACATGGGCATGTATAATGTGTGTGTTCATGCTGATACCGGGCAAGGGTCGACACTGGGCATCTCTTTCTATCTCTCTCCACCTTATTTTTTGAGACAAGGATTCTCACTGAAGCTGGTCAGGGAGGTCCTGGGGTGTTTCCTGGAGGACAGGTGTGTACCACAATGCTTGAGCTTTGAGTGGGTGCTGGGATCCAAGCTCAGGATCAGGGCACCCTTGCTCACATAGCAGGAGCTTTTCTCACTGAGCCCCCTCTTCTCTCATTTTATCTTCTCGGATGTTTCCATTTTGTGTGTATGTGTGTGTTACAGACTTCACTATATTACTGAATTCAGTGATTTGTGTCTTTTTTTTTTTTTTTCTTTTTTAGCTGTGGAAGATGCTAGGTTATTTCTTTGAAGATTTTCTGTGCCTAACTTCCCACTTACGGACCACTTGGTAAATGGATTGTAGGCTCTCCTCCCTATCTCCTGTTTCAAAAACCTTCTTTCATATTTTAATCACTGTATCCATTTCAACTGCATTTTGGGTAACTGACTCAAATCTTCCAGTCAAGATGAACAGGTTAGTATTCTGGAAGAGTGGTTCTCATCAGATCAGGAGGAGGAAGACCAGGGCCAGGCACGCAGTTTTTACAGGTTTCGGAGCAGAAGTGGCTCAGCTCACCCATGAAGCTCCACAATGCCCAATGCAGCTTTTATGGCAGGTTTTCACAACCTGTGGCTTATGATCCCTTTGGGGTCAAATGAGACTTTCACAGTGGCCATATATCAGATATCCTACATATCAGATATTTATGCTGTGATTCATAACAGTAGCAAATTACAGTTGTGAAATAGCAACGAAAATGATTTTATGGTTTCAGGTTACCACAATCTGGAGAACTGTATTAAAAGGTTACAGCCGTAGGAAGGTTGAGATCCACTGCTCTAGGGAATGGAAAGTAAGAGAGGGAGAGGAACTCAGAATACTGACAAACCTCCTCTCCCATGGCCACCACACCTACCAAGTCTCCCTCATCTCTGACTTGCTTTGAGGAGTTCTATTTTTTAAACTATTATTCGATCTCATGTTTTCCATCTGCCTTTCCATGCCTCTGCTGATTTTACAATGCTGATTGCTTTACTCTCTGATGTTCTCAGGGAGTGATCTTTCTTTGGTGGGTCTAATGATTCGTGTGCACAGTGGACTGTTTCATTGAGTATTTTACACCGTGAGCTTGTCTTCGCCCAGGCCCTGGGGAGGGTTCTGTGGGTCATGGCACAGGGTGTGCCTCTCCGCGGTGGCTGACAGTGCTCCTGAAGACAGCTTCCTGCTGTTCTTTCAGATTCTCCACAGATTACAGCACTGCTGCTGTCACTCATGTACTTTTCCTATGAGGAAGGAGAGAGTATTTGTTTCCTCCCAGGGTACAGGGTGAAACAGGCAAGCTTCCGTATTTGCTTCTCTGCTGGCTGGTGAGCGAGGGTTTTCATTCTTTGTATAGGTTCTATCTCAAGACACAGTTCCTAGAAGGTCTTGGCTTCCCATATGAAGGTCAGTGCCCACCAAGGCTGGAGGCTGCTCTCCATTGTTCTGGAGGCAAAGAGTTCCACATAACCAGGGTGGCTCTGGCCACAGCAAGCCACAGGGTCAGCACGGTTTCAGTTCTCTTCTTGTTTCCGTCTATTTCCATTTCCTTTCTTGTGGGCTCAGCTGTTCTTTTAGACGACTTGTTTTATTTTGTCCAGCAGGAAGTTTAAAGCATTTTGGTTAAAGGGTTTTTTTTTTTTTTAAGTTTTCTGGTCATCCCAAAGAGCAGAACCAGAAAATGTTCTCTAAATGTGAATAGTCAATAAAATTCCCATATTTCAGATGGGATAAATAGAGAATTTACAGAATGAATATAGGTACAAACATTTAACAAATGCATGGAAAGGCATCAAAGTATGAATCAAAACTATGAAATAAAACAATTTATGTATATAAAATCCTAAGCATACTTCAGTAGAAAGAACAAGTTTGGTAGTCTGGGTAAGAGGAGCGAGCATTAACATAACCCACTACATGACTATGCCAATGGACTGCAAGAAAATAATTTAAGTAATTTTTTAAAATATTTTTTTCTATTTTTAAATAATTTTATATATTCACTTGTATCCCAGCTGTAGCCCTCTCCCTCTTTCCTTCCCAATCCTCCCCTTCCTCCCTCATCTCCTTCCTGCCCCTTCCGAGTCCACTGAGAGGGGGTGTCCTCCTCTCCTTCCATCTGGCCCTAGCTTATCAGGTAATAATTTAGGTAATTTATAAATATTTCTTTTCCCTAATCTAGTAATATTTTAATTTCATTAGATTTTTCATTAACAAACAAAAGCGTATATTTCATTGTAATGTTTTCATACATGTATGTCATTGTACTAGGTTCTTATCTGTCCTCCCTGTCCTCTGCCCACTGGGCTCCCTCAAATATCCCCCCTCTTTAAGCTATTGTTTATATTTCTATAAGTTTTTTGAAAGGAAATAATGTAACATGCAGATAATCAGCATGTTGCATGTTCCAAAAAAAAAAATTTTTTTTTAATGAGCAACGTATAGTCTTCAAAGTCTCAGCCATAGACAGACTGCCAGAGGTCATGTAAAGGCTTTTTAAAAACATGCTGATAGAATGGTCGTGGCACACCACAAAGACACAGCCGCTGACACCCAGACTCGCAGTGCTGGTCTCCCTGCAGCAGCCACCGTGGAGTTAGAGCTCGGAAAAACAACTGATGCGAGACCAAATGTCTCCCACCATGTTCTTTGGCTAAGATTCGGCTCTCGCGTCCTTTCCTCTTGCTACCATTTTCTTGGCTCCCAGACCAGACTGTGAGAACTCTACAGAATCCACTTCCCCCCGGAAGTCTGCCGACTGTATTTTTTCTCTGTGGATAGCTGTGGTGTGTGTACATGCTTGGGTGGCTATGTATGGTGTGTGTGAGGGAGTGTGTGCGTGTAGAAGCCAGTGTGTCTTCCATTGCTCCACGCCTTGTTTTCTCAGACAGGGCCTCTCACTGAACCTGGAGCTCACCAATTCGCTCAACCAGCTGGTCAGCAAACTTCAGGGACCCAGCTGTCTCTTCCTCTCCAGCACTGGGGTAACAGATCAGTATGGCTGCTTACAGCTTTTTCTCATGGGAGCAGGGATCTGAACTCAGGTCCTCACACTTGCACGGCAAGCCATTTACTCGCTGACCCAGCCCCCCAGACCAAGAAGTCTGTTTACTGTTGCTGTAGCTCTAGGAATGGGGCTCTGTCATGTGGGTATGCCAAAAGTGCTCAAAAATTACTGTAGGATGAATGAATGAGACCCCTGGGTCACCGATCATCCCAGAGAGCATGTTGGTTTTTCTTTTAGCCAGGCTCTTGCTCTATAGCCCAGGCTGGCCTCAAACTCACAGTAACCATGCCTCTGCCTCCCAGGTGCTAGGATTATAAACTTCCACTGAGATGACACTCACTTCATTTCATACATTCTGGGTACACCAGTTTGTGGGAGACCTGAACCTTGTAGAGAAATAATTACTGAACCAACACATTAGGATTTTTTTTTGGAACCAACTCCCCATTCGTAGCCAAGAGCATTTTGTTAGGAGCCCAGATGCCTGTGGGCCAGGAACCTGGCTGCTGAGATCCAAAGCAGACAGCCCTGAGCATGTGTCCATGGCTGTGGACTCTGGCAAGGGTCACTGATATTCCCCAGGAAGCTCGAGGAACCTCCTGTTTATAAAGGTTTCTTAGGCTGTTATACTTTCCCCCTCCTGCTCTTGGTAACACGGATGTTTGCATTCCACAGGAGTTCCTGATGTGACAAGCTGTTTGCTCCAGCTAGCACCCTCCTGGACCAGGACTCTAAACCCTGGCAGCACCCAGGGAGAGATTCCAGTCCAAAGCACTGTCGTTTCCCTCCTGGACTGAGCAAGAGCCGCTGAGCTCATCTTTCCCTGCTTCAGCTTTGACACTCTGCAATTGCACTGAGCCTGCTGAAGTCAGAGTAGCCCAAAAATGAAATACGGGTATGTCCTGTGACATGCTTCCTGCTGACTCTCTGTTGCTACAGGACAAAGGCAGAGCTGCTGCTGTGGCCTGGAAGATGGCCGTGGTCTGCCAAGTCTTACGTTCAACCTCTCACATCACCCCAGCACCGCAGCTGTGTCTCTCCGGTTGTTCCCACCTCCACACCTTTACACACACTGGAAGCTCCACCTGGAAGCTGACTTCTTCCTCCTATTTTAAAACCCTGCAGGATGTCCTCCCTGGATGCTTCCATCCTTGATTCCCCCGAGGAGAATCAGGTGGACCCTTTTCTGTCCTCTTACACCAGTTTGCATAGAACTTCTGAAAACATTAAGCAAAGGATCACTGAAGTATGTGTCTTGCCCGTGTATCTGTCTCGGCAATAGCACGCTTGGCTAGGCCTTTATTCTGCTCCACCAACCAAACTCCATCCCTGCCCTGGGCTGTTGCAACATCCTTACAAATAAAGAATATTTTCTGGAAAAATGGAATAACTTTTGACTGAAATGCTTAAACATTTCCGCTGGACCCAATGAAATAAGCAGTCTCATGACTTCGAGGACAGCCTGGACTAGGATGCCAATTTGCTCCAGTTATGTAACTGATGTACTGCTGTGCTTAGGGTGTGGTCAACCATTTCCTTGATGGATATCCTTGGATATTTAATGCTTTCTAGAATAAAGCCCAAGTTTCTTAGCATGTGATACCCAAAAGGGGAAATCCCAAAGCACAGAGACATGTAGTGTCATGGGGTCAGTCACAGAGTGTGCTTGGCATCTGCCATCAGTCACTTTGGCTAAGTGTCAGAAGTTGGGAGGTCTTCAGTGCCCTTCATGGCTTCTGATTCTAGGACCCCCAACCTCACTGGAGCGGATGTTGTAAAGGACCGTGAGTAGCTTTGGACAGAGGTGAGGAGTTTTACCCTGCCAGATACAGACCCTGAAGCTGTCTTGATCCCCAAGCCATTGGGGTCCTGACCTCACATCAGGAACAGAAGCCTTGTTCTTACCAGAGGGGCCACAACTGCGACTAGAGTTCTGGTTTGCGAGTTTCTTAAACTCCATGAGCTCAGCGTGGTCCTTCTCGTATGTTCTCTTCAGATTCTCCACATACTGCATCATCACTTCTGTCGCCTTTGACATGCGCTTTTCCTGAAGGGAAGGAGGGCACAGGTACATGGGGGACAGATGAAGAACCATCAGCATTTGGCTGCTCTGAGCTCAGCCCTGAGCTGCCGGAATAGTAAAACTGCAGGGACCCATCAGATGGGAATCTGTCCTGAGAGTTTGTTGCCTGTGACATTGGGTTAGGTGGTGTCATGTCTAGGGAGGGGAAAGACACAGCCACTCACTATAAAAGGTAAAAGGAGGAAGAGTTGGTTTACTCTAGGAGAGAATAGATGGGTTGGGTTTCTGGAGATGGCTTGAAGTCACAGATGTGGGGTGTGGGCGCATAGACATGGGCAGGATAGACAAAGGCTCAAGGACAGAGAACTTCAGGGCGTCCAGAGACAGGCAGTTCCTCACAGGACTTGTGTGTAGAAGATTTATCCTCTAGGAACCCCTTAGAATGAAAATGGGCACCATTCCATGTTATGCCGAGCCTATCCAAGGGCTCCTGCAAGCCAGCATAGCACAGACATCCCATCCATATAAAAATCAACAGGCACTTGGTTTTGGGGGAGGAACTGCTCTAGGCCTGGGTTGTGAAGCACTTAACATGCTGGATGAAGGAATCTTGACTTATTCTGCAGAAAAAGACCAATTACTGAAAGTGGTGAAGTGAGGGATGGCGGGCGACAGGCCCGAAGTGAATGAGACCGGGACAGTGAGAGCAACAGGGGACAAGTGTGTAAGCTGGTACAGAGGAACCAGGGAGGAGAGGGAGAGCTGTGACACAGCAGACAGGTGGGGGAGCACAGGGCAGGATGGGGACCGTGTTAGGAAGGCTACAAGCCAGGCACGGCGGCGCATGACTGACCTTAGCACTCAGGTAGTTGGAGCAAGAGGACCATGCGCTTGAGGCCAGCCTAGACTACATATTTAAATCCTGCCTGAAAAATAAATAAGGATGGCTCAGCGGCTAAGAGCAGTGGCTGCTTTTCCAAGGGACTTGGTTTCAATTCCTAGCACCCACATGGCAGTTCATAACTGTCTGTATCTCCAGTCCCAGGGGATCTGACATCCTCCTCTGGCTTTTGCTGGCACCAGGCTTGCATGTGGTGCAGGCAAAATATCCATACATACATAAAAACAAATAAAAATTTAAAAATAAATAAGTAAAAATAAAGAAATGAAGAGTAAAAAATAGATTCAAGGATATGGGGAACTAGAAACATATTTGGAAGGGTTACATGCAATAGAAGGTTTTTTTTTAATTTCTTTTCTCATATTCCCTAGAGTCTCCAAGAGGAACTATTTTTGCTCTGTCTATTCTAGAGGGATTTCCCTCTAACTGTCCCCACCACCATGTGGGACGGACACCCGCCAGTTTCCTAGCATCCTTCCCGTGTGGTTCTTCCCCACTGGGTTACTTCCTAGGTCACACTGCTGAGTCAGACACTCTCCAGAAAGACACAAGGGTGGGTCCACCGGTGGCTTGGTGGCGGTGCCTAGGGGTGTGCCCTCAGAACATAGAGCCACACGAGCAGTGCCACAGGAGATGGCTGCCACGGTGTCACACAGCATTTGTATGCTTTCCATGCACAGGGTCAGTCCCACATGGCAGACACCATAAGCACCTTTGGTGTACAGCCCAGCATGATGCTCAAGGGTGGAGAGCTTGGGGAAGGTGGAAGCCACAGTGTGAATGAGGGACAGAGCCTGGAGGGGAGTCAGGCAGTGGGCACTGCAACGCTGTGCGGAGATTCTGTGTGCTCCAAGACTTCAAAGTGGCCAAGGTGAGTGGTCTAACCAGGACCTGCACCCAGCTGGGCCTCACTAACGCTAGCATGCTTCAGCATCCCTAACTCAGAACACTGAAAGCATTTGGGGCTCTGCAGCTTTAAGAATATTGCATATGCACTCTGAAGCATCCTAAGACAATATTCATTTATGTTCCACGCCTACCTTCTTATGCATGTGGCCCAGAGATAATTTTGCACATTTTTAATGCATCTTGGCTATATCTTGTCACAGATATTAGTTGTTTTCCATGTGTGACATAATGGAGGCAATTGAGTGCATTTGGAACATTTGGGATTTTCCACTATCTAGAAGCTGTGTCTTTCTGAGAATATTCAATTTAATTGGGGGCAGGGAAGAGGGGTGGAGGCCACTTAACAGGGTTGCTGGGTTTGTTAAATGAAACAGCACTTTTTCCTGAAATGTTTCTCTGCCCACCACTGGTTCTATAGGAGCTGAGTAGGTATTTTGTGAGAACAATGAAGAGAGAGGGCTTCCCCAGTCACATACATTTACAAAACACAGGAAAAGCTAAACAGACTTCTTCAGCAGGGAATTCTCCGACTCAACTACCGGAGACCAGCTCCAAGAGAGGAAGGCAGTACATAGTCTACCTCAGACTTCAAACTCCACAGAAAACAATTCCTGAAGGAAGATTTCAAAGGTTTATTTGCCACCAAATATATCGGGATATCTCAACAACCTACGTGGACTGGCCTACGCCAGTCGCCACGGGGTGGTACCTCTTCTTGTCCCTGTTCGTGTGGTGGTGCTAACTACTGTAAGTGGAACAGCGCCAGCCAGCAAGGCCGAGTTCCATGGGCTCACCTGGCGCACAGCCCCCACCGCTTCAGCCCGGCTGGAGAGCCGGGCAGCCAGACGATGCAAAACCGCGATGTCTTCCAGAAGCTTCTGATAGGTCTCCCGGTGCTCACAGTGGTACCAGATGGATGCTGAGGACTGAGGGGCGACAAGGGGCATCACCCAGAGCCTCTAGCTGTTCTTCCCCATGTGCATGCTGAGAGCCTAAGCCCAATGTGCATCTGGAAGGAGAGGCCCTAGGGAAGTGGCTAGATCACCAGGGTAAAGTCCTTTGGAATGGAATTGTCGTCCACACATCAGGGGCCCCAGGAATTTCTTACTCTCCTTCCACCAGGTCAGGCTGTAATGATAGGTTATGAGCCTGCAAGTCTGAAGAGGAGGGTCTCAATGAGAACCTACCATGTTGGGACCCTGAGCTAGGATTTCTAGCCTCTAGAGCTAAGAGGAGCAATGTGTTTGCTGTTTAAATGACCATGGTTATTTATCATAGCAGCTTGAGCTGGCTTAGAAGGCATACCAAACCTGGATTCATTATCACAAGACAAGCTCTGGGTCTCATCCTGGCTGGGAGAAGAAACTCCTGCAGAGCCCAGGGCATGATGTCTTTCAGATACTGGAGAAGCCCAGCGGAGACACACTACATCTGGCTGGCCTGCAAGGAGTCATATCCAAGCCAACCCACCCCCTCCTAAGGAGCTGCCAGGACCTCTGAGCCTAAGCCCTCAGGATCTCTGCCTCTGCTCTTCCCTGCCCTTTGAAGAAGACTCTGTCAGAACCTTGGCTCCCTGTTCATTTCCGGAGACTACTTTGCTAGGGAGAGAATTGTGACATTTGGCCCAGACCTTAGAGACCTTTGCTCCAGCAAGGATTCCTTAAACTGGGCCCCTCAATTACCGTAATGGAAGCTTTGAAGTTTTCCAGTTCCTTCTCCGTGTTCTCTTCTGTCAGGTTTCGTTCTCTTTCAGCCTGGTTAATTCTAGATTCCAAGGTGTAGCTGTCATTTCTAAAGGCCAAGGACAGTTGTACAAACACGTTCTGTTGGGAACAAGAGTGTGGTAGAGGTGCTGGGGAGCCACTGCCGCCAGCACGGCCACAGGAGGGATTCTCGCTCAAGCCCTTACGGGAGTCCTCAGAACTAGTCACCAAGGCTCCCGTGTGCCGACTAACGCCCCCTCACAGGCAAACACACAGGGAGGGGCCAGTGGAAACCCTTGAGGTCCAGGCAAGGTCTTTCCCAGGATCAGTGGACAAATGTAACCACCAGACAATAGCATTCTGCCTTTCCCTGAATCAGAGCGGGAGTGTGTTTGGGTTGAGACAGGCTTAGACCTATCTCGACAGCTGGCTGTGTAAGCAGTCTGAATTCATACTGGGCTCTATTGTCAGGGGCTGGTCGGGGAGAGGGAAGAGATTTTCATAAAATCTCTGTATCTTAAGAAGTGCCAGCTGAGCTGCAGGCTTGTGGATTTAAAGCAAACTTTAGTTTCCAGCCTTGTTATTTCAAATTCCTATGTCACCTCTGAGTAACTTCCAGAAGATTAGGCAAGGTCAGGTATGGATCTGTTAAGATAAACTTCCAGGAACAAATATTTCAGCCCAAAATGAAGCATGATGTACAGAAACATTTTTAAAAATGTTTAAAAAAGTTGTGTATGTATGGGTGTTTAGCCTGCACAGCACATGAGTACAGTGTCCTCAGAGGCCAGAAGCAGGAGTTGAATCTCCAGGAAGTGGAGTTAGAGATGGTTGTGAGCCACCATATTGGTTCTGGGAATTGAGCCCAGGTCCTCTGGAAGAGCAGCCACTGCTATTAACCACTGAGCCATCTCTCCACCACCAAAGAAAAAAATTTTTAAATGTGATATTGACCAGATGTGGAATTCCTAGGATAATCGGAAGCTACCAAGAAGTAGACCCATCCAATTATACCACTCACTGTAACACATAACTATGGGGGAAGAAAAACAGACAAATGGGCTCCATACAAGCAATAAGAAGGACTGTCTTCAATTCCAGTTGCTTCATCTGCCCTGCCTGAAGCAAGTGAGAGCAGCTTCTTTTCTCTTTCTTCCTTTTCGGGGTGTTCATCTGTATGTGTGTGCATACATGTGTGTGCTCGAGTGTGTGTGCGTGTGTGTTGCAACCATATACATGCAGAGGTCAGAGAACAACTTCCAGGAGTTGGTCCTTTCTGTGCACGGTGATGTTGTCAGCCTTGCATAGCATACACTTTCACTCACCACGCCATCTGCCCAGCTCATGCTCAGTGGTCACTGACTCTGCCTGGCTTCTGTTCATGTAACATGGCCAGCGGCAGCTATCTCCAGACAAGAACTGACCCCTGGATAACAGTGGTGTTTCTACTGAAAGTGACCCCTCATTGGGGTCACAATCGCCACCACTGTTGTGAATTTTGTGAGCCTTGCTCCATTTAATCCTACAACAACTCTCTGGCATGAAGGCTCTTCCACCCATTTTACAGGCAAAGAGACCAAGACTAGAGGCATCATTACCTTGTTCAATGTGATACAGGAGCAGCAGAGAAAAGACTTGACCTTAGATTATCTGATTCCAAAGTCTGTTTCACTTCTGCCATGCTGACGGCTATGTTAGCATCTGAGGACAGGATCTGGAGTAAATGAGCTGCTGTGGTCAATCTCCACAGACGCTAGAGTGGGCTTTCACTCACGGCCCAGGGATGAGGGTTCTCTTTCCTACCCAGCCTCAGTCTACATACAGTTCTCAGTGCTTAGCTCTCTATGCCTGACACAAAGGGTCCTGAGGTCAGTTGGAATATTTGTATCCAACTCTTGGACCTAGTAAGTCCTGAGTCTGGGAGCTTGGATGAGTGGTTTCAGTGCCCACTTTCTCTTCTGCTTTAGTCCTGCTTTATCCACTCTGCAGAGCGACTAGATCCGCTTCATGGAGGGCTGTGAGCACACCACAGTAATAATGTCTGGCTCAAGGTCATTGTGCTTTCCTGGGGGTGGACGCTCCAGGTTGTTCCTTTGCTCATCTGGTCCACTTCGCCAATCTGCCCTGTCTCCCGTCTACTAAGGTTCTTGTCCATCTGACCCTTCACCAGAATGGAAGTTCTTCTCGGCTCACCCATCACCCAGCATTGGGACAAGGAGGTCAAATCAGGGAAGGCAGCGTCAAGGCAGCGTCACACTGTCAGACAAGTTGGCCTTCTCGCAGCCCAAACTCTCAGGAGGCAAGCACCTTTGTCCTCCAGACCAAAGTCTGAAGCTTGTAATATGGCCACATTTTTTTAAATTGAACTAAATTTGGCACAATTGTAAAGTCTCCTGACTGACTTTGTATTAGAAACCCATCCATCAGGGGACAGCGGCACTCTTTGAGGGTGGGGCTCCAGCAACCGTCCCACCTCTCACTTGTTAACATGGATGGAGGCAAGCATGAGGAACTCAGTGGTGGAAGCAAATGTCCAGAGTACTGCACCTGTCAGGGCCACAGGCTGGACAATAGGACGTCCGGATAAACCTCATCAAAGACAGTCACTACCTTTCACACAGCCCTTGAGTCACTTACCTCAACTTCCTTTTCAGTGAGTGGAGGGGCACTGCGAAGAAGAAAAATAAATGCACAAATGAGCTTTGTCCAACCTCCTAAGTAGAGCAGAAGGTGACTTTGAATGGCCAGCAGGGCATGCATTTCCAGAAGAGCAGTGAGCAGAGAAGGTGAGACTAAGGGATACGGTCTTCTTTGTCCCCTTGTCATGTGAACACCGACCTTTAGGAAGGTGGTGTGGAAAATATCAGATGTTGGGGTCAGCCCTCCAGCACAGCCACTATGATCCCCCTAAGTTCCAGCTTGCTCATATATAAAATCAGAAGAATGGCAGCTATCTTGTATAAGAAGCCTTACAAGGAATAGAGATGTATGTTTGCACTATATGTGTGCGTGAGCACGTGTGTACCATATGCCAGCCGTTCACAGCCAAATATTCCTGGAGCCAACCACTATATATTAAAAACTTTAAAACAAATTGTGTCAATACAGAATTCCCTAGGCAACGCAGACTAGAGCCTATTTACATAAAATTTACACTGTATTGGATATTATAAACCATGTGGAGATCAAAGGCTGTAGAGACCATATGCAAGTACTAGGTCGTTTTGTACAAGGTCTTGAGCATTTGGACTTTGGTGTCCGTGTGGTATGTGTATGTGTGTGTCCTGGAGCCAATGGCCACTGAATATTACCTGCATATGACATCTTGACTATTATTACTATTCACCGACAGGCTGTGAGGAATCAGAAAATACACACCCATTTGTCATTTTCAGACTGCATGTCTGAGATGAGCTGTAGCTTTTGAGGGGCTTCCTAGCTCTGCAAAGACTGATCCTGCCTAGACTCTGAAGATTGGTTCAGAAATTGCAAGATAAGAAAAGGTTTGGTAGAGCTCATTGCAGAATGATCCTCTGGAGCCTGGAATCAGGGTGGCAAGTGAGTACCAGCTGACACAGAGGTGACCTCCTGGGAGGTGCCTGAGCAGTTCCCACAGCCTGTCCCAGTCAACAGACTCCTTATCTGCACAGCCACTCCATGTGGCTGCCTGTGCAGCGCTTAGTAACTAAGGCTGGTCCCATTGGAAGCCCAGATAACGTAAATACCACACAGGCGCTTTCCTGTGCTGGGTGGGGAGGCCAGAAGGGGTCCAACTCGCGTCATAGGACTTGGCGGGCAAGCACGCCATCAATAAACTTCTCAGGAAACACAATTTTCCTCCCTCGGACGGGTACGGGGAGACCCTGGGAGCAAAGGCAGGGGTCAGCCATCTCTACAAAGGGCTGGTTCTCACCCGTGGCAAGGGACAGCGAGAGCCTTCCTGTCAGGATGCGACAGCAAGACCCTGTGGCCATCAAGCGTCAGAAAACAGAGCACGGGGACAAACAACGACAAAGATGGCTCATGCTCACAGTTCTTGTCACAGCCCCACCCCACAGACCCTGTCCTCTAGGGGTCAACCTATTCTCTCCCTGTTGTGCAGAGCAGGCACATACTGTCTGGGTGGTTTATCAAAGTGCTTAGAATGTGCTTCCATTCCTAGGTTCATTTGACTCTTACATGAAATTTACATCTTTCCATAAATAAGTGAGCTTATTTTATTACTTTGGTGACTCACATTCTGCTTTGAGCTACAGCACACACACACACACACACACACACACACACACACACACACACACACAGTAAGGAACAGGGTGGTGTGATGGAGGCCACGTAGTCACATGGGACTACCAGTTCTTAAGGCAGAGCTCTAGAGCTGCATAGGCAGCAGGGGAGCAGAGCCATGATGGGTCTCCAAGGCAATGGCGAGTGATGGAGTCTTTTCAGGTAACCTTTGTGCTCTCTTTTTGAAATGTCTGTTTGAATCCTTTGCCTGTTTTGGGAAATTCTTTGTCTAAATTTTATCCAATCACAAAAATATAGAGTCTAGAAATATGTACCTTACCAGGTAAATGATCTGTGAATATTTTCTCCCATTCTGTGTGTCACTTTTGACTTTCCAGACAGCATTGACTGCACAGGCTTTTATTAGAATTCATATGATGATGGCTTATTTTTCACATGTCCTTTCTAAAACTTCTGCTTGTGCTTTCTGTGTTTTATCTAAAGCTGAGGACTAACCCAAGCCCGTAGCTCGTAAGGACTGCCTCTTGCATTTTCTTCTAAGCCTTCTACAGCATCACCCCTCACGTTTAGCTCTACGGCCATTTTGGTCTGGCTTTGGTACATTACGGTAGCTTCACCCGTTTGCACGTGACTCACTAGCTGTCTCACCGACATTTCTGAAAACGGTTTCTTTTTATTTGGAAAGCTATTCACCACGGTCTTTGCTTGTGTGGCTTCTTCTTGTCATTGTGCCCTGGATTCCTAACTGCCCTTTCGTGGGGAGAGCACCAGGTCTCACTATACCAATTCTCTATGTTGTCCTATCTCATGGTCCTCCTAGCAACTTCATTATCTCAAATCCCAGTCTTTACTTTCCAGCCCAGGATGTGCTCTGTGCTGACGCTGTTCCAGGTCCCTGTCCACAGAGGGTCTCATTAGTGCACACTGCCAGTGCAGAGCACTTACGACTCTTGTACAGGCAGTGAAGCCAAGATGCGGAAAGTAAAGGCACTTTCTCCCTGCCTGGGGCTGGGGGAGGTAGCTTTCTGCCCAGTGCTTCGTGATAGTTTGGATGTTGTATGCTCTCACCTCTGAAGACCCTCATGTCCTCAAAGGTTCTCGCCTGTGAACCCCATATACTCCCAGAGTTGGAAACACCACCGTGGCCCGTCCTTGAGCTTTGTGTTTTAGATGCATCCACCATGTTGGACCACTGAACTCCATCCCTTCTGGGGTGAGAGCCGAGACTGGTACTCCATTGTGTTCCACCCATGTTCTAACGTGGGTGCCCCTGAAAGGCCTTTGGAAGCTGATGTCCTATTTTACCTTCCAGTGAGTGACTTGTGAACCCTCAGCTTGCGCAGCAGTATGTCGGAAATGTTGGGCATCACATCCAGACCACTCTTGGACTCTTCTTCTTCAGTTGTTGGGGAGAGTTCAGAAGAAACCCCTGGAAAATAAGAGTGCTTCCTTATAGAATGCCTGTTTGAAATCATGCTAGTACTGCTGGCAGCTGGCCATAGGTCCCAGGAAGACTATCAACACTTGTAACACTTTGTTACATGCCAGAGACCTTATTAATTGTCATCTGTTTTACACTGTCCTCACAGTGACCTGAAGAGTTGCTTCTCAATCATTCCTTTTTATAGGTGGATTATACAAAGCTCAGTAAAGTTGGTAAGGATTACAGGCATAGCAAATGACACAGCCTGACTGCAGACCAACATCTATCTGTTCCTGGTTGTTTCTTCCCATAATTTTCCACTGTGTCAAGTAGGGTTGTGTGTCAGCATTTAGAGGTTGGTTTCTGGCAACTGGAAGCTGGTTGGCTCTTTGGTTATGGAATTGGGGAAAACCTGTCCATTTGTCAGGCTCTTAAAGGGATCTCTTGACTGATAATTCTTTCCCAAATAAATTAAAAAACACCACCTTCCAGCTCCTACTTAGAAACCAGCATCCAGTCTGCCACTAGATAGTGATAGACGCCGGTATTTTCCAGGATAAAGCTAAGGTCATCAGCCTTGCCACAGATCTCAGAAATGCAGATGCCTGCGAGTCAACAGAGCCAACAAACAGTGCTCGCGCCTACTGAAACGATGCAGGACTGTGTCCGGGAAACAGAAAGAGCAAATCATAAATCTCTCTTTTGCTTGAACAGCTCTTGGACCTCTGCAAACGAGCCCTTTCCTGGATCTGTCCCCTGTTTCCCAGTTGCTCTTTGGGGAATCCCATGATTCATGATCTCTATGCCTCATTCTGTGCCTACACATACTCTGCCTTGTTGCTCTTTGAAAGACCCATATGGACTCTAGCAAGTTAAACACAGGACATTGGTTAATGCCCTTGGTACTGACCTTTGCATCCATGCAGGATAGACTCGCTGAGTTTTACTGTGTACTCATAGTATATTTAGGGTGAAGTAAAAGCCTCAGACATCTTTCTTTTGAGCCAGTTCTGGGATCCCTATCCTGTATAGTCTTTTTTTTTTAATACCTCTATTTTTTATTGCCTGCTATGGCCTTTGACCTAGCAGTACTCTGATTTGTTTGTCTGTCTTTCAGAATTGCAGGCCAGGCTAGAAATCAGGGCAGAATGCAGAGTTATAGCAATCATCTACATGAATTAAGATCGGGATTCCTATCATCAAGGGAGACCAAACAAGGAGGGGAGTAGGCACAGTTGGGTTCACAGTAAATATGCTTTAAACAAATCGAGATAACAGATCTTTTTCTGTTTCAATAACAGAACAATGTTACAGATTCCCTGATATTTCCATTGTTCAAATGAAGGCCATCTGTTGGGGACAGGACAGCCAACACGGCACCCCCTGGGTACAACATCAGGCAGATGTTGCTGTAGCTACATGTCAACCCTTGGGTTTTCTGCTGGCATTTGTAGATCACTGACACTTCCATGTGTCAAGTGGCAAAGCTGTGTCGCCCATGGCCTTGCTCTGTATTTGCGCACCTCCACCCCGCTTAGCAGAGAGCTAATTAGGCAGGCAGCTCCTGAGAACTCTGTCTGTGCAACTGACACACACACATCAAGTCTAACGGCAAGTGAAGGACACAGCAGGGGGTTCAACCTGAAAAATTCTTCCAAGTTGAGGGGAAATGGGGGTGGGGGGTGAAGGAATGAAATTAGAAAGGAGAAAAGAAACTCATTAGGGATCCCAGCTCTTACAAAATAGCAGTCCCATAACTGGATAGCAGAGGCAAACAACCCTCTTCCTGAATGCAACCAAATTAACAACCAAAAAACTATAAAATCAACTCTATATGTGCTAACAATGTTCAAATGCAGAAAGGGGCAGTTTAAAAATAACAATGGCTAAAGACAGAATTTCCTAGAAATAAATGTGGTGCCCCAACCTTTGGTTTCCCCTTTTTTCCCCTTCAAAGAACAGGGGTTTTGTTGGGTTTCTTTGTTTTGAGCCAGGGTGTCATTACATAGTCCAGGCTAGCCTTCAACTTGTGATCCTCTTGCCTCGGCTTCCTGTGTGCTGGAATCTCAAGCGTGAATCTCAACACCTGGCTCAAGAATGGGTTCTAAACAAGGGAAAACAGCAAGAGCACATAGCAAGAAAGGAAGTGGACAGAGTGAGTAAGCAGGCTGCCTGTAGATGAAAGGCAGAAAGTTTTTCTAGAAAGTTAAACACTCTACCATACCAACACTGAAAAGAAGAAAAGGAGAAACTGCTGTCCATGTTGGCATTTAGCTTTTCCTGCCAAAAAGTGAGGGAGAGGAAAGGAGGAACAGTACCTGTTATTATATCAGAATTTCTTGCCTTGAACAATATGTAGGGGTTTACCAGAAGGAAAGACTTAAAATGAATAAACGAATAAAGCAAGCTTGTCTGATGGAGTGAGTGAAAGGAGACATATGGAAAGCTCCAACTAAAGCCTTGGGTTTTGTCTGTCCTTTCCTTCCTCTGCCTTGCGGAAGAGTGACCGGCCTCTGGAAGGTCAAGTCTACACAACAAACATCTGGACAGACTCTTGTTACAATTCTACCCTAAACTGGTTTTCTCGGCTCCAGTAATCCCCAACCAGGGGAACAGAAATATCCCAATTTGGCACAATAAACTTCAGTTTTGGACTCCGAACAAAGTTATAGGAAAGAAGCAGAAAGCCCAGCCTACAAACGCTCCACTCACAGCTTTGTCTAAACTTCCTCTTCCTCCCACCCAAGCAGCAAAGAAGTATCCAAGAGCACCCAGTCTGCAACACACTCCTGAGGGAAGAAGACACTGAGATCTAGGATGAAGCAGGACAGAATGAATGAAAATTAACCTGGCCCACACATACAAACAAGAAGGAAATCCAGGTAGACATGTCCAGATCATAAAGACATGAAATGAAAACAAATGACATGGCAATTAGACAAAAATACTAGAGTTAAAAGAGGAAGGAAAGACGGAAGGTATAAAGGAAGGAAGAATGGAAACTCACAGGAGGCAGATGTCAGGATGGACACAGAGATGCAAGGAAGACAGAAAAAAAAAAAAAAGCAAAACTGCAATTCTGTGCAAAACACATATCGTAAATGCTTAACTCAAAGAGAAATTAGAATCTGAAAAAAGTGAAAACAAGAAATCAGGACAAGATAAGATCAAACATAGATGGACAGAGATTTCTATTTAAGAAAATAAATTAAAGACCAAGAGCAGAATGAATAAGAAATTAAAAAAATTAGTATATTGAAAAATGAGGACATCACATACAGTTTACTTGAATTAGTAACGAGGGTAGGGTAGATTGGATGCTCATAAAGAATATAAAGAGGGAAAGAAAGATTGAAGAAGCTGGGTCCTCAGTTGAGCCCTGTCGACCATTTCATTGAATGAATAATTTATTCAAAGAATAATAGGAAAAAAATCATCTTCAGTGGAGGGGAGAGATAAACTTGAAGGCTGACTGTACATATTATGCTTTTGTTTTCTTTTGTTTTTTAAGGTATGTCTATTAAAAAATGCTAGTGCCTTTATTCCTAACAGAAAAAAAAGGACACACATAGGGAACATCAGGGCTGAGGGACACAGGAAACCAGCTGGCCTTGAGCTTCTCTACAATACTGAACACAGAGGGATAACAGCATCTCATAGGAAGGGCTAGCCAAGAATTTTATAACTGGCAGATTATTGTTAAATAAGACAACATTTTCAAATATGCTAGAACTCAGGACACAGAATACCTCTGGTGCTTCCCAGGGAAACTACTAGATAATGAAGTCCAGCTAGACAAAACATAAATAAAAATAAAATGCTTAGGGATGGTTAGCCACAAGGAAGAAACCAGCAGTAAGCATGGAACCCTTTTTTTTTTCCGAGTCCACAGCTGGACAACTGTGAAAACTGGTTGCAGAGTGGAATGTAAATGTTAGAACCTTGACTCATACAAAGAAGAATTTAGCATCTAAACAGGCCGAGATGGGGAAGCTGGAAGAAATCAAGGGCAAGGAAAGCTCTTAACGAGATGTTCTGCTTTTTTGTTTGCTTTTTTGATGCTCCAGCGCTGGGGTCTTCAAGCTTGGAAAGACTGCCTCTCCCAGGCTAGTTCCCTCTTCTTTGAGTGCACCTTTGACCTCTAAACCAACCCAATCAACCTAGAACCTGCATTCCCAACTATCTCCTTTATCCACCTCACACACACCAAGTCAGTATTCATCCTTGCCCCATGTCACCACATATCCACCAATTTGGCACCTCTCTCCTTTCTAGAGCTCACCAAAATTACTCAAACTACCTGATCCTAAGCTTCCTCGAGGTACCTCCTCTGCTCAGCCCACCCCTTACCATGAAAAGTTCAGTAAAGATGCTTCCCATCCACCATCTACCTCCTAGCCGACACTGGCCCTTTTCTAGTTGGCCCGGATGGCACAGTGTGCTTTAGTATCAACCTCTCTCATGACAATTATTTCTGGGACTGTGTGTCTTGTCTCGGTCATATGTGACCGAAACTCTGCTGGGTAAAGAATTTAGAACAGTTACTCTAAATCAGAGTATTAATGCCAGAAAAATCCACCACAACTCTAAACTGCTAATGCATTCCCTAAATGCATTGTCAAAACTAATTTCTCCTCTTTGGAGGAAGTAATTACAAAGATTCAGCAAGTCCTACAGTTTCACTTCACTTCAACTCAAACTCAATTAAATTATAATATTTTATCTTGAAAGGTACATCTGGTATAATCTCTCTCCTTCCTCCCTACTTTCTTCTATCTTCTAGGGCCAAAGCCACCAGTTAGAATATATTTCTTTGCATCTGTCTTCTCAGGAAGGCATCTTCCCCATGTGAGATATGAGACTATTGCCTGGTCTTGGGCTGTGTAAAGAACCATTCTATCTCAGAATCCTTATCTAGATATCCAACCACCCTCTAGACATCACCAACTAGATACAGAGAATAAACACCATTCTAACACCACCATTCATGGAGTCTCAGCCACACA